CCACCACCACCCCCCTCTCTCCCACACCACCACCCCCCCTCTCTCCCACACCACCATCCCCCTCTCTCCCACACCACCACCCCCCTCTCTCCCACTCCACCATCCCCCTCTCTCCCACACCACCACCCCCCTCTCTCCCACACCACCATCCCCCTCTCTCCCACACCACCACCCCCCTCTCTCTCCCACACCACCACCCCCCCTCTCTCCCACACCACCACCACCCCTCTCTCCCACACCACCACCACCCCTCTCTCCCACACCGCCCACCCGCTCCCCTCTCTCCCACACCACCACCCCCCCTCTCTCCCACACCACCACCCCCCCTCTCTACCACACCCTGGTGTCATGACCCCACTCCCTGCCAAGGGAACCGCGTGGGCGAGTGGAGGGGTGGGCGAGTGGAGGGGTGGGCTACTGGAGGGGTGGGCGAGTGGAGGGGTGGGCGAGTGGAGGGGTGGGCGAGTGGAGGGGGGGGGCGAGTGGAGGGGGGGGGCGAGTGGAGGGGGGGGGCGGGTGGAGGGGCGGGCGAGTGGAGGGGCGGGCGAGGGGAGGGGCGGGCGAGGGGAGGGGGGGGCGGGTGGAGGGGCGGGCGAGTGGAGGGGCGGGCGAGTGGAGGGGCGGGCGAGTGGAGGGGCGGGCGAGTGGAGGGGCGGGCGAGTGGAGGGGCGGGCGAGTGGAGGGGCGGGCGAGTGGAGGGGCGGGCGAGTGGAGGGGCGGGCGAGTGGAGGAGTGGGCGAGTAGGCTGTACCACTTCACTCAGGTGGAAGGGGGGGATGTCAAAGGTTGCGTCAGACCATCTATATATATAAAATCGTGAATCTGTCTGTTTGTCTGTGTGTCTGTGTGTCGCCGGACCATACGCAGTTTCATTGGACGAAATGTCAGGGATTTGCGACACACGATTGGTCCGGCGGTTGCCCCTGGCAACGGCTAGCGACGCATTCGCCATTTTTAATTCCCGTTTAAAATAGGCGCACGCATTAACACGCGACTCTGACGTTAATTCATGACAGTTTCACGTCCTCTTCAGTCCCCTCCCACCCCAATGTGTTCTATTACTGTTATAGGCTCCGTAGATAATTAAATAATAGCGATTAGACACTATTATTGTAGCGCGGGGGGGGGGGGACGCCACCCGTACCCTGCCTCTGCCGGGTGGGAAATTTAGGCGAGGCCGGAGGCTCTGCACGCTACTAGGCCTCGACACCCACCACGCGAGTCTGAGGTAAATTCATCAACGTTTCACGTACTCTTCACTCCCCCCCCAACACAATGTGTGCAATTTATATTACTTTCAAACCCTACGCGCCAATAATCTATTCTTTAAATGGTGACTGTACAAATAGTCATTAAGCTGGGTGAGCGTACTGACACTCTATAATGTATACTGTAGCCTGCTTATTAAATTGCCTGAGTCTACTGGCAGTCTATTATGTAGACTGTAGCCTGCTTATTAAGCTCCGTGAGCGTACTGCCACTCTATCATGTAGACTCTAGCCTGCTTATGAAGCTGAGTGGGTGTACTGGCAGTCTATAATGTAGACTGTTGCCTGGTTATTATAATCGATTCTTTAAATGTTCTTTGTACAAATAGTCATTAAGCTGGTTTAGCGTACAGCCCATCTATTATGTAGACTGCAGCCTGCTTATTCAGCTGGCTGGGTGTACTGCCAGTCTATCATGTACACTGTAGCCTGGTTATGAAGTAAAGTTAGTCAATTTGTAACACGTACGCCGATTCCCACTCACGGCCACCACCGGTGACGATTATTTGAACCTCCCCTACGTCCACTCAGCCTCAAACGAGTAACTGGTGTGGCGTTTTAACATCGGCATTGGGGAGACAAAGGCGGCCGGGCGTGGTGGATCCAAGTCCCGGGCGAAGCCGGGTCATGTGTATGTGTGTATGTGTTTATGTGTATGTCTGTGTGTCTGTATTTATGTGTGTATGTATGTGTGTGTATGTGTTTCTGTGTATGTATGTGTGTGTATGTATGTGTGTTATGTGTCTGTCTGTGTGTCTGCATGTGTGTGTGTATTGTGTATGTGTGTGTGTATTGTGTATGTGTTTGTGTGTATGTGTATGTCTGTGTCTATGTATGTGTGTGTATGTGTGTGTATGTGTTTGTGTGCATGTGTGTGTATGTATGTGTGTGTATGTGTTTGTATGTGTTTGTGTGTTTACGCTCGCATTACACAAATGTGTTGCAGGTCTAAGGCGTTCCTCGCGCAGCATTGCCGCTTTATTATTTCAGTCGTTTACTGCCGTACGCACCCTGAAAGTCGTGTGTGTCTGCAGCAAGCGCGTGTATGTGTACCTATGGACGCGCGCAAGTGTGTTGTGTAGGGGAACGGTAGTGTAGTGGTTAGCGTGCTGTCTGTGTGTGTGTGTCTGTGTGTGTGTGTCTGTGTGTGTGTCTGTGTGTGTGCGTGTGTGGTGTGTGGGGAGCGGTAGTGTAGTGGTTAGCGTGCTGTCTGTGTGTCTGTGTGTGTGTGTCTGTCTGTGTGTGTGTGTCTGCGTGTGTCTGTGTGTGTGTCTGTGTGTGTGTCTGTGCGTGCGTGGTGTGTGAGGAGCGGTGGGTGTAGTGGTTAACGCTACGCTGCGCTACAAACCCGGCGAACCGAGTTCGATTCCCGCTCACGGCCACCACCGGTGACGATTATTTGAACCTCCCCTAGGTCGACTCAGCCTCAAACGAGTAACTGGTGTGGCGTATTAACATCGCCACTGGGGAGACAAAGGCGGCCGGGCGTGGTGGATCCAAGTCCCGGGCGAAGCCGGGTCATGTGTATGTGTGTATGTGTTTATGTGTATGTCTGTGTGTCTGTATGTATGTGTGTATGTATGTGTGTGTATGTGTTTGTGTGTATGTATGTGTGTGTGTATGTATGTGGGTTTTTTTGTATGTGTTTATGTGTATGTCTGTGTGTCTGCATGTATGTGTGTGTGTATTGTGTATGTGTTTGTGTGTATGTATGTGTGTGTTTGTGTGTATGTGTATGTCTGTGTGTATGTATGTGTGTGTATGTGTGTGTATGTGTTTGTGTGTATGTGTGTGTATGTATGTGTGTGTATGTGTTTGTATGTGTTTGTGTGTTTACGCTCGCATTACACAAATGTGTTGCAGGTCTAAGGCGTTCCTCGCGCAGCATTGCCGCTTTCTTATTTCAGTCGTTTACTGCCGTACGCACCCTGAAATTCGTGTGTGTCTGCAGCAAGCGCGTGTATGTGTAGCTATGGACGCGCGCGCGTGTGTTGTGTAGGGGGAACGGTAGTGTAGTGGTTAGCGTGCTGTCTGTGTCTGTGTGTCTGTGTGTGTGTCTGTGTGTGTGTCTGTGTGTGTGCGTGTGTGGTGTGTGGGGAGCGGTAGTGTAGTGGTTAGCGTGCTGTCTGTGTGTCTGTGTGTGTGTCTGTCTGTGTGTGTCTGCGTGTGTCTGTGTGTGTGTCTGTGTGTGTGTCTGTGCGTGTGTGGTGTGTGAGGAGCAGTGGGTGTAGTGGTTAACGCTACGCTGCGCTACGAACCCGGCGAACCGAGTTCGATTCCCGCTCACGGCCACCACCGGTGACGATTATTTGAACCTCCCCTAGGTCGACTCAGCCTCAAACGAGTAACTGGTGTGGCGTATTAACATCGCCACTGGGGAGACAAAGGCGGCCGGGTGTGGTGGATACAAGTCCCGGGCGAAGCCGGGTAGTACAGCTAGTTACCTACAAAAAAATGCGCAGCCCTGGGCGCCTCCACTCGAGGCCGTTCTAGAGAGCTCCTCTAAGGGAGCAATTGCAGGGCCTGTGCCTTTATCTTGTTTATGTGAAGTTAGAAACAAATTAAACAAACACAATATTCGTCAGTACCACCGAGTTGTGACCTTAACAGAACAAGTGTATGAGTCGACGTTTCAGGCAATGGCCCTTCGCGGCCCTACTTAACAATACACGATAAAGGCGCAGCCCTGCAAGTGCGCCAGCTCACGGCGCGCCCACTGGGACGTCTGGAACGTCTGGGGCGAATGCGGCGAAGGGGTCGAGACAAACGAGAAACGATTCGAACGTCGGAACCAAAAAAAATGATCAGCGAACAATCACATTTTTCTTTTTTAAATCGCAACTTGGCAATCCTGTGAATTCTTACGTTGCTAGTTTACATTCAGCGGAGAGAACCTTGACCATTACACTAACAAAGCCTCGTCTTTCCGTGTTTGTCTCTCCTACGTTTAAAAAAAAATTGAGCACATCCCATCAGCCCACACGGCATTACGGGAGCGCATCTCATCAGCAGCATCGGTTCAAGAGTTGCACAAAGCAAAACTGTGGGCAGGCTTCAGAAGCGCCAGGCTCGCATGGAGCTAAGGACCGTGTTCTACTGTAGAGTAACACAGCACGGAATTACCATCAAGCCTGTGGAACATGCTAATTCACACATATAACATGCTAAATTACACATATAACATGCTAATTCACACACATAACATGCTAATTCACACACATAACATGCTAATTCACACATATAACATGCTAATTCACACACATAACATGCTAGTTTACACATATAACGTGCTAATTCACACACATAACATGCTAATTTACACACATAACATGCTAATTCACACATGACATGCTAAATAACACACATGACATGCTAATTGACGCACTGTGTACACATTAGACGTGTACAATGCTCATTAGCATACGAGTGACACATTCCTCCCACCCACAGTGTTGACGCCGCGGGGCGTCTCGGGAAGATTGGGGGGGGTGGTGGTGGGGGGGGTGGTGGTGGGGGGGGATGATGGACGGGATGATGGGGGGGGTGGTGGGGGGGGGATCGTGGGGGGGAGGGGGGGAATGGTGGGGGGGATGATGGGGGGAGAGATGGGGAGGGATGGGGGAGGGATATGGGGGGGTGGGGGAGGGATGGGGGTGGGGGGGAAGGATGCGGGTGGGGGAGTGGGATGCGGGTGGGGGAGTGGGATGCGGGTGGGTGCTCAGGTAGACTGACCTGTTTGAGTCGACTTCGTTAACGTTGGCGGCGTCTGTAAGGGAGCACAGAGACAGTGGTGATGTTATCCGGCAGACGCGAGACCACGTGGCTCCAACGGGGTTTGGCGATGGTGGCGATGATGGTGGTGGTGTGAGAATGATGTTGACTTGAGCGGAGAGTCTTGTAATACAAGCGTCAGCGATGGGATTTCACACAGTGGCAACACGCCACTCCACTTGGGTTCAGTGATGGTGAGGATAGAGAGGATGGCGATCGTAACTGGGGATGGTGATGATGGTGGTGATGATTGATGGTGATGGTGGTGATTGATGGTGGTTATGTTAACGGTGGTGACAACGGTAGTGGTGATGGTGATGCTAATTTGTAGTGATGCTAACGTTTGTGGTGACGGTGGTAGTGATGTTGATGATGGGTGGTTGTGATGGTGGTAGTGAATTTGATGATGACGGTGGTAGTGATGGTAATGATGGTGGTAGTGACGTTGATGATGATAGTGGTAATGACGGTGATGATGGTGGTAGTGATGATGTTGATGATGGTGGTAGTGATGTTGATGATGGTGGTAGTGATGTTAATGATGATGGTGATGGTGATGATGGTGGTAGTGATGGTGATGATGGTGGTAGTGATAATGATGGTGGTAGTGATGTTGAGGATGGTGGTTGTGATGTTGATGATGGTGATGATGGTGGTAGTGATGATGGTTGTAGTGATGATGATGTTGATGGTGGTGGTGGTAGTGATGATGGTGGTAGTAATGTTGATGGTGGTAGTGATGATGATGATTGTGATGTTGATGGTGATGATGGTGGTAGTGATGTTGATGGTGGTTGTGATGTTGATGGTGGTTGTGATGTTGATGATGATGACGGTTGTGATGTTGAGCGGATCGTGAGACGCCTCACCTGCCCAGGAGCTCGCTGCGTCGTCTCGCGACTCACCTCTCGGTCACGTGACCATCAACAAACATGCCCTTCGCTCGCTGTCGCTTTGTTACCACCCACAGAGGCTTCGTCCATTTCCTCAACGGTGAGTGTGGGCGTGGGGAGGGGGAGTTGCGGAGAGGATGAGGTGGGTGGGTGGGGAGGAGGAGGTGGTGGGTGGGGGGTTGGGTTGTGTTTCCTGGTGGGTGCTGGTGAGTGGGGTTGATTCTCGGGTTGAGGTTTGGTTCCGTTTGACCGGGGTCACGGAGCCCGCATGCCCAGCCACCGGATTCCACGCACGGGTTCTGTTTGGCCAGCCTAGATGAATCTTAACGGAGGGATGTGGAGCTGAGTGGACTTGCCGAAGAGCGGCACCAGCGGTGTCAAGATTGGCCTCTGGAGGAGGAGGAGGCTCGTGAAGGACGCTGCTGCTGCTACTGGGCAGTTGGAGGCAGTCGCCCTCCAGCAACAACGGAGGACAGGGGAGCGACGCTCACAACAACGGGCGGAGCGCCGTGCAGTTTAAAACGCAGCAATGTATATCAGTCGGTCGACCTATGACATCTGGGTCTGCCCTGTGAGCCTCCTGCACTTCACATGGCCTCAAAAGTGCACCTAGCCTGGCACAAGCGCTGTTGTGACGTCATCGCCACTCGGTGGCGAATGTCGCTTGTTTCTAGTGGTAATGGTGAGTGTGTCCGTGGTGTATCTCTGAGTGTGATCATGCGGTGGGGGGGGGGGGGGGACAGAGGAAGATAGGCCGCGCCATCTCCCCCCTGCGTCTCCACTCACCTGCCAGGACTCCTGTGTCCGCGTGATCTCCAGGTGACGAGACGTCCGCTGCGACAGCGCCTGTGGCACAGAGGGGAGACTGTGGAGGAGCCACGTGGCAGAGGAGGAGGGGGGGGTAGGGGGGGATCCGACGCGTCCCCTTCCACTCCCCCCCATCGAAATAAAGTCCCCTCCGCGTAGCCTACACAAGTACGTAAAAATTAAAAATAAAAATTAATGAAAGTAAAATTAAAATAAAATACAAAAAGATTATTTTACTTTTATTAATTTAATTTTTTTACTACGTGACTTTACCGAAAAAACCCAAGAATATGAATACTTGCAGTCACGAAAGCTTCAAATCTAGAATACACAAGTACGCGTGGTCAATGCAGACAGGATTGCTTGCAAAAGGTTTCAGTTTGGTGTTGTGACATCTCAACGCACACCGTTTTATTACCAGAAATGGCAAAACACTATTCTTATATTTTGATCCTGGCAATGGAGGTCCCATGATGTAGCTGCTCACCCCGAGCTCTCAATGTCCTGATAGTGGCATTGCCTGTGTGCTGTTCGCCTTTTGGCGTCGTCCTCTGGTCTAACACCGTTTGAGACGAGGCTCTAAAGAAAGCTGTCTCTGGTGTGGACCAATCCGTTTCAAAGACAATGCATTATATACTACCAGAGCATGTTTTTTTGTTTGCATGTTCACCACAAAGTGTATGTGGTTAACGCAGACATGATTCCTTGCAAAATAATTCAATTTGGTGTTTTAACATTTCAACACAACTGGTTTATTGCCAGAAAGGGTAAAAACCCATTCATATCCCGGCCACCTGAGTTCGATTCCCGACCATGGCAAACATCAGTGGCGAATATCCAAACCCGTTCTTGACCTCTCTACTAGGTCGACTCAACCTTAAGTCGAGAACCCGGGTGCAGTGTGTGTAACCATCAGCACTGGGGAGACAAAGGCGGCCGGGCGTGGTGCTGGCCACCCACCCCCTCGTGCTCTGCACCGGCCTTCATAGGTGCTGTTCGCTCATGGCACTTGCCCCAACAGGTCTGCTCAGGACATTACGGGGGAGTTCTAGATTTGAAGCTTTCATGACTGCAATGATTCATATTCTTAGGTGTTTTCGGTAAAGTCACGGAGGTAAAAAAATTTAAATTAATAAAAGTAAAATAAAATATGAATCACGACGTTTCGGAGGCTGTATCTTACTTGATACAGCTATCGTGCTGTGACGGTTCCACCTGAAGACGGAGGCTTGTGTTGCCTCCGAAACGTCGTGATTTTTATTTGATTTTACTTTTATTCATTTTAAATTTTTTACCTACGTGACTTTACCGAAAAAACCTAAGAATATTACGGAGGAGCTTTGTCTTTGTGCTGTGGTGGTGGTGGTGGTGTTGGCGGTGTGAATAGTGGTCACCAGACGTCCTTCAGGGCAGTGGTTAAATACACGGGGGTGCTTCAAACACAAATGTGAACGCTTCTGAGAATTTGCAACGACACCACGAAAAATGTGCCGCCTTCCGGGCGCTGGAGACCACCTGGAGAAGATTCCAGGCACGCGTTGACAACGATGGCCAACAAGTGGAGACTTTTTGAAGCTATTAGCATGCATTTGTTATCATGTTACAGTCGTTCTTTTTACATTAAAAACGATAGTCACATGTAAGTGTGATTTTTTTAAAGCACCCTGTAGATGACACAATACAGTAACGGTAGTTGTGTATAGGCGCACTCTAGTGACAATATATAAATACACAATGCATCGTTTTTGGATTTAAAGCTTTCGTGACTGCAGGGATTCATATTATTGGTTCTTTCGGTAAAGTCACGTAGAAGGGAAATAATAAAAGAATAAAAATAAAACATAAGAAAATAAAATTCTCTCGACGTTTCGGCCACAACGCAAGCAGCCGTCCTCAGATGAAGCAACAGAGCTGTCGGAAAGACAGCGTCCCCATGAACATATGTAAACTCCTTTGTCAAGGCGCTTTCCTCCTCCCACCCAGCTTAAAATACGCTGCCAAGCTTAGCAGTGTTCATTAGGACGCTGTCTTTCCGACAGCTTTGTTCTTCACCTGAGGACGGCTGCTTACGTTGTGGCCGAAACGTCGTGAGAATTGTATTATTTTATTATGTTTAAATTTTATTATTTTATTATTGCCCTTCTACTTAACTTTACCGAAAGAACCAAGAACACAATGCATCGTTCATACATATATCGTTCCGCAATCGGCAGGAATGTTTGCCCTGATGCAATGTCTACTTTTATTTATTTACAGGGACTTGCCAATTGTTTCCTCGATGTTGCATTCCCATCGTGTTTGTTGTTGGTGTTGTGTTCTTTGCCGTTGCAACTTTACTGACCGCGTGACCCCGACTGTACGTCTGTGAAACACGTGATGCTGCACTGCCCCCTACCGCCCACCGCGCTTAACGTCCGGCGCACGAGAGCGCACGACTCGATGTTGAACGTGGCCCCCCATCCATGTTGAACGTGGCCCCCCATCGATGTTGAACGCGGCCCCCCATCGAATTTGAACGTGGCCCTCCATCCATGTTGAACGTGGCCCCCCATCGATGTTGAACGTGGCCCCCCATCGAATTTTAACGTGGCCCCCCATCGATGTTTAACGTGGCCCCCCACCGATGTTGAACGTGCCCCCCCCCATACCCAATAATGATCGTTCATGCGATTGTGCAAAACAAAACAAGAATTGAAGGTCGTGGCAAGTGGAGGGATATACAAAGCGGCTTGGTCTGTGACACGCGCACCACGGGAAGAAGAGATGAGAGACGCGAGAGAGTGAGCGAGAAGTGGGGGTTTACATAAAGTTTAAAAATTAAAATAATAAAAAATTTTTTACGAAACATGAACGAAGCAAAGTGCCGAATACACCGAGCATCTTGTTTCCACTGATCGTAAAAAAATAGAGACGCGGAGAGAATGGACGAGGGGGGGTTGGGGGGGGGGCAGGGACCGGTACGCGAGAGAGAAGGGGATGGAGGCCGGGACGGAAGTCCCTCGAGACGGACAAAGAACGGGAGGAGGAAGTGGAAGTCACGGCTCAGGATGGAAACGCGTCTGCTCAAGATGCAGACGCGTCTGCTCAAGATGCAGACGCGTCTGCTCAAGATGCAGACGCGTCTGCTCAAGATGCAGACGCGTCTGCTCAAGATGCAGACGCGTCTGCTCAAGATGCAAACGCGTCTGCTCAAGATGCAGACGCGTCTGCTCAAGATGCAGACGCGTCTGCTCAAGATGCAGACGCGTCTGCTCAAGATGCAGACGCGTCTGCTCAAGATGCAGACGCGTCTGCTCAAGATGCAGACGCGTCTGCTCAAGATGCAGACGCGTCTGCTCAAGATGCAGACGCGTCTGCTCAAGATGCAAACGCGTCTGCTCAAGATGCAGACGCGTCTGCTCAAGATGCAGACGCGTCTGCTCAAGATGCAAACGCGTCTGCTCAAGATGCAGACGCGTCTGCTCAAGATGCAGACGCGTCTGCTCAAGATGCAGACGCGTCTGCTCAGGATGCAGACGCGTCTGCTCAGGATGCAGACGCGTCTGCTCAAGATGCAGACGCGTCTGCTCAGGATGCAAACGCGTCTGCTCAGGATGCAAACGCGTCTGCTCAAGATGCAGACGCGTCTGCTCAAGATGCAGACGCGTCTGCTCAAGATGCAAACGCGTCTGCTCAAGATGCAAACGCGTCTGCTCAAGATGCAAACGCGTCTGCTCAAGATGCAAACGCGTCTGCTCAAGATGCAGACGCGTCTGCTCAAGATGCAGACGCGTCTGCTCAAGATGCAGACGCGTCTGCTCAGGATGCAAACGCGTCTGCTCAAGATGCAGACGCGTCTGCTCAAGATGCAGACGCGTCTGCTCAGGATGCAAACGCGTCTGCTCAGGATGCAAACGCGTCTGCTCAGGATGCAAACGCGTCTGCTCAGGATGCAAACGCGTCTGCTCAGGATGCAAACGCGTCTGCTCAGGATGCAAACGCGTCTGCTCAGGATGCAAACGCGTCTGCTCAGGATGCAAACGCGTCTGCTCAGGATGCAAACGCGTCTGCTCAGGATGCAAACGCGTCTGCTCAGGATGCAAACGCGTCTGCTCAGGATGCAAACGCGTCTGCTCAGGATGCAAACGCGTCTGCTCAGGATGCAAACGCGTCTGCTCAAGATGCAAACGCGTCTGCTCAAGATGCAGACGCGTCTGCTCAAGATGCAGACGCGTCTGCTCAAGATGCAAACGCGTCTGCTCAAGATGCAAACGCGTCTGCTCAAGATGCAGACGTGCGGGAAGGTGGCAGTGTGGGGGGGAAGGAATGACCAAGATCTCGAGGAGGATGATGAGAGGGTGGAGACGATGATGATGATGACGATGAGAGGGGAAGAGAGGGAGATGAGAGGAGGAAGTAACTTGCGTGGAAGAGGAGGAGGAGCAGCGTCTGTAGTCACAGCGGGGTTGGCGGGTGAGAGGCGGGATTCCGAGTGGAGGTGGCTACAAGGAAATCGTTGCTTTACGGGAGCCTTGAGCGGATTTGGACATTCAGTAGAGCATAGGTGGTGTACGTATGTCGAACTTTTTTCGCACAATACGTAGCTAACGGTGCTAATCGGAGGCGCGGGATGATGAATACACTCGCGATATTGAGCGGGGCGGCCTGCTGGGGTCGAACCGCGAATCTCTGCACGCAGCTGCGAAGCGCTCAACCGCTGGGCCGTTTTTTTAAATATATCAAGTCCATCAAAGCAGAAAACCCCGATATGAAAAATTGTGAAATCGTATCGCCGAAATGATACCCAGAGCTCAGGAGCCGCGATGGGACTGGGCAGGGCGTTGATTCACGACCGTCCCACCCACTCACACACACACGACTTTAACACAAATCTCATCCGTGGCACAAGAATGGGAGTCGCCAGACCTGGCAAACAAGTGTCTCGTTACTCCCCCCCCCCCGCTGGTTTCAACCTCTACAGAAAGGAGTGGTCCACCCTCAACAGGTTCGGAACTGCTCACAGGCCCATTCCTCGCCACCCTCCACCGATGGGGCATAAGAGCGAGCGAGTCGCGACACGTGCCATGGTGGGGTGCAACAAGCCATGCTCCAAACATCCTAGAAGTCTGCCCGATCCGAATCATCCTCAACACAGCGGAGAACGGAAGCAACCGCTTGGCTTAGGGACTTTGAATTCGCTAAATGAAACATTGTCACACGAGAAGAAATCTCGAATTGACGCGACCTCTAAACACACACGCGCACGAAAACAAAGCGGAGCATTTGTAGAATGTTGATGTTCTTCGTAACACAAAAATAAATATTTCGCATTTTTGCTGGATAAATGCCTCCCCACGCTGGGGGTTTGGTCATGGTGCTTGTTTGACCATACTTCACCACGACGGTCAATGATGTTGGCCGTGGCCAGGAATCCAATTAGCCGTCAAAATGAGAATTATTAGACCGCCCTAGCCGCCCATCATCACCATCACCACTCCGGGGTCGATACAACGGCACCACTTTGTGGTAAGTCAGCAGTGGTTCGTGTTATGGATAAACTAACTCCCCCCCCCCCCGCCCCGTCATAGGAATGTGGAAGTTCAAGGCTCACGACTATTTGTCGTGTTTGTTTAGCCGAGGTGATAATAAAAACAAGAATTTGACACGCAGCCTTTCGCGACCAAAATAGAGGGGGTTTTTTTTGGGGGGGGGGGGGGGGTAAATCGCGTAAATGTAAATGTGTCGGGTGATGGCAGGTTTAACGACACATTTATATGAACGCGATCCAATCCAATCCGCCTCTAGTAGGATAACGACACGGGTATCAGCAGCGAGAGAGTGGCACGGAGTCATCGAGGCTTTCACAAGAAGCAAACGCGAAACGGATAACTGAAGGCGAGAGCGGTGGAAGCGAGAATAGAATAATGGGAGCTCCAAAAACAATCGAGTCGTCGTCGTCGTCTTCATCATCATCGCGAGGAATCGAAAATATTGCACGAAAATAAAATCCCCGCCTGAGTCCGGCTCGAGCAGAGCCGTTTTGTGTTTTTAAATCCTTTATATTAAGTTCACTTGCTTGCTTGCTTACGACCGTGCAAATCTTTCGGTCGTGTTTTACCCCACTTCCCGTGATCCAATCGAGCTGACATTTTGCACACATACTCGTTGTGCGTGACAATGTATTTTCGTGAATTTTTTTCTCCAAAATTTTACACTTTTTAGGAAAAAATAAATTATATTTATTTACCAATTGCTTAATGGTGGCAGGCATTCATCTGACTCATAGGTGGCAGCCATCTCAAGCCAGAGGACGAGAGGACTCTAGCCGCCACGCATATAAAGGATTTAGAGTGGAAAACTTTGTTTTTACGGGTTAATTTTTTGTTTGTTTCGACCGATCGTCGTCGCTGTGAAGTTACAGAGACACGAAACGGATCAAGGGTGGAGACCGTGCTCGCTATAAAACAAGAGGCCACATGTCAATTGGGCTATGTGAGGCTATGGGCAATATAAGTTTATGGGCAATGTAAGTCTATGGGCAATGTACGTTTATGGACAATGTTAGTGTATGGGCAGTGTTAGTCTATGGGCAATGTTAGTGTATGGGCAGTGTTAGTCTATGGGCAGTGTTAGTCTATGGGCAGTGTTAGTCTATGGGTAGTGTTGAGTCTATGGGCAGTGTTAGTCTATGGGCAGTGTTAGTCTATGGGCAGTGTTAGTCTATGGGTAGTGTTAGTCTATGGGCAGTGTTAGTCTATGGGCAGTGTTAGTCTATGGGTAGTGTTAGTCTATGGGTAGTGTTAGTCTATGGGTAGTGTTAGCCTATGGGCAGTGTTAGTCTATGGGTAGTGTTAGTCTATGGGCAGTGTTAGTCTATGGGCAGTGTTAGTCTATGGGCAGTGTTAGTCTATGGGCAGTGTTAGTCTATGGGCAGTGTTAGTCTATGGGTAGTGTTAGCCTATGGGCAGTGTTAGTCTATGGGTAGTGTTAGTCTATGGGTAGTGTTAGTCTATGGGCAGTGTTAGTCTATGGGCAGTGTTAGTCTAAGGGCAGTGTTAGTCTATGGGTAGTGTTAGTCTATGGGCAGTGTTAGTCTATGGGCAGTGTTAGTCTATGGGCAGTGTTAGTCTATGGGTAGTGTTAGCCTATGGGCAGTGTTAGTCTATGGGTAATGTAATTGCAGCATATGGTGACTTGCAACTCGTATGTAAACACACAACTACGTGTGCCAATTAGGCAATGTTTGTATCCGTGTAATGTAAAAACAAAGGGAAATGCTCGTCTTAACTACCATCCAATGACCATACTTCACCACCCTGGTCCGAGCGAGTCAGGGAGGGGAAGCCCCGTGTTTGATTCATGTGCAATATGTACAGTTCATATACAATATGTACAGTATGTAGAGTATACGCCACTAACTTTAGCCCTGAGCAGGAATCGAACTCGGGTGGTCGGGTTGGTCGCGCATTGCGCTAACCACTGCACCACCACTCCACCCCTCAGCTTTGTTATTCCTGCTGCTGTCATATCACAGCCCCTCCCCCTCCCTCCCCTCCCACTTACGATCCCACCATCTCGTTCGCACTCTTCCACTCTTTCACTCTGGTTCCCACTCACTCTCTCATTCTCCCACTCTCTCACTCACTCTCAATCCCACTCACGATCCCACTCTCACACTCTCTCACTCTCTCATTCTCACACTCTCCCCCTCACGATCCCACTCTTAATCTCACTCTCTCGTTCCCACTCTTCTACTCTCTCACTCTCCCACTCACTCTCCCATTCTCCCGCTCACTCATTCTCCCAATCACTCATTCTCCCACTCTCTCATTCTCCCACTCATTCTCTCACTCTCCCACTCTCCCACTCTCTCACTCTCCCACCTACTCTCCCACTCACTCTCTCACTCTCCCACTCTCTCACTCTCTCACTCTCCCACCTACTCTCCCACTCACTCTCTCACTCTCCCACTCTTTCACTCACTCTCCCACTCACTCACTCACTCTCTCATTCTCCCACTCACTCTCTCACTCTCCCACTCACTCACTCACTCTCTCACTCTCCCACTCACTCACTCACTCTCTCACTCTCCCACTCACTCACTCACTCTCTCACTCTCCCACTCACTCTCTCACTCTCCCACTCTTTCACTCACTCTCCCACTCACTCACTCACTCTCTCATTCTCCCACTCACTCACTCACTCTCCCACTCTCTCACTCTCCCACTCACTCACTCACTCTCCCACTCACTCACTCACTCTCCCACTCTCTCACTCTCCCACTCACTCTCTCACTCTCCCACTCTTTCACTCACTCTCCCACTCTCCCACTCTTTCACTCACTCTCCCACTCTCTCACTCTCTCACTCTCTCACTCTCCCACTCACTCACTCACTCTCCCACTCACTCACTCACTCTCTCACTCTCTCACTCTCCCACTCACTCACTCACTCTCCCACTCACTCACTCACTCTCCCACTCACTCACTCTCCCACTCACTCACTCTCCCACTCACTCACTCTCCCACTCACTCACTCTCCCACTCACTCACTCTCCCACTCACTCACTCTCCCACTCACTCACTCACTCTCCCACTCACTCACTCACTCTCCCACTCTCTCACTCGCTCACTCTCCCACTCACTCACTCACTCTCCCACTCACTCACTCACTCTCCCACTCACTCACTCACTCTCCCACTCACTCACTCTCCCACCCTCCCACCCTCTCACTCTCCCACCCTCTCACTCTCCCACTCTCTCACTCTCTCACTCTCCCACTCACTCACTCACTCTCCCACTCACTCACTCTCCCACCCTCCCACCCTCTCACTCTCCCACTCTCTCACTCTCCCACTCACTCACTCTCCCACCCTATCACCCTCTCACTCTCCCGCTCTCACGCCCTTCGTACCGTCATCGATCATCTTCCTCTTCTTCACCTCTTCCCACTCCATGCCCCGGGTGGTTGGACAGCCGTGGAGCGAGCTGACAAGACGCAGCGGGTGGTGGAGGATGGGGGGGAGTGATGTCCGATCTCTGCGCGGGGCGCTGGGGTTAGGGAGGGTCGCGGTCCCACCACCTCCCTCGCTCGGCAGATGGAGTTCGCGGGGTCTTGGACGGCGTGGCGAGGAATCTTGCAACAAACCCCTGGCTGGTGCAGAGCTCCACGTGCGGCAGATTCCCCCACGGAGCTCCGAGATTCTCCCTCCTCCCGAGCGAGGAGCAGCGAGGAGCAGCAGCAGCGAGGAGTCTCTGGGAGGTCCCTCGAAGACTTCCGCGTCGCGCGCCCCGAGATTCTCAGACGACGTTCAGCCTCCTGTGACGTCACCGGGTGCTCTCGCTTCGAGATTCAGAGGGGGCCCCGTGCGGTGATGCAGGGCGTGGTGGGGGGAGGATTGGGGGGAGAAGTTGGGGGGGGGGGAGGAGGGGGGGGAGAAGTTGGGGGGGGGGGAGGAGGGGGGGGGAGAAGTTGGTGGGGGGGAGGAGGGGGGGGGAGAAGTTGGTGGGGGGGGGGGGAGGAGGGGGGGGGGAGTTGGTGGGGGGGAGAAGTTGGGGGGGGAGAAGTTGGGGGGAGGGGGGGGAGAAGTTGGTGGGGAGGAGGGGGGGGGAGAAGTTGGTGGGGGGGAGGAGGGGGGGGGAAGTTGGTGGGGGGTAGGAGGGGGGGGGAGAAGTTGGTGGGGGGGAGGAGGGGGGGGGAGTTGGTGGGGGGGAGGAGGGGAGGGGGAGAAGTTGGTGGGGGGGAGGAGGGGGGGGAAGTTGGTGGGGGGTAGGAGGGGGGGAGAAGTTGGTGGGGGGGAGGAGGGGGGGGAGTTGGTGGGGGGAGGAGGGGGGGAGAAGTTGGTGGGGGGTAGGAGGGGGGGGTAGAAGTTGGTGGGGGGGAGGAGGGGGGGGAGAAGTTGGTGGGGGGGAGGAGGGGGGAGGAGGGGGGGAGAAGTTGGTGGGGGGTAGGAGGGGGGGGGGGGAGTTGGTGGGGGGGAGGAGGGGGGGAGAAGTTGGGGGGGGAGAAGTTGGGGGGAGGAGGGGGGGGGAAGTTGGTGGGGAGGAGGGGGGGGGAAGTTGGTGGGGGGTAGGAGGGGGGGGGAGTTGGTGGGGGGTAGGAGGGGGGGGGGAGAAGTTGGTGGGGGGGAGGAGGGGGGGGGAAGTTGGTGGGGGGTAGGAGGGGGGGGGGAGAAGTTGGTGGGGGGGAGGAGGGGGGGAGAAGTTGGTGGGGGGTAGGAGGGGGGGTAGAAGTTGGTGGGGGGGAGGAGGGGGGGGAGAAGTTGGTGGGGGGGAGGAGGGGGGGATGTGGTGGGGGGAGGAGGGGGGGAGAAGTTGGTGGGGGGTAGGAGGGGAGGGAGAAGTTGGTGGGGGGGAGGAGGGGGGGATGTGGTGGGGGGAGGAGGGGGGGAGAAGTTGGTGGGGGGGTGGTGGGAGAGGGGAGGAGGAATTGGTGAGGGCGTTCGCCTAACCCCCATGGCAGGCGTGGTGGGGGGAGGAGGGGGAGCGACAGACGAGAGGGGGGCGCGTGAGTGGGGGAGGCGTGAGGGTGCGACTCGGGGTGAGGAAGGAGGGAGTGAGGGGGGCGGGGGTAATGAATGGGGGCGGGGGGGGAAGATGAGAGGGTGGGGCGGATGAGGGAGTGAACATCACAGATCATGAGAACACAACACGACATCAGCCCCCTCCCCATCACAGCCTGGCCCATCAGCCCCCCCCCATCACAGCCTGGCCCATCAGCCCCCCCCATCACAGCCTGGCCCATCAGCCCCCCCCCCCATCACAGCCTGGCCCATCAGCCCCCACCCCATCACAGCCTGGCCCATCAGCCCCCCCCCCCCATCACAGCCTGGCCCATCAGCCCCCCCCCATCACAGCCAGGCCCATCAGCCCCCCCCCCATCACAGCCTGGCCCATCAGCCCCCCCCCCATTGTGTCTGGGAATTCAGCTCCGCGCGACTCTCAGCACGAAAGAGTTTCTTGTTTTTCGTGTTTTTTTTATGGTCGTCCACTGGCCACGTGGTGGTGGTTGGTGGTGGTTGGTGGTGGTGGTGGGTGGTGGTTGGTGGTGGTGGTGGTTGGTGGTGGTGGTTGGTGGGTGGTGGTGGTGGTGGTTGGTGGTGGTTGGTTGGTGGTGGTTGGTGGTTGGTGGTGGGTGGTGGGTGGTGGTGGTGGTAGTGGTTGGTGGTGGGTGGTGGTTGGTGGTGGTGGTTGGTGGTGGTGGTGGTGGTGGGTGGTGGGTGGTGGTGGTGGTAGTGGTTGGTGGTGGTTGGTGGTTGGTGGTTGGTGGTGGTGGTGGTGGTTGGTGGTGGTGGTGGTTGGTGGTGGTGGTTGTTGTTGTTTCTCGTTCGTGTTCTCGCTTCCCCGGGGCGATTTGTGAGCGACTCTCTGGTGGGTGGGGAGTCATCAGAGTCGCGTGACTGATTGCAGAGACACGTGACTGAACTGGTCGCGGGGCTCCCCTAGGTCGGCTTGGCCTTAAACGAGTACCTGGTGCGGAGTGTAATCATCGTCATCACTTGGGAGACAAAGGCGGCCGGGCGGGGTGTTGCCCACACCATCACCTCGTGCGCCGTGCCGGCCTTCATAGGTGCTCGCCAACAGCACTTTTCTCAGCAGCCTATGTAAGGCTACACGGGTGATCTTTGTCTTTGTGTCTCACGATCGTCTCTGCTATTCCCCCAAACTTCTTACAACCTCGCTCAATTCAAGAAACGTGTTTAGTCATCTTCTTGGTTCTTTCGGTAAAGTCACGTAGAAGTGAAGTAATAAAATAATAAAAATAAAACATTATAAAATAAAATAGTCATCTTTTTGCAACTTGGATAGCGCTGTCTGGTACTGGCCGATTGGGGTTTAGTTCAGTTCAGTTTCATTTATTAGGTATAACCCTGTGAGCCATGCGGCTCTTGACTCGGGTGCAACCGCAACAAACAAAAACATGAACAAGAAACATCTTAAAGTGACTACGACAGAAAAATCCTCGAAATAACAGCAAAGTCTTCCAGAAAAAGCAACATACACCAACGCTGTGTGCAAAATTCCCAGTGGGATGCAAATCAAAAATAACAACCATAAGACAATGCAGATTAAAGTTATCAGGCTAACTCTGTACTACAACAAACAAGCATGGTTAAACCAAAACGTTTTAGGGCGTCACGGTGGAAAGATGTTAACTACCTCGCCTGGTGTGCAGGAGGTCCGTGGATTCCCGATCCTGACGCCTGTACATTTGGAGCTTTCATGTTCTCCTCGTGGTCGTGTGGGTCCTCCGGGTTTTCCCTCCGCATTAAGAATCAACGTGCTTTTAGAGGATTTGGCTGCTACAAATGTGCACGTAATAGGCCACTTCATTGAGCTATCATTTGTGGGCAGGTCGCTATTGACAAAGAGCTACATAACTCAGTGAGCCTTACCTGGTAAATTAGTATAACCCGTAAAAACAAAGTTTTTCACTATAAATCCTTTATATGCGTGGCGGCTAGAGTCCTCTCGTCCTCTGGCTTGAGATGGCTGCCACCTATGGGTAAGATGATTGCATGGCAGCATTAAGCAATTGGTAATTAAATATAATTTTTTTGTCCTAAAAAGTGTAAAATTTTAGAAAAAAATTTTCACGAACATTGTCACGCACAACGAGTCTGTGTGGAAGATGTCAGCTCGATTGGATCACGGGAAGTGGGTTAAAAAACGACCGAAAGATTTGCACGGTTCTAAGCAAGCAAGCAAGTGAACTTAATATAAAGGATTTAAAAATAGTTTAGTTTAATTGTTGTTATTCTTAGTTCTTTTGGTAAAATCGCGTAGAAGGGAGATAATACAATAATATACATATAAAACAATACAAATTATCATGACGTTTCGACTGCAACACAAGCAATCATCATCAGGTGTGAAATCAGGTGTGAAAATCTTGCTGTGGATTTCACACCTGATGATGATTGCTTGCGTTGCAGTCGACACGTCGTGAGAATTTTTATTGTTTGTATTTATATTATTTTATTTTCTCCCTTCTACGTGACTTTACCGAAAGAACCAAGAATATGAATCCCTGCAGTCACGAAGCTTTAAATCTAAATTTAGTTGTTGTTGTTGTTGTTAAAAGTCAACGTGGTATTGGGATGCGAGTGTAAGCACACGGGAATCAGGACAATCTCCGAGTCGATTTTAATATTCAACCAGCAGTGGCTCACTCAGACAGCCAGCACTGACGAAGAACACAGAAAAACCGCCAACTAAAAAGTGCGCAAAGAAGCAGGCTTGAAATACAACCCCCGGGACTGCTTATGGATGGTGGTGACCGGTGGGAGAGACTACCAGCGGAGTGGCAGCCAAAGGAGGCGATGCGCCTGCTAACGGGGTGAGAACAGTCCCGGATTATACACTGGTCAACAACAAAAATCATTCTGGCCTGGACTTTTGCAGCTGTTTTAGACTAATTTCAGGGTGCTGATTCCAAATCTGATCTCAGATTTGCTCTATCACATCTCATTTTATGCTAGTGGGGTTAATCTGGCAGGTCTGGCTAGTAGGGTCAGTTTAGTGGGGTTAATCTGGTAGGTCGGGCTAGTAGGGTCAGCCTAGTGGGGTTAATCTGGTAGGTCGGGCTAGTAGAGTCAGCTTAGTGGAGTTAATCTGGTATGTCTGGCTAGTAGGGTCAGTTTAGTGGGGTTAATCTGGTATGTCTGGCTAGTAGGGTCAGCCTAGTGGGGTTAATCTGGTAGGTCGGGCTAGTAGAGTCAGTTTAGTGGGGTTAATCTGGTAGGTCTGGCTAGTAGAGTCAGCCTAGTGGAGTTAATCTGGTAGGTCTGGCTAGTAGAGTCAGCCTAGTGGGGTTAATCTGGTAGGTCTGGCTAGTAGGGTCAGTTTAGTGGGGTTAATCTGGTAGGTCGGGCTAGTAGAGTCAGTTTAGTGGGGTTAATCTGGTAGGTCTGGCTAGTAGAGTCAGCCTAGTGGAGTTAATCTGGTAGGTCTGGCTAGTAGAGTCAGCCTAGTGGGGTTAATCTGGTAGGTCTGGCTAGTAGGGTCAGTTTAGTGGGGTTAATCTGGTAGGTCTGGCTAGTAGAGTCAGCCTAGTGGAGTTAATCTGGTAGGTCTAGCTAGTAGGGTCAGCCTAGTGGGGATAATCTGGTAGGTCGGGCTAGTAGAGTCAGCCTAGTGGAGTTAATCTGGTAGGTCTGGCTAGTAGGGTCAGCCTAGTGGGGTTCATTTAGTAGGTCGGGCTAGTAGAGTCAGGCTCAGGCCAGGGGTCCGTGGCTTGGCACACACACGCACGCCTCCCTCTGGCTTAGCATGAAAGGTCGGCAGCCCAGGTTGTCCATGCCCTCGTGGATGGCGTCCATGATGGAGCCGCACTTCCCTGCGCACCGCACGGAGAGAGAAGAGAAAGAGGAGCCACGCTGCCACCACCGCAGATTCCGAGCTCACCTCCATGAGGCTCGCATCGAGAGACCCATAGACTCGCACAGAGACCCATAGACTCGCACAGAGACCCATAGATTCGCACAGAGACCCATAGACTCACACAGAGACCCATACCAGCCCCTACCCACCCTCCCCACCCAACCCCACCCTCCCCACCCAGCCGCTCCCCACTCTTCCCTCCCCACCCAGCCCCTCCCTCCCCACCCAGCCCCTCCTTGCACGACGGACGGACACAATAATCCCCTGTGGGCTGGTGTAACCAGGAGGTTCCTACCAGTAATATCAGCATTGGGGGAGGCAAAGGCGGCCGGGCGTGGTGTTGACCACGTTCCCCTGCACAGGTGCGTGAGGGTGAGTGGGTGCACAAGTGTGTACGTGCGTGTGTGCGTGCGTGTGTCCGTGCGTGCGTGCGTGTGTACGTGTGTCCGTGCGTGTGTGTGTACGTGCGTGCGTATGTACGTGTCTGTGCGTGTGTGTGTACGTGTGTCCGTGCGTGTGTCCGTGTGTGTGTGTCCGTGTGTGTGTGTGGGGAGCGGTGGTGTAGTGGTTAGCGCGCTGCGCTACGAACCTCGCGAAACAGAGTTCGATTCCCGCTCACGGCTAAAATCAGTGACGATTATCTGAACCTGTCTTGGGCCTCCCCTAAGTCGACTCAGCCTCAAATGAGTACCTGGTGTGATGTGTAAACATCGCCACTGGGAAGACAAAGGCGGGCGGGCGTGGTGCTGGCCGCCCACCCCCTCGTGTGCCGTTCCGGCCTTCATAGGTGCTCGCTAACAGCACTTGCCCCTACAGTCTGTTACAGGCTACACGGGGGATATTTGTGTGTGTGTGTGTCCGTCGCTAACAGTCCGTCGAGGCTCCGGTGGCCGGGTTCCCACCGCCACTGCCACCACCTTGCGAGAGCGTGAAGAGGTTGAACACCCAGTCGAGGCGGTCGCACACGCGGCCCATGCAGCGGCGGAAACGTAAGTCGCAGTCCACGCGCGCGACTCCGCACCTCGCGTAGCAGAGGTCGTGGCGATTACAGCAGCGGGTCACCCCGCCCAGCGCGCTCACCTCGCCCTGCCCGGCAACACACAGGAAATTATTTTAAAAACGGACAGATGAAGATTCCCCACAACTCCCCCCCCGTTGTAGCCTTCAATGGACTGTTGGGTAGTGTGGGTGTGTGTGGGTTCACAGGTGTGTGTGTGTGGGTGCACAGGTGTGCCCGTGTGTGTGGGTGCACAGGTGTGTCCGTGTGTATGTGCGGGTGTGTCCGTGTGTGTGGGTGCACAGGTGTGTGTATGTGGGTGCACAGGTGTGTGTGTGGGTGTGTGTGTGGGTGTACCAGGTGTGTCTGTGTGTGTGGGTGCACAGGTGTGTGTGTGTAGATGTGCGGTGGTGTAGCGGTCAGCACGCTGCGCTACGAACCCAGCTACCCGAGTTCGATTCCCGCTCACGGCCAACACCAGTGATGATTTTCTGAACCGTCCTGGGCCTCCCCTAGGTCGACTCGGCCTCAAATGAGTACCTGGTGCGGTGTGCAAACATCGTCATTAGGGAGACAAAGGCGGCCGGGCGTGGTGCAGGCCACCCACCCCCTCGCGTGCCGTGACGGCCTTCATAGGTGCTCGCTAACAGCACTTGTCCCCAACAGTCTGTTAAGGTTATCGGAAGGGATCTTTGTGTGTGTGTGTCTTTGTTATCGTTCTAGTTTGAACTTGTCGAACCTGGAGCGTGCCAATAATAGGTGGGGCTTCCTATTTGCCTCATCAAAAATCCCCATACCTGGGGTGTTTTTATTTATTTATCATGAAACACTCCACTCGCTCGACACCCTCGCGAGTGATGGGGCAATTGTGGAGAGAATGGGGGCGTTCCCATACCTGGCCTCCGAATCTTTTCATCAGCTGCGTTACGTGGTTGTATTCACGGCCACTGTTCTGCAATCCTCACCTCACCTACGCATGTGAAACGCGGATCCCTTTTTAAAGAAAGATCTGAACCGGTATTAAACACTTTTTGACAGATACCTGCACAGCGCGACTCACGACCTCCTCTTGATACCAAGATCCAGGATGGTCACGTCTATGCGCTGCTAGTCGGTGGCAGCCCCAACAGTCTGGAACAATATCTCTCTGCACATTCGCAGCATCACCTCAATCGCCTCCTTCAAGAAATACTTAAAAACTCACTTCTATAACCACGTGCTTTCGAGCGACTCTGAGCTCGGCTCCGCGCCTCTGAGTTACGGCCATTACGTCCGTAAATTTGCGCGCGTTATAAATTGAATCTCGCAGATCCTGGAGAGATCTAGACATCGGCAGGCGAGTCAACGTTGGCTGGGTCACGTAGCCTGCAATCCAGCCACCGCAAGCCCAAGCAGCTTCTGTTTGCCGGATAGAGGGGGCTAAACGGGCGAGATAAGAGGCGGGCTGACGTGGTTACAGTACGGGATGATGTGGAGCTGAGTGGACTTGCCGATAACTGGTACCAGCAGTTTCAAGATCGTCCTCTGCTGACACGACTCGTGAATGACGCTAAAGGGCAGTTGGAGGCAGCCGCCCTCCAGCAACAACGGAGGGCAGAGGAGCGACGTTTACAAAGCACAGCTAGTGCATCTGCCGGTCATCTCAGGTAGTCATCTCATAGGACCTGGGTCTGTCCCGTGACCTGTCAGCGACTCTTCGACACTTCACGCGGCGCCAAAGTGCACCTAGCCTGACACAGGCACCGTAGAGCTGTCACTACCACTTGGTGTTGTTGATGTGTGCATGATGCGGCAAAAACAACATCCTACCTCCTTGTTGGTGCCGGACGGCAACGCTGTGGTGGGCAGTGCCGTGGGGGGAGGGCCAACTTAGATTGGCCATTCCCCTCGTGGCGTTTGTAACCACCACAGCGGCCAAATGGGGGCTCTGGACGGGGTGCGAGGGGCTGGTAACCACGAAAACACGATTTTAAAATGTAATTAAGCCTGTGCCGGAGGCCCCGGGGGGACAGGCGTCTATGACGTCTCCTGGCCAAACCCCATTTGGCGGAGCCAGGAGACTGAATCCTTACCCTCGGGCTCCTCCAGAAACAACAAAAAACCACTACGGGTGGCCAAATGGAATGTTCGAACGCTCACTGCGGAGGAGAGGCTGCTACTCCTTTATCGGGAGCTGGACCGGTACCGCCTGGATCTCTGTGGTATTCAGGAGGTCCGGTGGACCGGCTCTGGCTCCTGCCACCATGAGGGGTGGACAGTCCTCTACTCGGGGCAGGAGACTGCAATACAACAGGGAGTGGCTCTTCTTCTGAACCAAAGAATGAAGGGGAAGTGGGAGCGTGACGGTGAGGTGTGGGAAGCTGTAAGCCCCAGGATACTTTAGGCTCGCCTTCCCATCAACCAGAGGCGAGGAGTGGTGGTCGTGGTTACTTATGCCCCCACTGAAGACGAACATCCGTGGAGGGATGCAGGCAAGGCCGATAAGTCAGATGCCTTCTATGACCTCCTGTCACAGGTGCTAGCTAAAGTGGCCCCTCGGGATAGAGTCATCTTGTTGGGTGACTTCAATTCCCGAGTTGGTCATGATGCTGGCACCTGGTCTGGAGTGATTGGAAGGCATGGGCCAGATCAGCTCAATAACACGCGGTTCCGGCATCGGCGCATCCACACAACATCATGGATGCATGCTGGGTCCAAGCAAGAACATCTGCTGGACTACATAGCGATAGAACAGCGGATGCCGGCCCATGTCCTTTGACACCAGGACCTACCGTGGAGCTGATCTGCCCACTGACCATTGACTTGTCAAATGTAAGATGCGCCTGCTATTCTTTCACTCCGGTGGTGGGTGTACACCCAGGACCCCATTCAAACCCATTGTGGCATGGTCTCAGCTAACTGAAGTTGCAAGCGAGAATTTAATCATCGCTTGCGGCTAGGGTTGGCATCGTCCCCAACTCCTCCTGATGTCATGAGGAAATGGCCGAGGTTTAGGAATATGGCTCATGCAGCTGCAATGGCTGCTTTTGGTACACGGTCCAGATCTCCCCAGAAACCCTGGCTGATAGAGGAGGTTTTCAGGCTGGCTGAGAAAAAGCGACAGGCCCACTCTCATCGTCTACAGCATCCCATGTCAGAGAATGAGGAGGCTTACCGCAGCCTTCGCTCGGAGGTTCGGAGAGCCGTGAGGCACTGCAAGGATGGGTGGTAGTCGCGGGTTGCTGAGGAGTCTGCCTCAATGGGATGTAGAGCTGAGTGGACTTGCTGATGACTGGTACCAGCGGGTGTCAAGATCGGCCCCTGTGGAGCAGGCTCGTGAAGGACGCTACTGGGCAGTTGGAGGCAGTCGGAGGCAGTCGCCCTCCAACAACAACGGAGGAGCGACGCTCACAACAACGAGCAGAGCGCCGGGTGGTTAAAGCACCTCAAGTTGGCACAGTAGAGGGCACAGGTGGTGCATTAGCCACTCATCTAAGTCAGTCGACCCGTGGCACCTGGGTCTGCTCCGTGACCTCCTGCCAGCGGGCGTTCGACACTTCACGTGGCCTCAACGTGCACATAGCCTGGCACAAGCGTCGTGGTGACGTCACCCCCATTTAGTGGCGAATGGCGGTTGATGATGCGCAGTGTATGCTGCTGCGTGCGTGATGCGCTGTTCATGATGTGCCGTGTATGCTGCTGCTGTGAGTGTGATGCGCTGTGAGTGTGATGCGCTGTGAGTGTGATGCGCTGTGAGTGTGATGCGCTGTGAGTGTGATGCGCTGTGAGTGTGATGCGCTGTGCATAATTCTGCTTCTGTGTGCTGCTGTGATGCGCTGTGTATGATGCTGCTGCTGCTGTGTGTGAGATGCGCACGTATAATCCGAAGACAGGAGATCCACATCCGTTCGGAGCAGACACGAAGCCCGGCCGAGGCTCGGGTTTAGATCCTGAAACAAGAACACGCAGCGACTCCCCGTCAGACTCGTAGACCTCTTGGGGGCAGGTGCTGTTAGCGAGCACCTATTAAGGCCGGCTCGGCACACGAGGGGGTGGGTGGCCAGCACCACGCCCGGCCGCCTTTGTCTCCCCAGTGTCGATGTTTACACACCGCACCAGGTACTCGTTTGAGGCTGAGTCGCTCTAGGGGATGCCCAGGACCGGTTCAGATAATCGTCACTGGTGTTGGCCGTGAGCGGGAATCGAACTCGGGTCGCCAGGTTCGTAGCGCAGCGCGCTAACCGCTACACTTCCGCTGCCCACCTACACATATAAACAACCTCCGTTCACCACTAAGTGGCGGTGACGTCACCACGGCGCCTGTGCCAGGCTAGGTGCACTTTGAGGCCACGTGAAGTGTCGAAGGGCCCGCTTGGCATGAGGTCACGGGACAGACCCTGCAGGTGCCATGGGTTTGAGTGACCGAGATGACTGTCTGATGCACACCACCTATGCCACCCCCCCACCCCCATTGTGCGTTGTAGCAATAAACTAAAGCAATTTGCCAGGGCAGTGCACTGGAAACGGTTACCGGTTCATGCCTTTAAGAACCGCTCATCGATTATAAAAGCGATTAGCGGTGTACGGGTTGTCGTTAAACAGCCCCAATAGAAATCCACAAACACACACAAACCCACAACGCAACGCAGTCAATCACACCGCGACCTTAAACGGAGAAGAAAATAAGTAAACCCGTAAAAACAAAGTTTTTCACTCTAAATCCTTTATATGCGTGGCGGCTTGAGTCCTCTCGTCCTCTGGCTTGAGATGGCTGCCACCTATGGGTCAGATGATTGTCTGCAGTATTAAACAATTGGTAATTAAATATAATATTTTTGTCCTATAAAGTGTAAAATTTTGGAAAAAAATTTCACGAACATTAATTGTCACGCACAACGAGTATGTGTGGAAAATGTCAACTCGATTGAATCACGGGAAGTGGGTTAAAAAACGACCGAAAGATTTACACGGTCGTAAGCAAGCAAGCAAGCACGCAAGCAAGCAAACAAACTTAATATAAAGGATTTTAAAACGTTATAGACGACGTTTCGGGCATTGACCCCCGACCCCCCCGTTACCGTTCCCGCACGTGTAGCGGCAGGTCCCCTCATTCCCGCCCAGGTACTCGACCGCAGTGTCCAGGAAGCCCCCCAGTGCCTCCACTCGCTCCAACATCCAGCCCCCCTTTTGCGTGACCCCCTCTTCCTTGCCCCCCTCTTGCGTGCCCCCCTCTTCCGTGCCCCCCACTTCCTTGCCCCCCTCTTGCGTGACCCCCACTCCCGTGCCCCCCTCTTCCTTGACCCCCTCTTGCGTGCCCCCCTCTTCCGTGCCCCCCACTTCCTTGCCCCCCTCTTGCGTGCCCCCCTCTTCCTTTACCCCGTCTTGCGTGACCCCCACTTCCGTGCCCCTCTCTTCCGCACCCCCCCGATGCACCCCCCCCGGATCCGGCTCGCTCTCATTCCATGCACCATGCCCCCCCATCGCCACCGCCACCGCCAGCAGCAGCATCAGCAGCGTCAGCAGGAACGGCAGCGTGGATGTCATGCTGCCGGCTGGGTCGTTCCGAGTCTTCCTCTCGCCGAAGTAACGCGGAGTGGAGGGTTGAGAGTACCGAGCAAAAAAACTCTCCGGGCGTATATCGGCGTCCGCTGTCCCCGTCGCGCTATGTTCCCAACCCCGCCTGGTCCTTTTTAGTTGTTAATTTTGTTGTTAATTTTGGACGTCCAAAGGGTTCTGGCACCCAGCAACGTGGAGTGGAGTGGTGTGACGAGACGCGATCCCAGATCACCTGGAGCCCCCACCCCTCCCCTCCCCTCCGCCCGCTCTCCTGGGCTGGCCGCGGTAACGTGGAGTGAGGCTGGCGCGGGTCGACACGTGGGAGTTCCCGACCCCTCCCCTGGTGAACCCGGCGCGTGGAGCTCGGAGGACAAAGTCCACTCGGGGGGCGGGGCCAGGACCCCCCCCCCCCGTGTCAACTCCAGCCTCCGCACACCTCGTCATCACGTCACACCTCGTCATCACGTTATTACGTCATCACGTCACACCTCGTCATCACGTTATTACGTCATCACGTCACACCTCGTCATCACGTCACACCTCGTCATCACGTTATTACGTCATCACGTGACACCTCGTCATCACGTGACACCTCGTCATCACGTCACACCTCGTGATCACGTTATTACGTCATCACGTGACACCTCGTCATCACGTGACACCTCGTCATCACGTGACACCTCGTCATCACGTCACACCTCGTGATCACGTTATTACGTCATCACGTGACACCTCGTCATCACGTGACACCTCGTCATCACGTGACACCTCATCACGTCACACCTCGTCATCACGTCACACCTCGTCATCACGTGACACCTCATCACGTGACACCTCATCACGTGACACCTCGTCATCACGTGACACCTCATCACGTGACACCTCGTCATCACGTCACACCTCGTCACCAGGTCACACCTCGTGCTGCCACGGCTGACACGGGAGTCCTCTTCTTGCCAACCGCGTCTGGCGGCAAGGCAGCAGAATTGTGTCTCTTCAGAGTCCTGGGGGTCGGCAACCTGCAGACTCCGCGAGCCGCGTGCGGCTCTCGAAGCGACTTCATCGCGGCTCTTGAAATATTTCCGCGTTTGACCGAATTCAATAATCTTCTTGGTTCTTTCGGTAAAGTCGCGTAGAAGGGAAGTAATAAAATAATAAAAATAAAACATAATAAAATAAATCTCACGATGTTTCGGCCACAACGCAAGTGTGATGCCGCCGCCACGAAGCCGTTCGGCAGGCACCAAATCCCCGACCTCGCCACCACCAAGCAACGGAGCCGACCCCGCGTCCCCCTCACCTCACCTCACATGAACACACCCGCACTCATTTCCCCCCCCCCATAGAGCTCCGAGGGGAGGTCGCCTGGCCGACCGGTTTTTATCCGAGAGACCCTTATCGGGATTAATTCTCACGGTTTCCGGCGATCAGGGAATTGGATGACCTCCCCCGTGCTACGTGGCACCGCGGCGCTGCGGCCGGCCTTAATATGGTGTGGTCGCGGCGTGGGGCATTCGGCCACCGCGGTTGAGGCGCATTTCCCCCCACACACACTCCCACGGGTCGACGGGGCAAGCAGGGGAGGCACGGGACAGCATGAATAGCGGGGTCACAGGGGCTGTTGCGCATAGTCATGGAGGGTTGGGATAATTGCGCTTGAGCGCGCAGGCCCCATTGTTAGGAAGGGTAAGGGAGTAATTAGGATGTACGCCGCCAACGTCGCTCACTGATTAGCATATCAACAGCGCCCGGGAACCGCCGTGCGCGGGCTTGGGGTGCACGAGCCCATTGTTCAGCGCAGCATCCCCTTTGAGGTAGGGAGGATAAATAGAGGAGCGCAGAGGGGAAATCGGGCTCTTCTCTCCAGCGCCAGGCGACAGGACGCTCTCCAGTCCAGCGACCCGATCGTCCGTGAGACGCATCGAGGTACGCTGCGAGCACGGGATCAACGAACCGCCGTGGGCATCCAGCAGGAAGTAAGTAGGTGAATTAGAATCATAGCAGATAAATCGGGAATAGGTATAAAGGTATCAGCGTAGGCCAGCCTCGTCGACTCACTGATTTAACATTAAATTACCAGGTATCAGATAATAAATCATTAATAGCGAAGCATGGTCTCGCGTGATATTGTCGTGCAGTGTGAGCGTGTGGGTGCGCGTGTGTACACTGTGGTTCACCACGTGAGTGAGCGCTGCGTAGAGCGGCGCACGAGTGGGTGTCGCGTGTGTGCAGGTGTGTGCGCTCGTAGTGTGGGTGAAGGGGTCGGTGCGTCCGCAGGTCCCCGATCCGTCTGTCGCCGCCGGGACTCGCGCAGTGTGAGGGCAGCGTCGTTCGCCCCCGACCCCCGTTTAATAGCGCGTGATCCGTGGAGAGACAACGCAGCGTCTGCAGGTGAACGAGGGCGTGCGGCGAGCTATGCCTCTCACACGAGCTCGCGGAGGGACGGACCAGGGAGGGGAGCCGTCGGGCGATGAGCCCAGCGACGGCAGCAGCTGCTCGCAGAGCAGCGAGGGGTCGGCGCACGGCGGAGCCCCTGCCATAGGCACGGAGCAGGGAGGGACTCCGGGGACCAGCGGCCCCAACACAAGCAGCCGTCCTCAGGTGAAGACCAAGTCTGTCGGGGAGACAGCGTCTGAATGAAACTCCCCGACAGACCTGGTCTTCACCTGAGAACGGCTGCTTGCGTTGTGGCCGAACTTCGTGAGAATTGTATTTTATTATGTTTTATTTTTATTATTTTATTACTTCCCTTCTACGTGACTTTACCGAAACAACCAAGAAGATGAATCCCTGCAGTCACGAAAGCTTTAAATCGAAATCGAATTCAATCAATTACCAAAAAAAGAGATAGAGCGAGAAAATGGCTCTTCTTGTGATTTTTGGTTTGCCGATCCCTCACCCCCCTCCCCGCTGTAAACAAAGTCCGACCTGCTGGCGAGACGTTTGCAGTCGACTTTCTTGGACAAATAACCCGTTTGCGGATCACCGCATCGGGGTGGAAAGCCCAACCAGCCGGCCACAGGGACTGGCGCGCACGGTGAGAGGCACGGAGCGCAGGGGGGCTTGCTTGCGCTTGCTCGAGCCTGCGGGTCAGGGGTCAGTCTCAAGTCATGGGCAGTTCACCGTGCGCAGTGAGTCGGGTGTAATACGATGCTTTGCGTTGTGAAGCCAAGCAAAATAAAACATTGTATGGCACTGCTCTTTGCTGCTGGCAAGTGCTGCGCGCGGGTGCACTTCCCGCCGTCACCAAACGGCGCTGATCAGTGTGTTGATGCATGGGCAAGTGACAAACACGGCGTGGGGAGGCCCTCATCCAGCAGTGGAGTGACGAGAGGGCTGTGTGGGTCTGGGACTCGGCGGCGTTCGTGGCTGGACGGAGCTGCCCGGGTGTTGGGGGGGGGGGGTGGTGAGGCCGACAGGATAGGGGGCAGCCGAGCGCGACTTGGTTTGTTTTCATCCCCGCGTCTCTCCGTGTCTGCAGCTGTCCGTCGGCGAACCTCCGGGATGTCTCCTCTTGTCCCTCTCATTGGCCTCCGTGTCGACCTCCGTGTCGTTCTGCTCGCCCACGTGCGTGCGTGTGTCCGCCACAGTTTGCCGCTGGGTATCTGCGCAAAACGAGCTTCATAGCTCATCGGATTCCTCCAGCATGAATATTCAGATTCTGGTTGTCCGTCTCTCGCCGTGCCCGTCTCAGTGCCACTTTCCAATTGTCGGTGGCTGTTGCTCTGTCTGTGTGCTTCTCTCCCCGTCTCCCTCCACCTGTGTATCTCGAGCCCAGACAAAACGGCTCGTTACGGAGCGGCCAATTCCGAGTCTCGATTTTATTCGAACCAGGCGAGAACTCGACGCGATCTCATTGGCGGGGAGGTCCCTGGGCTCACCAAAATTGACAAAAGCAAAATAAACAAATGCAACACAGTCCCCGGGTTGCGCAAGACCCGACTTGCGGAACATCCGACCTTACGGAAACGCTCCCATCGAATCCTGTTAAGAAAACGAATCGACACGCGGAAACGACCGCGTGAGTTGCGCAAGCAGCACAGCGCGGCGAGGTTGCGGATAATACCGCGGGGCGAGGAGACGCAATATGGGCAGCTGCTGCCTTACGACTCACTTGAGCTTCAACTGGATTAAGGTCGATGGAATTGATCTTGATTTTGGGGGGGGGGAATGGTTCAGTTTCCGACATACGCAAAATGTGGGTTACGGATTGTTTTCAGGAACCTAACGCTTCCGTAACCCGGGGACTGGACAACGCAGCAACGCAGCAAATAGAAATCTTCGCAGAAAACAACCGTTTTATTATTATTATTACACGCTTTCAACGCTTTCAAAAGGGACATTGCCCAAAACGTCACCCGTTTTTCCTTTCGAGGCAGTGTTACTGACGAACTACGAGGAAGTCAAAATATTGCACGAACATAATCACTCTTAGCTTACTACAAGCGGCTCGCCGTAGCGAACCACGACTCGTGTGATTCCGAGCGGTGGTGCAGCCAACGTCGTGAGAGACATTGGCTCTCACGACATTAAATATATATTTAGTTGATTTCTAAATATATTTGCAAATTATGTAAACACACGCAGACACGTAGTCAAGACAAATATCCCATGTATACTGCAGGAGTGGGGAACGTCTGGCCTGCGGGCCGTATAAGGCCCGCAAAATCATTTATTCAGGCCCTGCCAAGGCAACCGCACAACTCGAAATTCAATAAATCTAGGAGCTTTTTTCATAGCAACATAAATTAAATTTTGTATGGCCCGCGAATGATGTTATAAATATCCAAATGGCCCTTGGCAGAATAAAGGTTGTCCACCCCTGTGCGCGTATAGCCTGTGCAGGATGGTGGGGCAAGTGCTGCTAGCGAGTGCCTAAGGCCAGACCGCTGTACGAGTCACTGGCGAGGCCATCACCGCGCCCGACCGCCTTTGTCTCCCCAGTGGCAATGTTTACACACCGCACCAGGTACTCATTTGAGGCCGAATCGACCTGGGGAAGGCCTAGGACCGGTTCAGATACTCGTCACTGGCATTGGCCGTGAGCGAGAATCGAACTCGGGTCGCCGGGTTCGTAACGCGGCGAGCCAATCGCTACACCACCGCCGCGCACAGCGAGCACGTACACACACACACGCGTACACACACACACGTACACACACACACGGACACGCGTACACACGGACACGCGTACACACGGACACGCGTACACACACACGCGTACACACACACGTACACACACGTACACACACACGTACACACACACACGGACACGCGTACACACACACACGTACACACACACACGTACACACACACGGACACGCGGGCACGCGTTAACACGGCTGGGCATCTACATCATTTACCAAATCACACACGACCAAAGGCTGTGGCTGGCTCACCGTGGGAGATCCAGGGGGATGGGGTGGGGGGTGCATGGTGCAGGTAGTGTGTGGGTGGTGCAGAGTGCCTCTGGTGCTATGGAGTGCCGCAGGGTTGCCACTCTGTGTTGCTGGTTTGCCCAGGCTGGGTGACGATGTCGCGAGGCGTCGTGAGGCGTTGCAGGGGTCTTGGTTGGTTCCGTAACTTCCGCCGCTATCACAGGGCGTCGTCGCTCACAGGTCCCTGGTGTTGCCATGTGGCCTGGGAGGGCAGGTGCAGGCCGCGCGCTGGCTCTCCATGTAGGGGCGGCAGCCAAACGCCATCACCCCCTGGTGCAGCAGATCCACGGCCTCCTCACAACGACCTGGGCGGGGGGGGGGGGGGGGGGCACGTGGTGGGAGGGGGAGGGGTGGGGTGAGGGGGGAGGGGCACCGATTAGTGGGGGTTAAATTAAATCCAGGTGGCTCAGCGGCAGGGTGAGGGGCTCGCGATTCGAAAGTTGCAGCTTCACATCCTGGCTCGGGGGTTGAGCCAGCGTGTTCGCCGCTCGTCGTGGAGGTTTGCGATTTGAGCCCAGCTGCCGCCCCGGTTAATACTGCAGTTGCAGTAGGCGTAGCAACACTACATGCCATCTGCTTCACAGTGGATGTTCAAAAAATCCCGTGACGTCATTTGAAAAAGTGTAGGCCATTCTGTGCCAGCACCACGGTCCAAAATGTGATAAATTACACTGCAAATTAAGCCCCCTACTCTTGCCCGCTTGCAGGCCAGTTGCTGCATTCGCATTGTGCTGCATAGGGACAGCTGCCACTGGGGGTCCCCTGCCGTAGGGCTCCACGAGATGGACACGCCTCTGCGAGAGTCCAGGCATGCGAGCCTCGAGCGCGGTTCCTCCGCGTCTCTCGGCGTGGTAACGTGGAGTGGGCGCGCACCCAGGGTCTCGGGCGAGATAGTGAAGCTGGCGCCCACGAGCGAGCAGATGCGGGAGAGGCAGCGGCGGAAGGCGGTGTCGCAGGCGCGCTTCTCGGCGCCGCACACGTCGTAGCAGCGGTCGTGGTCGTTGCAGCAGCGCGTCATAGCCGGGACGCCCACGTCAAACTGGCACACGCACACACAAGGACAAAGATCCCCCGTATAGCCTTAACAGACTGTAGGGGCAAGTGCTGTTAGCGAGCAGCTATGAAGGCCGGAACGGTACACGAGGGGGTGGGTGGCCAGCACCACGCCTGACCGCCTTTGTCTCCCTAGTGGCAATGTTTACACACCACACCAGGTACTCATTTGAGGCTGAGTCGACCTAGGGGAGGCCCAGGACCGGTTCAGATAATCGTCACTGGTGTTGGCCGTGAGCGGGAATCGAACCCGTGTCGCCGGGATCATAGCGCAGCACACACTCACACACACACGCACACGGCGGAGCGTGTCACGACCGCTGGAATCTGAATATTTATTTATACTGCGGAGGAATCGGATGAGCTATAAAGCTCTTTTTCGCAGATGTCAAGTCGGGGCGGGTAAGAACATGACGACAATAAACAATACAAGAACGCGATAGAAGTGCAAAGTATAGGAAAGGTAAACAAATACAGGTAGTCCTCTACTTAACATGGAGATGCGTTACGACGACCCCATCGCAAGTCAAAAAAGTCGAAGATGACCTAGCCTACCCAGGAGTCTTAAAGAATGGTGATAATTTAGCAATACAGAGCAATTTACAGTACCGTACTGTATAAACTATATACTCTATGTATTTGTAGAGGAGTAAAATGGGGACGTGACGTCAGGTGTGCCATTCAGTGCAATGACGTCACGTCTCCTCGGGTGCTTAAGGGATACCCCGTGACGTAAGCGGGGTCACTGTGGGAACGGGTAGAGTGAGAAGGGTGAAGAGGGAACCAGGGGTAGAGAGAGGGATCGAATAGGGAGTCTGGGGAGAAGCCGGTGGTAGCCGTAGAGGTGCTTCTCTCTCCGGTCGGTGGAGTCGGCAGACTCCACGATCCGACACGAGAGAGAGAGACCGGAGCTAGCCGGCAGGGACCCGGACTCAGAGTAGGACCCCCCTAGCCCCTGGGAGTTGTGTACCCTGCTGTGTAATATTGTAACAGCTTTAATAAACCCTGGCGGAAGCCCTTAACTTACCTCCGTCTACGAGTACGTCCGTCGGAACTTCTCTACATATTTATTAATTGCAATACTGTATTGCACAGTAAAATGTAAAGCAAAAAACAAGGTAAATTCTTAGCCTACCTATATGAACTGCAATAGAACGTTTTTTTCAGGAAACAATCCTATCTGCTATAAAAAAAAAACTTTTCACATGCATTGAACGTATCGTATCGGAATGTCGAGGGAGGAAAATAATGATTGCATGCTGTTTAATTTATATGTGGAGATGGAGATACAGAATGGAAGGCTATGGGTGTATTTACGTATTTACGTATCCTCAACGCTCCACGGTAGTGGACACAGAGTTTGTATTCGGCTACATTGAGGAGGCTGGGAGAGATTGGACGGGGAGGGTTGCAAGGGAGTGGTGGGGAGTGATCAGAGTTGGGGGGCAGAGAGTGGGGCGCGGGGAGCTAGGGGATGTGGGGGGCGGGAAGTAGGGGTATGAAGTTGGGGGAATTCAGGTGGAGTGGGGGGCAAGGAGCGAGGAGACAGGAGGTAAGGGGGGGTGGGGGGCAGGGAGTGGAGAGGGGGGCAGGGAGTGGGGGGCACCTGAATGCCGAACACCGGGGAGCCGCATCCATTTGGCGCGGCCGGGGTGTAGTCGCGTCGTGGCTCGGGTTCGGCTCCTGAACGGCAGGGAGAGAACGGGTGAGTGGTGAGTGTGTGGGAGGTCGTGAGAGGTTGAGTGATAAGATGCGTGGGTGAATGATAGGGTGAGTGGCGTGTGGGAGGTTGTGAGAGGTTGAGTGATAAGGTACATGGGTGAATGATAGGGTGAGTGGATGAGTGCGAGTGGTTGAATGAGTAGTTGAGTGATTGGTTGAGTGGTTGGGTGACTGAGTGGTTGGGTGAGTGGGTGGGTGAGTGGGTGGGTGAGCAAGTGGGAGATCGAGTACATAAGTGGATAAGTGAGCGGGTAAGTAGATGAGAGGGTTGGTTGGGTGACTGAATGGTTGAGTGAGTTAGATGAGGGTGGGTGAGCGATAGTGCGTGGGTGAGTGTTGGTGGCAGTGTTGGGGTGTTGCTGGCAAGTGACAGGTCGCATACCTGTTAAACCCATACGATTTACTCGTTTTCTTCTACAGGAAAATTACGTTTTCAGGTCCATACGGAATACAGCCGTTTCAATACGAGCAAACGAAAATCACATTTTTGTCTATTTGTTCGTGTTTCTCTCCCGTGTGATGGGAATTTGTAGGATGAACGTTGACATTTATAAGCGGGCACGGGGTGACCAATAAGGTCTGCATTGATCTGTAATAAGGTAGGGGCACTGATAAGGGGTTGACAGGTATGGAGGTAGTATCGTTCTGTTTGGTAGTGTTGGTGTGATTGGTTGGTGTCACGTGGTAGTGTTGATGTATCACGTGGTGGTGTTGGTGTGATGAGTTGGTGTCACGTGGTAGTGTTGGTGTCACGTAGGGTGTTGGTGCGATTGGTTAGTGTCACGTGGTAGTGTTGGTGTCACGTGGTGGTGTTGGGGTGAATGGTTGATGTCACGTGGTAGTGTTGGTGTGTCACGTGGTAGTGTTGGTGTGATGGGTTAGTGTCACGTGGTAGTGTTGGTGTGTCACGTGGTAGTGTTGGTGTGATTAGTTGGTGTCACGTGGTAGTGTTGGTGTCACGTGGTAGTGTTGGTGTGTCACGTGGTAGTGTTGGTGTGTCACGTGGTAGTGTTGGTGTGTCACGTGGTAGTGTTGGTGTGAATGGTTGATGTCACGTGGCAGTGTTGGTGTCACGTGGTTGTCAGCTTCAGGGTGGGTGAACTATGCCCCCCCCCAACTCCAAACCACCACTGCCGCCATTTACCATTGGCGCACGTGTATCTACACACTCCGTCTTCCCCTCCCAGGTACTCCATTGCCGAGTCCAGGTAACCATCCAGCAGCTGCACGCCTGCCCGCAGTTCCTTCACCCGCTCGGCCATCCAGCCGCCCCGTGCCGCCACGCACATCAACAAGGGCAGCAGCAGGAGCAGCAGGGGCAGCATCCACGACCTCCCCACCGCCAGCCCACGTGTCCTCATGTCTTGGGTCAACGAACAATGTCAGCCGTCTCTCCTCCTGCCCCGACTCTCTTGTCTCCACACAGAGCCTGGGGATCTTCTGCTATGAGAGTCGAGGGAGATGCAGGCGGGAGGGTTGGTGGTAGTCGTGTTAGTGTCGCGGTTAGCAGCGGTGGTGGTTTTAGAGAGTTGTTTGAAGTGGTTGTAGACAGTTTTGTCGACTGTCGTGTGAAGAGGTAGCAGTGTTGCTGGCAGTGTGGTGGTGTTGGTGTTGTTGGTAGTGGTGGTGTTAGTAGCAGTGGTGGTGGTGTTGTTGTTGGTAGTGGTGGTGTTGTTGGTAGTGGTGTTGTTGGTAGTGTTGTTGGTAGTGGTGGTGTTGTTGGTAGTGGTGGTGTTAGTAGCAGTAGTGGTGGTGTTGTTGTTGGTAGTGGTGTTGGTAGTGGTGTTGTTGGTAGTGGTGTTGTTGGTGGTGTTGTTGGTAGTGTTGTTGTTGGTGGTGGTGTTGTTGGTAGTGGTGGTGTTGGTAGTGGTGGTGTTGTTGGTAGTGGTGTTGTTGGTAGTGGTAGTGTTGTTGTTGGTGGTGCTGTTGTTGGTGTTGTTGGTAGTGGTGGTGTTGTTAGTGGTGGTGTTGTTGTTGGTAGTGGTGGTGTTGTTGTTAGTGGTGGTGTTGTTGTTGTTGGTAGTGGTAGTGGTGTTGTTGGTGGTAGCGGACTATCCGCCACGGAGCGCGGTGGCCGTGGACGAGAATGCGCGATGACGGGACCCGCGATTCCGCTTTGTCGCGATTCCTCATCCAGAATCGATTCCGAAATCGATTCCTTAGCAGTGTTACAAACGGGAGCCGAATCTGCATGATAATCTCTAAATGGGGGGGGGGGGGGGGGGGTGTCAGAAAGTGACAACAGAAATACAATAAACTCATATTCTTAGGTTTTTTTCGGTAAAGTCACGTAGGTTAAAAGAAAACAAATAAAAATAAATATTTTTTACTACGTGACTTTACCGAAAAAACCCCTAAGAATATGAATCCTTGCAGTCACGAAAGCTTCAAATCTATAATACAATAAACTCCTTTTAAAAAGTACAATTAAACAACGTTTTTAGTTTAAAGTGCACTAAAAGTAAACAACTCGATTGGACAACGGGAAGTGGACGATATTTTGCTTACAAGATCTGACCACGACTTACAGAGGACTGAAGTTAAACAACTTTTTTTCACAACTTCGTTATAACTCACCCTCGAGAAGTACGTCAATGATGCGACGCCTGTTCCCACATCAACGCTTGTCTGATTTAGTGGATTACTTTAATTACTTTAGTAATTAATCTGCCTTGAGACACGTGGCGCTTGCTTCTTGGGCGAGGCGATTCCAGAGTTTAGGGACCGCGGCGTTTTTGAGCTACCCAAATAAATATTTATTTAATTAGCCGCCCATACAAAATGTTAATTTTTTTAAAAGAGCCGATTAATTGATTAATTGATACCGATTTTGATACGGGCATGAATTATCACCGAATCTGAGTACGTGTGTGCAAAATTTGGAATTCATTGAACAGGAAGTAGTCTAACTTTTGATTACAAGATTTGACCACGACAAACATAGGAGTCAAGTTAAGTAAAATCGTTGAATAAACTCCTTTTAAAAAGTAGTTTTTAAAACAACTGTTTTATCAACAACTTCGTTTAACTCACTGTCGAGAAGAACGTCAACGTCGCCTGAGACACGTGGCGCCTGCGTTTTGTGCGAGCAGATTCCACCGTTTAGGGACCGCGGCGTTTTTGACTACACAAATATATATAATTAATAAGCCGTCCATACAAAAATGGTAATTACTTGAAAGGAGGCAATTAATTGATTGATGCCGATTTTCAAACAGGCATGCATTGTCACCGGATCTGAGTACGAGTGTGCACAATTTGGAATTGATTGGAGAACAGTAAGTAGACTAACTTTTGATTATACAAAATTTGACCACCAGGAGAAATCCGATGAGCTATGAAGCTTTTTATTCACAGAGCTCCACGTTGGGGCGGTCCAGGAAGTTACAACAACAGACGATAATGCAACAAAAAACGACAGTAGTACAAGAATGGAGAAAATATAAGTCACTTAAAAAGTACTTTCTAAAAATAAATGTATTTATACAAATCAAGAAAATATTTTTAAGTACAAATTGCATAAGTAGATAAATTCCTTCTAGATTTGAAGCATTCGTGACTGCAAGGATTCATACTCTTAGTTTTTTCGGTAAAGTCACGTAGGTAAAAAATTAAAATTAATAAAAGCAAAATAAAAATAAAATAAAAATCATTTTATTTTTACGTGACTTTACCGAAAAAACCTAAGAATATGAATCCTTGCAGTCACGAAAGCTTCAAATATAGAATTAAGGACCACCTTAGACTAATAATAGGGGTTTTCCCCCTTTTTTCTGGCAACAAAACTGAAACCTTTTACAAGGAATCATGTGTGCATTAACCGCAATACTTGTGGTCAAAATGCAAACAAAACACACACTCTAATAATACAATATGCATTGTATATACTATTTTGTTTTTTAGGTAAAGTCGCGTAGGTAGAAAATAAAATAAATTAAATCACGACGTTTAGGAGGCAACACAAGCTTCCGTCTTCAGGTGGCACCGTCACAGCAAAATTACTTGATACAGTAATTTGTGTTGCCTCTGAAACGCCGTGATTTAATTTTTTTTACCCACGTGACTTTACCGAAAAAAACAAAGAGTATGGACCCTTGCAGTCACGAAAACTTCAAGTCTAGAATATTCATTGTCCTTGAAACTGATTGGTCCACACCAGAGACGGCTTTCTTTTGAGCCTCGCACACATGATTCCTTGTAAAAAGGTTTCAGTTGTTTTGCCAGAAAAAAGGTGAAACCCCCTATTATGTTTTGGTACTGGCAAAGGAGGTCTAATGATGCACCTTAGACGACTAGAGGCTAATTGGACCCACACATAACGTCGATCCACACACGTCGATGAATCGATCCATGCCCCCTCCCCCCTAGCGGATGCGACATGGGAAACGGATCCGGATACACCCCCCTCTTCTCACCCCCCCTTCTAACCCCTCCCCTCTTCTCACCCCCCCCCCTTCTCACCCTCCCCCCTTCTCCCCCCTCCCCCCCTTCTCACCCCTCCCCTTCTCACCCCTCCCCTTCTCACCCTCCCCCTCTCTCACCCCTCCCCTTCTAACCCCTCCCCCCTTGTACACCCTCCCCCTTCTCACCACCTCCCCCCCCCCCCTCCCTTCTCACACCCTCCCCCCTTCTCACCCCGTCCCCCCTTCTCACCGCTCCCACCCATTCGCACCCCTCCCCCCCTTCTACACCCCTCCCCCTCTTCTCACCCTCCCCCCCTTCTCACCCCTCCCCTTCTCACTCCACTCCCCCCTCTTCTCACCCCTCCCCCCTTCGTCACCCCTCCCCCCGTCTCACCCTCCCCCTTGCTGCACCCGCCCCCCTTCTACACCCTCCCCCTTCTCACCCGCTCCCCCCCTTCTCACCCCTCCACCCTGTCTTCAACATCCGTTCCCCCCTTCTCACCCCCTCCCCCTTCGCACCCCCTCCCCCCTCTACTCAGCCCCTTCCCCCCTTCTCGAACCCACCACTCCCCCCCTTCTCAACCCCTCCCCCCTTCTCACCCCTCCCACTTCTCACATCGTCTCACCCCCTTCCACAACCCCCCCTTCTAACACCTCCCCTTCTTCTCACCCCTCCCCTTCTCACTCCCTCCCCCGTCTCTCACCCCTCCCCCCTGCTCACCCCTCCCCCTTACTCACCCCTCCCCCCTTCTCACCCCTCCCCCTCTTCTCACCCCGCCCCTTCTAACCCCTCCCCCCTTGAACTCACCTCCCCCTTCTCACCCCTCCCCCCTTCTCACCCCTCCCCCCTTCTCACCTCCCCCTCACCCCTCCCCTTCTCACCCCCCCCTTCTCACCCTCCCCCTTCTCCCACCCTCCCCCTTCTCACCCCTCCCCCCTTCTCACCCCTCCCCCTTCTCACCCCCCCCTTCTCACCCCCTCCCCCTTCTCACCCCTCCCTTCTCACCCCTCCCCCCCCTTCTCCACCCCTCCCCCCTTCTCACCCCCCCCCTTCTCACCCCCCCTTCTCACCCCTCCCCCTTCTCACCCCTCTCCCTTCTCACCCCTCCCCCCTTCCACCCCCCCTTCTCACCCCTCCCCCTTCTCACCCCTCCCCTTCTCACCCCTCCCCCTTCTCACCCCTCCCCCCCTTCTCACCCCTCCCCCCTTCTCACCCCCCCCCCTTCCACCCCCCCTTCTCACCCCTCCCCCTTCTCACCCTCTCCCTTCTCACCCCTCCCCCCTTCTCACCCCTCTCCCCCTTCTCACCCCTCCCCTTCTCACCCCTCCCCCCTTCTCACCCCCCCCCCTTCTCACCTCTCCCCCCCTTCTCACCCCTCCCCCTCTTCTCACCCCTCCCCCTTCTAACCCCTCCCCTTCTCACCCCTCCCCCTTCTCACCCCTCCCCCCTTCTCACCCCTCCCCCTTCTCACCCCTCCCCCTTCTCACCCCTCCCCCCTTGTAACCCCTCCCCCTTCTCCGCCATGCCCCTCTGTACCGAGCCCCTCCCCTGCCCGAGTTTATTTTTTCTCGTGGTCGTGGTGGCGCACAATCAATGAAAACACAAATCGACGCCTTTCGCCACTCAAACGTGTGTGGGCCTTATCACAGTCCACTGTTAGCTTACTAAGCAGTGAACCATCTTGCACCCATGTGTACCCTCAAGGTCCATAAGGGGCCGTCCATAAATGACGTCACGCCATATTCACTTTAAGATGTTTTCTTGTTCATGTTTTTGTTTTTAGTTTCTTGCGGTTGCACACGATTCAAGAGCCGAATGGCTCACAGGGCTATACCTAATAATTGAACTTGGACGATTTTTGACCACCCCTCTCGTCACACGGCGTCACAAAAAATCAGACCCCCCCTCAAATATGACGTCACAAAAGCTCTGCCCCCCCCCCCCCCGAAATAAAACATGCTTCAAATGGCTTTAAACTATTGTCATTGTAGTGCTTATTTAATGTGGCGCTGCACTCTGATGTTGTAGGAGACAACATTTATTAAAAAGTCTATTTAATTAAGTAGAACGTGTTGTCTATATTTATTTAAAGTTGCACATTTTGATGTGACGTCACATTTCTCAAATCCCACCACCCTCGTCACACATCGTCACAAATGTCTGACCCCCCCCCCCCCCAGGTGCGTGACGTCATTTATGTACGGCCCCAAAGGTGTGGGTGAGCGATCTTTTCCCCGTCTAAGCCCCCAGGCTATGGAACGCTCTTATTCCACGAGATATCAACGATTTCTGAGTCTGTGGACATTAAAAAAATGCGCCTTAAACCCTATTTATACGCTTCCGCTTATGAAATGTTTAGTTCATTTAGTAAATGATTATATTTATTTGTAGTATTATTTTCATGCTGAAGGTGTCTGCTGCTGCTGTGCGCTTTGAGATCCTTGATGAAAAGCCGCTACATAATAAATGTAATTATTATAAAAGCCCGGCGTCCCGTTTGTTCGTCAACTAAATGATAAGATCCTTCTGAACCAGTTCGCTCAATCTAATTAATGTGTTACATCAATTATTGTTTAATCCATTTTCCAGAAATACATACTTTTCCATTCATCGAGCATTCGTTTAAGAGTTTTCATAGTTGCGGTGCTGGATTGGAGGGTGAAATTAAAATAAATATCATGAACTTTGAGCTAAAATCCAGGAGTATCTGCACACATTGGCGATGAGCCCTCCACAGAAGCCAGAAATTCGAATAAATATAAAATTGGCCAGAAAAAAACATGCAACGGTGGGCCAACTTTGAGTGTGAACTGGGAAGCGACGTTTCGAGTAATGGCCCTTACTCGTAGTTACGTGCTCTGGAGAAGGGCTATCACCCGAAACGTCGCCTACTATATATGAAGGCCACGCATTGTCATTATTGAGAGGAAACACTTTGGCGGCGTTGTTTTTTAATCCCCCTCCTCCCCCCTGCCTCCTCCCCCCCACCCCCTCCTCCCATCCCCTCCTCCCCCCTACCCCCTCCTCCCCCCTGCCTCCTCCCCCCTACCCCCTCCTCCCCCCTGCCTCCTCCCCCCCACCCCCTCCTCCCCCCACCATCTCCTCCCCCCCATCCCCTCCTCCTCCCTACCCCTCCTCCCCCCATCCCCTCCTCCCCCCTACCCCCTCCTCCCCCCCATCCCCTCCTCCCCCCCAGCCCTCCTCCCCCCTACCCCCCTCCTCCCCCCCGCCTCCTCCTCCCCCCCACCCCCTCCTCCCCGCCACCCCCTCCTCCCCCCACCCCCTCCTCCCCCCCTGCCTCCTCCCCCCCACCCCCTCCTCCTCCCACCCCCTCCTCCCCCCACCCCCTCCTCCCCCTCACCCCTCCGACACCTCCCCCCCCCACTGTTTCGAATTTCCCAGCGCGCATCAGGCAACCGCGTCGCGTGATTGGTTGGCGCGCCGACCAATGGTGGGACCCAATGGGAGAGAAGCGCGCCCCGCGACCCCGCGGTTGAGCCAATCCGCGTTGCGGAATCTGACCACGTGGTCCCCCCGCCCCTACACCCCCCGCACCCCCCACCTCCCCCCACCCCCCACCGCGGCGGCCTACACCGCGAGGCTTCTCCAAGGTTGGCAGGCGGCGCTGTGTATGGAAAAACAGAGAGAGGTAAAATCTGTCCGCTGGATCCACCGCGCTGCCCCACCGCCACCGCTACCACCGAGGACGACTAACGAGTCGTCCGCCTTGCAAGCAACTTTCTCGAGGTGGTGCAGAAATGTGGTTGCTCCGCTTGCGGTGGCCAACGAGTTGCGGGGGGGTGGTGGTGGTGCGCGTCCAGTTGCTATGGTTACAGACTAGGCCCCGTTGCTAGGGCGACCAGGGGAGCGAGTCTGTGATGAAGATCACGTAAAGTTACAGCTTGGATGAAGTTTTATAATTACGCGTTTGTTATCAATAACAGGGACATATTTATTTTTTATCTTACAGACACGGGTATAATATACTTACTGTAGATCGCTAGAATAATTCCGGTAGTCTTCAAAGGCGAGTCCTTCCTAGACGCGGATATCTTCACTTACAATTTGGTAAGAGGGTGCTAACATTTTTGTTTTTAAACTTTTATTTTTAAATCGTGGGTGCTGAGCACAGGCCCAAATCTCACACGCCACCAAGAGTCCGGCAACAAACAGCATCGTTGAAGATTATTAAAGTTAATACGGTTGTTGAACTGAGCAAGATACGGATTGTCTGAGCTGCTATGTTAATAATGGGCTTTAATTTCCCGAGCCATTTCAGCAAGCGTCTTATAAATTTAAAGAGTTAAAATCCTTCAGCTTGTGAGAACGTGGTGGGGGGGGGGGGAGCACGATTGGAGGGAATTTTAACTCTGAGCATGTTTTTGTACTACTATCGTGTTGTTTTTTGTATTGTTGTGGTAATGTTCTTACCGGCCCGACTCGGAACATGTGTGAATAGAGCTTTGTAGCTCATCGGATTCCTTCTGCAGGATCAATAAATATTCTTGTACTCTTAGTTCTTTCGGTAAAGTCACGTAGGTAAAAAATGAAATTAAAATTAATAAAAAATAAAAACAACATTGTTTTTATTTTATTAATAAAATAAAAACAAATTATTTTTTATTTATTATTAATTTTAATTTCATTTTTTACCTACGTGACTTTACCGAAAGAACTAAGAGTATGAATCCTTGCAGTCACGAAAGCTTCAAATCTAGAAATATTCTTGTCCTATGTTGTGTGAGGGCAGACGCAGAAATAGAAGCGCTGTGACCTGCACTTGCTGAACTTGCTGTTCGTCCAAAAACATTTCTGTGCTAAGAATTCAAATAGCCGGTCAGTCACGAAAGCTCCAAATTAAGTTTGTTTTCTTTTAACCTACGTGACTTTAAATTTCGATTTAAAGCTTTCGTGACTGCAGGGATTCATCTTCTTGGTTCTTTCGGTAAAGTCACGTAGAATTGAAATAAAAATAGATAAAACATAATTATTTTATTATGTTTTATTATTATTTTATTATTTCCATTCTACGTGACTTTACCGAAAAAAACACCAAAGAGTATGGATCCACCACTGTTGCGATCTCTCGTGGGTGCCTCTCCACATCCTGATCCGTGCGATTGCCTCCAGCCTCGCCATGGACTCGGAGTACCTGAAGCTGCGCATGGGGCCCTGCCTGGCGGCTGGCTTGGCCGACTTGGTGCTACGGCGTCCAGCGGATCCCATCGAGCATCTGGCTCTGTGGCTGTATAAGTACCGCGAGAACGCCACGCACGCTGCGGCGGTGAGCACCTGAAGGGGCGTACATAAATGACGTCACGCACCTAGGGGGGCAGTGGGGTGAGACATTTGTGACAATGTGTGACGAGGGGGGGGGGGGTATGAGAAATGTGACGTCACATCAAAATGCGCAACTTTAAATAAATATAGACAACACGTTCTACTTAATGAAATCGACTTTTTAATAAATGTTTTCTCCTACAACATCAGAGTGCAGCGTCACATTAAATACGCACTACAATGACAATAGTTTAAAGCGATTTGAAGCATGTTTTATTTTTGGGGGGGGGGGCAGAGCTTTGTGACGTCATATTTTAGGGGGGGTCTGACTCTTTGTGACGCCGTGTGATGGGGGGGGGGGGGGTCAAAAATCGTCCAGAATCGCGTGACGTCATTTATGGACGGCCCCAAACTGCTCCCAACAACAACACCAACCGTCACCACGGCGCTTGTGCCATGCTAGGTGCACTTTGAGGCCACGTGCCGTGTCGATTTCCAGATGGCAGCCGGTCATGGAATGGATCCAGGTGTCCGTGGGTTGTTGACTGAGATAACTGACAGATGCACTCCTCCCACCGCGCCAACTTTGTATATTTTAGTCGCCCTGAAATCTGCTGCCGGCACACAGCCATACACCCACAGGCAGGCAGAGTCCGGGAGTTTATATTATTTTAACAGGTAAGAACTTGAATCGACAAGGGCAAAACTATGTAATACCAGCACGTTCACTGACTGCATCAAAAGTCAAAAGCACAAATATCAACTAATGTGGTAGTCATGCGTGCCTGTGATTCCAATGTTTTGAGAGGCAAGGTTTGTATGTTTTATATAGATTTGTGAAACTCGCTAATCTTCCAGGCTGTGATGTTGGCAGGAGATGGCAGTGGAATAATTGTGTATTTTTCCCAACCCAATGCAAGACTGCATTGAGATTATGGTTATTAAAATGCTTTTTGCATTACCGGTAACCGCAATAAAAATAGTAAAAACGGGTCACCGATTTATGGCACGTATAGAATTGTCTTCGAATAAACATAGCCATTTTACCCTTTTAACTGACAAAGGAAGCTTCTATGGTGTCATGGTTGGCACTGGACATGCAATTCCCCAGTTGCTGGTTTGATTCCAACTCCCAGTGTGGCAAGTGCAACAAATTGGGCAACTTTCTTACATCCCCCCTCCACCTGTCGACCCTTCTGCCTGCAGTGGCGTGCGTAAGCAAGCAGTTTCAGAGCTGCACCTTTACTTTTCAACTGAGAAACAAGCAAACGTAGCATGCGATGACTTTAGTTCCACTGTGCCGTTTTTACATTCACGTGAGCCAACCGGTCCGTTCATTGCTAATATTCCACTGGAAATGGTTACCCTTTCCTGACTAATCGATGCTGAGAACGGTTACCACTTGTTATTTAACACTCCACGTAATTGACCGTGTTATTTCCTGTACCACATGTCCTGTTTGTAGAGGGCAGAGGAGATGGTGGAGCTTCAGAAGCAGAGGGAGGAGGCCGCCTCGCAGGAGACCCAGAGAGAAGCGGAGAGAGAAGCACTGAGAGAAGCAGAGCGGGAAGCGCAGAGGGAAGCACAAAGGGCATTAGAGAAGCAGGAGCAGCTGAGGCTGGAAGATGAGAAGCTGCAGAATTCTTCAGAAACAATACAACCGTCGCAGGTTTGTAGGCATGGCCGCTGGGAACTGCCTGTTAAGTTGGGTCGTCTGCAACTGTTTTTTCCACATCTGAGTGAGTAGTTTCACGGCAAGGACATGTCTATGTATGGACATCTGTGTGTGTACTTGTATCCGGCATTGCGCCGGCCACACTAACACCTTCGCGGGCCGTGCCGGGCTTCGTAGGTGCTTCATAACAGTACTTGTTACAGAAGTCTGCGTTGGCTAAACTGCCGATCTTGTGTGTATGTTTCTACGTGGTGTGTATGTGTTGTATAATTTTTGTATGTGTGTGTGTAATATGGAGGGCAGAGGAACGACGCTCACAACAACGAGCGGAGCACTGGGTGGATAAATACAGCAAGTTTGCACAGTAGAAGGCATAGCTGGTGCATCTGCTAGTCATCTCAGTCAATCAACTCCTAGCACCTGGGTGTGTCCCGTGACATCCTGTTAGCGAGCCTTCCACACTTCACATGGCCTCAAAGTGCACCTGGCCTGGCACAGGCACTGCGGTGAGGTCACCAGCAGTTAGTGGCGAATGGCGGGTATTGGTATGTGATCACTATCTTTGTGTGTGTGTGTATGGTTTGTGGTGAAACGTTTGCCCGTCACGTTCGCTCTGTGGTGCCAGGATGTTGAGCAGGTGGCCGAGGATAGGACTTTGGTTGATGCCTTCTCTCGGCCGGGGGCACCAACGCTGCCCACGCTGCAGGAGGGAGACGAGAGTAACGTTCACGAGGTGCAGTCTTCGTTCGCACATTCCGGCACTATGCACCTTGGGGCTTGGACATGCAGGCACACGCACTCACATTCCTTGCCCCACACACGCGTCGTGTTTATAGACAAGGTCGTCTCAATTCAAGATTCTTTCATGACCGGAAACAAATTTGTGACCTGAGGGAGATGGGGAGATTGGCGGTACGACGCCTACTCCCCAAATCACTTTTTTCATCATTGATTTTTGGGTCAGGCCCTCTTAATATATTGGCTGTGAAAACCTACGTGTTAATCACTGTTTTATCTCTTTAAAAAATTCCCCCAATTTTGTCACGATTGCGCTGTCGACATTGCGTCAGGTGACGAAGAATCCACTGGGATGTCTTCGAGAGCAGTGCAACCCTTAATGTTATATTACTTCATTGGTTATTTATTCAAATATTTAACCTGGATAATTGCTTGGAACATCTCATTTGCGAGGGTGACCAGGGTGTCAAACATACAGTGGCATGTTGACAATTCTCAGATTTGTAATTCAGCCAAATTAAGTGCAGAACCAAATTCAAAGTAACTTTTTGTATTTGTGCAGTCATTGGTGACTGGGCTGAGACACTCAAAACACTTGAGAAACTGGCACAGGTTGCTGATAGCTGGATTCGAACCCAGGACCTCAGAGATGCCAGCTCAGCGCTCTGACCTCTTAACCACCTCTTAGACCAAATCCCTCGATCTTCTTGGTAAATAATAATGATGCTTGTTAACTCTTGGTACATAATTGCCATTATTACTACTGTGTTGTAGATACTTTCAAGAAAGAATAGCAATAACATAGTTTTCAATGTTAGTGTAATTTCCCAACTAAAAACAACTTACCATGTTAAACACTCATGAAGAAGGAAACATAAAAAGGTTGAGTATTTCGCTACAGTTGGTTAATATATGAATACGCATCGGTATGGCTGGGAACGTGAATTCTTGTGACATGCTGGTGCTCATGAGGCTTTCACAAGCAAGTGGTACGTGTTAGCTGCAGTGAGGATAAATGGCGATGATGGCTGTGATCCTGCTCTGGTGAACGTGTTCCCCTTGCCAAGTTGATGGTGCGCTGCGTCTCCACGCATTATTGTGAGACTTGGTTAAGAGTGGCCGTCGGTTGCCTTGCGGTGCGTCGAGGCGTTCGGTCAACGTTGGTGTTTACCGCGTGCCGAGCGCGCGTCACACACAAGGCAGCGTCGTCTTGTGCAGCGTCTTATGATACCGCATCTCAAGATGCATCACAAAGCGTTGCTAAAAATGTTAATTATCAGAAAGACATTGCGTTAAAAAACCAAAAAAATGTCCACGTTAATTCTATATCGATACAAACATATTAATGCAACAAACTATATGAAAGCCTTGGGTTAAGATGTGAAAAAGAGAATAAAACCGTTGCAATATCGTATAACCAACAGAATAATTTCTGATCAAATTACAGAATAGTAGTGCAAGGAATTTGGACTTGAATGCAAGGGAAACAGTTGAGTCTTCGGACCCGATGAAACACAGGAGTAAATCGTTAAATCATCGTTGGCTTTACGGTGTGCCATACACGAGTGATTGCGCCATGCTGAACTGATGCATATTTGCTCGCAGGACGATGAGCGAAGAGACAATGAGAGTGGAATAACCGAGCTGTCAGCGCAGGCTCGCGGTCAGACGCCCACCACCGCCCCCGCCACCGATGCAGCCGAAGCACGAGACGGGGACGGCGAGATAACGGAACAGCACGGAGACGGGGAGGGAGGAGCCGGCGTGGATGCTGGCGCGCCAGACACGAGCAGGGATGACGAAGTCGAGAGGACGAACGTCGACGTAAGTCCCGCCGCCGGCGCCCGAGCGGCCGACGGCGTGGGCGGTAGATCCGGTAACGGCGCAGCGTTGTCCGGCGCCGACCTAGACGACGGTGTTGCAGGCAGCGATGCACGGGCAGGGGAGCAGCCGCACGGAGAGGATGAGGCGGAAGCAACGGCCCCTGGGAAAACTGAAATGGAGGTCTTGGGTGGCAAAAAGGCTGCTGGTCTCTCTGCAGAGGATGATGATGATACTGTAACTACAGAAAAAAATGAGGTGGTGGTGGCTGAAGAGGAGAATTTAGCCACTGCTGAAAAAGTGGAGTTTGAGGTTTCGTATGGTCTAGAGTCCACCGGTCTCTCCACACAGGATGATGGTGTAATTACAGAAATAAATGATTCGGTGGTGGCTGAAGAGGAGGCAGCCACTGCCGAGAAAATTAAGTTTGAGGACTCGTACGACCAGGAGGACACCAGCCGTTCTGCACGGGATGATGATGATGTAATTACAGAAACAAATGATATGGTGGTGGTGGCGGCTGAGGAGGAGGCCACTGCCGAGAAAACAGAGTTTGAGGTCTCGTATGGTCAAGAGGCTACGGGTCTCTCCGCACGGGACAATGATATAATTACAGAAACAAATGATACGGTGGTGGTGGCGGCTGAGGAGGAGGCTACTGCCGAGAAAACAGCGTTTGAGGTCTCGTATGGTCAAGAGGCTACGGGTCTCTCCGCACGGGACAATGATATAATTACAGAAACAAATGATACGGTGGTGGTGGCGTCTGAGGAGGAGGCCACTGCCGAGAAAACAGCGTTTGAGGTCTCGTATGGTGAAGAGGCTACGGGTCTCTCCGCACGGGACGATGATGTAATTACAGAAAGAAATAAGACGGTGGTGGTGGCGACTGAGGAGGAGGATGAGGAGGAGGCTGGGAACGATGTGGGAAAGGTTTGCGGCTCGCAGCCTCTGTGTGTGTACTGCACTCTTCCTGTCACTGCTGCTGGGCTCCTGGTGATTGTGTGGGGAGCGGGGAGGATTGAGCGCGATCATGCGCTCCCTCTGGTTCTGTGGCTCACTCGTCTGCCATGTGGGCAAATCTTGATGTGCTCTCGTGATTGTTTGCTGTGGGTGGGGTGGTGGTGGTGGTGGTGTGTTACGTAATGTGATTAGTCCCCAATTTCACCGGCCACGTGTCTCAGTGGCAGAGTGAGTGGCTTGCAATAGGAAAGTTGCAAGTTCAGATCCTGATTGGGGTTTGACTCATCGTGTCATCCCGGGTCAATAAAATATGATGACTTTGCGGGGAAGTCAACAGTAGTTGTCCAATGGATCGACTTGTCCCCCATAGGAATGCAGAATTTACACCGTTGGCTGCAGGAAATTACTTTTATTTGACTTTGACTCATCACCATGCCATTCAGAATCTAACGTCCAAGTGAGTTCCTGCTCTAATGAGCATTGAAGTTGTGCTAATCATCACATTCCTTTGGCAGAGGGCGATTCTATCCATAGGACAACCACTGTTGACTTTTCCCCACAAAGTGGTACTTATTTTATCGACCCAGAGAGACGATGCAACTCCCTCAACCAGGATTTGAATTTTGCAACCTTCTCATTGTGAGCTATCTCTATACCGCTGAGTAACCTGGCCACACTATTGGATTACAGATTGAGCATTGGTTACATCATGTAACATCAGCTCTCTAATAATGTTATGTAAAATAACAGCTCTGTAATCTCTCATGCAGTGGTGTGTGGTTGATATCTATCCACTAGGAGTGTTTACATAATTGCTGGTTTCTAATGTCTGCGTTTTGTTTTACCCCAGATGGCATCGGAAGAGGAGGTACCTGCCCCGGCTGACCCTGAATAGACGTGAAATGTCACAGTTTTCAAGCCAAGTTTTTATTTTATATGTAAAAAAATATATACCGAACTTAGGCAATACTGTATAGGCCCTACATCTACTAGGCACAATATCAGTTTGGTGTGTTTTGACATATATATGGGAAATATGTAGTGATTGCAATGCTAAATAAACAAATTGTGGGAGACTTTTATTCCAAAATTATAAAGAAGCACCTTTGATTACAAATACTTTAGAGTATTTCAGCTGTAAGTGTTTCACTGTGCGGTATTCTCTATTATCTTTTGAACTGTTTATTGTGATTAGTTTGTTGTCCTTCCCCTGCACCTCCGATTAGCAATGTTGGTTACATACGGTGCGAAAGAAGTTGAACATACATATAAGTTTGACGGAAATTAATAACGAATAGCTTCGTGGAGAATATAAGTAACAACACAAATAAGCAGTTCATACACCTCTTTCAATCGTATAAGCTGGCATCATTGCTGATGTATGCCCATTGTTCTCTGCATTGCAATTAAAGCAACAGCTTAGACCACAGAGGCTCATGGTGTAGCCCTGATTGTAATTCACAATCTTTTGAGTAGGTTGTCAAATTGTCTGGGGAAGGTTGGTGTACTGGCATTGTGCTCAGCATTGCATTGAAAAACAAATAAAGCAGCTGATGCGATTTGAATGATTCTGGCAGTCCTTGTGAAAGACCATGCTTTTCAGTTCAACATCAAAAGTGCATAAAGTGCATACGTCATATCCAAGCACAATGGTCGGGAGATGAGTGCTCAATGCATTTCTCTTTACATCGCAATTAAAACAACTTGAAAAACATCTCAAACACAACTCGTGTTCCTCAACCACCGATTCCCGTTCATCTCGGGTGTGATTAAATGCGTGCGTTGTGTGCTACTGAAGAACACTCAGGATTCGCAGTTTAACGAATGCTGTCCCAATGACTGGGTTTAAGTGTTGCGGGCATTACGCTCTGCATTGCATGTAAGACGGAAGCTTGTGTTGCCTCCGAAACGTCGTGATTTTTATTTTACTTTTTAATGTTTTTACCTACGTGACTTTACCGAAAAAACCTAAGAATATAAAGAGCAACTGTGAACCAGAAGCGCAGCGCCTGTCAATGGAATGCATCTGTTATGTGCTTGCGGAATATCAGCGTTTCAATCTGGAGCATCAACACGGAGCCATAAACAGGTTGTCCCAATTCTAGATTTGAAGCTTTCGTGACTGCAAGGATTCATACTCTGTTTTTTTTCGGTAAAGTCACGCAGGTAAAACAATAAATAAAATAAATGAAAACTAAATTAAATTACGTTTTGGAGGCAACCCAAGCTTCCTTCAGGTGTAATAAGTATAACCCGTAAAAACAAAGTTTTTCACTATAAATCCTTTATATGCGTGGCAGCGAACTTAATATAAAGGATTTAAAAATATATTCGCCTGTGGAGGACGCGGGGATCGATCCCGCGACCTTTGGCATGGGAAGCGAGGGCGCTACCAACTGCGCTACTCCGCCACGGCCTGTGGGAGGGGTTGAATGAGTTCTTTTGAATATATGTAAAATATTTTTTTTTTGCCTAAAAAGTGTAAAATTTTGGGAATTTTTTTTCACGAACATTAATTGTCTGGCACAACGAGTCTGTGTGGAAAATGTCAGCTCGATTGGATCACGGGAAGTGGGTTAAAAAACGACCGAAAGATTTGCACGGTCGTAAGCAAGCACGCAAGCAAGCAAGCATGCGAACTTAATATAAAGGATTTAATAATAAAAAAGGCACCTGATGAAGGAAGCTTGTGTTGCCTCCGAAACGTGATTTAATTTAGTTTTTATTTATTGTTTTACCTGCGTGACTTTACCGAAAAAAACAATGAGTCGGATGCCCCATGTCTAAGGACGGTGATATGTGCTGTTATTGTGCTCTGCTTCCCGTTAAACAAACTCCATGAAGTGTTTGGGGTGTGGTCGCGTTAAACGTAAATGTGTCGTGAAACCCGCCACCACCCGACACAGCCAATTAGTAATGTTTGTCATGCAAGCAAAACGTGCCAATTCATGCTTAGGTAGTAATTGGCAATTAGTGCGTGAGTAGTAATTGGTACTTTTTGATTACGTTATAACCCTTACTAATTGACTTTCTGGTAGTGGCGGGTTTAACGACACATTTATATTCACACGATCTAAACCAAAAAACCCTTTATTATGGATATTGATCGGGAAAGCCTACGGATTAAAATACCGTTAAACCTAAAACATTGTACCAGGCACGTGTGATTGGAACACTTCCAATGTTACGTGGCAGATCAATAAACGCAAACAAAAACAACATCAAATCACACAGTCTCATCTCGGCTGTGACTTACACCTGTTACGTTCCGTAGAAGATCACCCGGGAGTTTCAGTAAAACAAAGCTCCCCATGTCTACGACAAACGGTATAACAGTAATGATATTCCTGCACAGTGGAGCATTGTGTGTCGCGCTTTTAGGGTGAGGTTGTGAGTCTGTGACCACGAAGCCCTCTGGTCAGGCACTGGCTCCATCCAGCACGACACACACACACGGAGGGTGGATGTTGTGAGTCTGTGACCACGAAGCCCTCTGGCCAGGCACTGGCTCCATCCAGCACGACACACACACTGGGTGAGTGGAGGTTGTGAGTCTGTGACCACGAAGCCCTCTGGCCAGGCACTGAACCTGCTGAGCCCTCCCGTCACTCATTGCCCCGCCCCTTATTGCCCCCGCCCCGCTTCCACATTCCCCACTACGGATCGGCGCCGCTCGCGCTCTCCCATTGGTTCAACGGGGGCGGACCTCGGGCGCGATCGCCCTGAGCCCAACCCCCCCCCCCCACCTTGGCACGTGACGCCGGCGCTGGCCAATGGGGCGCTCGCGCTTGCCCATGCGCACTGGGAGATGTAAACGAGTGAATAGTCGCGCGGCGCCATTCGGCTCGCTCGCCCCCCTTCCCCCCCCGCGATCGGCACCAGCAGCAGCGGCGGCGGCAGCAGCAGCAGCGGGTAAGGACTGGGGGGGAGCAGAGGGAAGGTGGTGGCGACCCGGCTATACCCCTCCCCCCGTCCTCCTCCACCGCCCCCCCCCCCTCTGCCTCCTCCTCCGCCGCGCGCACTTTGCTCAACGCCCTCCGCTTCCTTTGCATTCGTCCACCCGCGGGGGCCACGGCGCGCACCCGCAGCCACCCACCCCCTACTCCCCCTCCTCCCCCACCCATCCTTCTCCCCACCTCCTCCCCCCCCACTCCCTCCTCCCTCTGCACCCGCGCGGAGTTTGGGGCACGCCGCGTGTGCGCCCGGCGCGGGGGAGGCTTGAAGGTCGCGCCGCGGCCTAGCGCGCCTTTCCTAGAATCGCCGCCCGCGTCGAGCGAGCATCGCCAGGCCGCCGCGGGTGACTGCGGAGCCGCGGCGCGCTCTGTACCCCCCTCCACCCTCGCACCCCCTCGCCACCCCCCCCCCCACCCCCCCAACCCCTTCCCCTGTGCTACCCCCCACCCCTCCCCTTTGCTACCCCCCCCACCACCCCCCTTGCCGACCCCCACCCACCCCTCCCCTTGCTACCCCCCCCCGACCCCCTCCCCTTGCTACCACCCCCACCCCCTCCCTTGCTACCCCCCCCACCCCCTCCCCTTGCTACCCCCCCACCCCTCCCCTTGCTACCCCCCACCCCCTCTCTACCCCCCTCAACCCCCTCCCCTCGCTACCCCCTCCTCTCGTACCCCCACCCAGACCCCCCTATCTCCTCCCACCCCCTCCCCTCGCACCCCCCACCCCTCCCCTCGCACCCCCCCACCCCTCCCCTCGCACCCCCCACCCCTCCCCTCGCACCCCCCCACCCCTCCCCTCGCACCCCCCCACCCCTCCCCTCGCACCCCCCCCACCCCTCCCCTCGCACCCCCCCCACCCCTCCCCTCGCACCCCCCCCACCCCTCCCCTCGCACCCCCCCCACCCCTCCCCTCGCACCCCCCCCACCCCTCCCCTCGCACCCCCCCCACCCCTCCCCTCGCACCCCCCCCACCCCTCCCCTCGCACCCCCCCACCCCTCCCCTCGCACCCCCCACCCCTCCCCTCGCACCCCCCCACCCCTCACCCCCCCACCCCTCCCTCGCACCCCCCCCACCCTCGCACCCCCCCACCCCTACCCCTCGCACCCACCACCCCTCCCCTCGCACCCCCACCCCCCCTCCCCCTCGCACCCCCCCCCCACCCCCTCCCCCCCGCCGCGCCCGCACCCCCACCCCCACCCCCCCCCCTCCCCTCGCACCCCCCCCCACCCCTACCCTCGCACCCCCACCCCACCCCCTACCCTCGCACCCCCCCTCCACCCCATACCCTCGCACACCCCACCCCCCTTTCCTCGCACCCCCCCACCCCCTCCCCCTCGCACCCCCCCCATCCGCCTTCCCTCGCACCCCCCACCACCTCCCCTCGCAACCCCCCCCCCCTCTCAACCCCCCCTCGCCGCACCCCCCCCCCCTCGCCACCCCCCACCCCCCCCACCAACCCCCCCCCCACCCCCTCTCAATTCCACATCCCCCTCTCTCCTTCTCACCGCTACGCACCCCCCCCCCCCCTCTTCAACCCCCTCCCCTCCGCACCCCCCCACCCCCTCCCTCAAACCCCTCCCCTCGATACCCCCTCCCTCGGTACCCACCCCCTGCCCTCGTACCCCCACCCAGACCCCCCTATCTCCTCCCCATGCACCCCCCACCTCCTCCCCTCGCACCCCCTCCCCTCGCACCCCCTCCCCTCGCACCCCCTCCCCTCGCACCCCCTCCCCTCGCAACTCCCCCATCGCACCCCTCGCACCCCCACCCCCTCTAACCCCCTCGCACCCCCACCCACTCTAACCCCCTCGCACCCCCCCCTCTAACCCCCTCGCTTTGTCTGCATGACCCTATGACCCGGAAGCGCTCCCTGCTCGTTTCCTGCGCTCCGCGGCCGTTAACGAGGCCCCCCCTCGCCGTTGGCCGAGCGCCGCGTCACGTGCTCGCTGCGGACCAACGAGAGCGAGGCGCGCGCATTGCACGGCGAGTGCCGACCAATGGGGAAGCGCTTTAGTTTAAAACGCCGCGCATGCGCACTGGGTCCGTGCGAGGCAGCGAGGTTTTCCCCGCGCTTTTTCCTCCCCCCACCACCACCACCAACCCCGTGGTCGCCTCCACTCGCCCACACAACAACAACAAACAAAACAATCGCAACTAAAAACAGCGATAATCATTGACTAACCACACTATTCTCCACGCCGCCACCACTACTACCCACTCCGTATCTTACCTCCACGTGTGTGCACTTTTGTTGTTTTCGCGCAGCCGTTCGCCACCTTGCAACGTTTCGTCGGTTTTAAGCGAGAAGACGCACGCCGCAATCAGCCATCATGTCGGCGCGAGGGGGCAAGAAGAAGATGACCAAGCTGTCGCGCTCGTCGCGTGCCGGGGTCATCTTCCCCGTGGGGCGGATGCTGCGGTACCTTAAGAAGGGAACCCACAAATACCGCATCGGCATGGGCGCGCCCGTCTACATGGCCGCCGTCATCGAGTACCTCACGGGTGAGACGCACGTAGTCGGTCGCCAGCCTCCGAGCGGGTGGTGCTGCTTGTTGCCGGCCGCTTGGCGTTTTGTTCCCCCCCTCCCTCCCCTCCCCTTACTACTCTCTGCGTGGACGGTGCGGATGAGTTGTGTGAGGCGCACACTTGGACTGCACCGAGAGCCCCCCCCCCCCCCCCCATAGCACATAGACTTGCATAGACCCATCAGTGTGCAAACACTTGCATGTAAACCTTTGAGACACAGCCCCCCCCTAGACTCTCGTAGAAACATACTCAGCCGTACACTTGCATATTAACACCCGTGTAGTATACATTTAGGCCCGTGTGTTTACACGTGACTTTACCGAAAGAACCAAGAAGATGAATCCCTGCAGTCACGAAAGCTTTAAATCGAAATTTACATGGAGACATTCTAGATTTGAAGCTTTCGTGACTGCAAAGATTCATATTCTTAGGTTTTTTCGGTTAAGTCACGTAAGTAAAAAATAAAAATAAACGTGATTTTTTATTTTATTTTTTTATTTTTATTTTATTTTTATTTTGATGTTTTACTTACGTGACTTAACCGAAAAAACCTAAGAATATTACATGGAGACATCTTGTTAGCCAAATGCCCTCTATTCACATCAACTTCCTTAACATCTCATTTCACCGCGTCCTTCCATCTCCCCCTAAAACTTCCTGTGCTCCTGCCCAGCACCGGCGTCCACAGGCCCCTCTGAGCTACAGTGTTGGTCTCTTGTGTGAGTCTATGGGTCCTCTGCTCTGCATAGCCCAGCTTATTGTATCATCTTTACAAGTACATTTGCTTCTCAACACGTGCCCAAGCCTTCTTAATGTAGCCTCCCTCGCCAACTTAAAGCATATTAGCAATACCTGCCGGGGCTGTTGCGTCTTCGTTTACCCGAGGGTTTAACATGATGAAACTCAGTTTCTTGAGGCACTGGCTCTTTCTAAATTCATGATGTTGCCGTGGCAGAACCTAGTATCGTCGGTCAGGTGGCGATGTGATTACATTTTGTTGGTGAGTGAGTAGGAAGTTTGGCGAAAATAAGTACTGGATTATGAAAAGTCTGCAAGTGGGTTTTGTGGATTCGCTGGCTCCTGCCATAGGAATGTGGAGTTTTCGTCCGTGGCCAAGTACCATGAACGGATGTCAACATCGTCCCACGGTCGTGTCACGAGAGAATTTTTGTCAATGAACTGTAAATTGGCAAAGTTCCGTTCCGTGTCTACACACAGAGTGTTAGATCACTGGCCAATCGGTTTTGCAGACTTGCAGTAAGTAAACTTTGAATCGGTTTCAACCTTCTGGCTCTGACCAACAAAATCAGGGGTTTTAAACAAATGCTAATGGGTAGCCAGGTGTCATTGGTAAGATGTTATTTGTTGATAAAATGAGTAATGGTTTGTGGGCAGGCGCCTGCAACTGGCTGTGGACTGATCCTAGTTATGGGAATGAGGAAATGTCGGTTCATGACCGAGCACTGCTAGTAGAGATAAGCACGGAGACACTGCGGGTGGATACATTTAGTACCACCGTGTAGCATTTACAGGATGGACTAGAATTATCTTTGCCATTTGACCTCCATGAGCTCTTAGTAGCAGTTACAAGGGCAGCAGAAGGCAGTCCAGATAAATCCATTGTTGTACTGGACTGCACATACATGCTGCCCACCTTCACCTATCCGTACTGACACAACATGGTGAAGTATGTTTAGGTATCTTCCATGAAATGCATGGTGTGGACAGGTGCTGATCCAGCAGTGGATTGACAAGGACTAAATACACTAAGGGAGTAACAACTGTTCACTTAAGATTTTTTTATCCAATCTGAGACCACATTTTCGTCAAATCACAGACTCTTTGGTTGCACTTGTTCGCAGTCTTTTTCAGTTCTGGAATTTTTTAAAACTTTCATAAAAAATATCAAGCGATGCTACTTCTTTTTTTAAGTTTGTTTAGTTTAACTCGGTAAGAACCCACGACCAGGATAGTCTCATTTGCAAGGATGACCTCTTGGTCATCCAAAATTACAAAAACAAAAGCATAAAAACTATGTGCCATATAACAAAAAGTGAATAAATCGGTGCATAATCAAGACAATATAAATACAACAAAAACAGTGCTCAAAGGAGCACAGAGAGGTGCTTGCTTGCAATTATAGAGACAGAAAGTGGTCCACATGCAAGATAAGATGCAAGTTAAGTAAGTTTGCTTGTGCACGGCATGTTGCTCAAAGAGATGATGGCAGCCAAAAGAGGAACACGTCCTAGAGGTCGTCCACCACGGAGATGCATCGATGAAATCGGCTAGTGATGGATTGTTGTCGAAACATTGCTCTTTCTTCTGCACACAATTACAAGGAATACCAAACCATAAGAGTATTAATTCATGATAATTCCAGGTATGTTGGTGTCTTCGCAAAATGTATAGCATTAGGGTTGTTACCCATGCAATACGTATCCACCGCATCAAATTTGTTGATGTGCGATGTACATGTACAGCCCTTGCATGAGCCACTGCTGGATGAGACCTCCCCACACTGAGGATTGTCGTAACGTGACCATACTTTACAAAGCACTGCCCCCAATTGTTTTCTCAAACTCGTGTGTCTGTTTATGAAGATGTTGCTGTGCTGGTGGTGATCTACAATATGCCACAACACTTCACTATAAAGCTGCCCCAAACCAGTCTGTACACATGACCCTTGCTTTGCTTTCCTGTCCGCTGTAAGAGGAAGTACGACACTATATTGGAGAGGAGAGAATCCTCAGCTGTTCCTGGAGAGCCGTGGTGGTAGGGGAGGCTGTGAACACCATTCATTAATAAGTTAATAAGTGAGGCCATTAATGGGTGGCCTCCATTTCAGGATTTGACTGCACATCAATGTTTGCAGAGAAAGAAACAGATACAGATACACGTACAAACTAGCTGGGCACTAGGTTTCCGCACTTTTACACGCACGTTCTTGCATTCTAACGCATGCTTATAGCACTAGCACAAAAATACGTAGTTTTTTGTTGTTGATAAAACACTTTGGTGAAAGTTTGTTTCTTTTTTTGGTTGTGCACATTATGTACAAATTAGGGTATTGATTCACTATGAGATCTCTTTTACCAGTGGCAAAATATAATAGTAGGTTTTTACCCTTTTAACTGGTACAAAACTGACACCTTTATTCAAGGCATCATGTTTGCAATGACCACAACACAAGTAGTCAAAAAAGCAAACAAAAAGAAGCAACTCTGATAAGGATGATAATATGCACTGTCCTTGAAGTTGATTGGCCCACACCCGAGACGGCTTTCTTTAGAGCCTAGTCCCCATTGGTGTAGGGCCAGATGACACCAGAAGGCGTACAACTCAAACACAGTGCAATATCAGAGTATTGAGAGCTCGGGGTAAGCATTTACACTATGAGATCTCTTTTACCAGTGGCAAAATATAATAGTAGGTTTTTACCCTTTTAACTGGTACAAAACATGATGCCTTGAATAAAGGTGTCAGTTTTGTACCAGTTAAAAGGGTAAAAACCTACTATTAGGGTATTGATTCATAAGGCATGTTAGTAATTTTCTTAGTGATTGGTTTTGTAATTTTTGTGGTAACGTGTCTTTGGATGGATGCTCAGGCGTAAAATTATCCGAGCGGTGCAGCCAGTAGCCTCTTGGCTGCCATACATTTAAAAGTGACAAGGGAGTCAGGGCCAAGTACCACAGGTAGCTTTGGCTCGGATCCAGGGTAACGCTGGTATCAGGGCATAGTAGGCAAGTTTGTTTGTGATACATTTACTTGAAATTTATTTATGCTTACTTGTTTACGTTGAGTTGTGTGCTCAAAGCAGAACTCGTGTTTAGTTCGTTATTGTGCCCCTATCCACGAGGGCAGTGAGTCCGTGGTCTCGGCCCAGTAACCTCTCGACTAGCTTCGTTCCAGTACCAGTTTTCAGCAGACATGTAACCACTTTGGATAAAAAATATCCCTAATTTCCCATATTTGGTATAGTGCAATGTAATGAGACAAATTAGCCGTTCTCATTTTTCACAGGGACAGTGCGGCCCTTCTCGTGAGAGGAGAAGGCTCATGGAAGCGGATATTGCGGAGCTACCTCCGATCCTGTTAAGCCCCCTCTGGTCCACATAGCAGTGGGCAGCACTCTCCCACCACCCCTGCTGCATACGAGTAATATTTGTCGCATAACAGTAAAATTTACAAAATGTTTTCAATTGCCAGAGCTGGAATTTGGCTCGATGAAGTGCAGAACTAATTTGAACGTGCCGTTTTTTAGCGTGCATTTATTGGTTATAGTGCTGAGACCATCAACCCATTGCTCTTAAGAACCCGGTTTAATCTCAGGTGGCTGATACCTAGATAAGCACCCAGGATCTCAGCTATGCTGGCTGAGGGCCCTTGACCTCTCGCACCTCTTGACCGACTCGTGTAAATTTGTTGAACCCGGCAGCGGAAATCCTGGAGCTGGCGGGGAACGCCGCGAGGGACAATAAAAAGGGGCGCGTGACTCCACGACACATCCTGCTCGCCGTGGCCAACGACGAGGAGCTCAACCAGGTGAGCAGCGCTCGCTCCACAAGAGCCCCACCCTATGCACACTTCACAGAATAGTGGTGTCCTTAACACATTTTCAGGGGGGGGGTGGGCACTTTTGCCAATAAGACATCAGTGTGAGGGCCGCCACACTGCCTGCAAGTAGTGTTTTCACATTTGTGTATTGTCGGGGGTCACACAGTAGGGGCCCGCGCGAGGGGCCGCCAGTGGCCCGTGGGCCATGCAATGAAGAACACTGGAAAAGACGATCACTGTCACACACACACACTGCTAGCACACTCAGACTGAAGTGTGGTAGTGTATGATTGTGCTGTTGCGTGCACTGTTGCCTGTGTTTATTGCGTGCATCTCGGTATGTAGCATAGTTCTGTTTGCGATTATTGATGTTATGTACGTGTTTTTGTGTAAGTGTGCGATCGTGTATTTGTGCGGTTACACACAGTTATGCGTTTTGTGTGTGTATCTGTTGTCTGTGGTTGTGTGTGCTTGTATGTGCGATTGCCGTTTTACATGGTCGTGTGTGGTTGTGTTTTTGCCTTGTGTGCCTGCGTGTGATTTGCCCGCGGTTGTGCATGCGATTGCGCACGCGCTTGTAAGTTTACCACGCGCGCGTCTGTGCCGTTGTACCCCTTGTAGCTGCTGCGGGGCGTGACGATCGCCAGTGGCGGCGTGCTGCCCCGCATCCACCCCGAGCTGCTCACCAAGAAGCGCGGAGCCAAGGGAAAGTTGGAGGCCATTCTGCCCCCGCCCCCCAAGAAGCCCAAGGCCTCCCCCGCGGCGAAGAAGACTGCGGCCGCCAAGAAGGCGGCGGCAGCAGCAGCGGCCTCCGCATCATCCACCCCCAAAAAGGGCAAGAAGGGCAAGCAAGCAGAGAAGGTATCCCCTCCGCCCCCCAATTCCCCTGCTTAAACAAAACATCACCTTTACGATTTAAAGCTTTCGTGACTGCAGGGATTCATCTTCTTGGTTCTTTCGGTAAAGTCACGTAGAAGGGAAGTAATAAATTGATAAAAATAAAATATAATAAAATAATTCTCACGACATTTCGGCCACAACGCAAGCAGCCGTCTTCGGCCGTCCTCGGCTGCTTGCGTTGTGGCCGAAACGTCGTGAGAATTATTTTATTATGTTTTATTTGTATTATTTTATTACTTCTACGTGACTTTACCGAAAGAACCAAGAAGATGAAAACATCACCTGCTTTTGCCAAGTCGGAGGCTGCGTAAAAAATTCAGATGCTGGATTTTCGTTGAAGTAAAACAAGTTCTCGGAATATTTTTTGGCCACAATTTTACCCTGACCGTGCTGTTGGCATCACGTCATGAGACACAAAGTAGTGCCAACGCCTCGTATTGGAGAACTGGCCCCACAGAAGTGGATATCACTGAGCTATCTCTAGAGGATCCCTTCAAGGGATCTCTAAACCATTAATTTCCCACCCAATCTGCATGTGACAGTGAGGTTCGTCGCATGATGGTCAAACCATAATTTTAAATATTTTTGCCACTGGTAAAGGAGGTCTCATAGTGTAAATGCTTACCCCGAGCTTTCAATACTCTGATAGTGCGCTGTCTTTGACTTGTACGCCTTTTGGCGTCATCTTGTCCAACACCAATGGAGACTAAGCGCTAAGAAAAGCTGTCTCGGGTGTGGACCAATCAACTTCAAGGACAGTGCATATCATTATCATCATCAGAGTTGTTTTTTTTGTTTGCATTTTGACTGCTTGTGCTGTGGTTATTGCAAACATGATGCCTTGTATAAAGGTGTCAGTTTTTGTACCAGTTGAAAGGGTAAAACCCTATTACTTCAACATTTTAAATCTCAAGCGATAGAATTTGGCCAAATTAAGTATGGAAATCATGTAGAATATTTTTGGTAACTGGACCGAGACCATCAATTTACGACACTTTAAGACCCCTCCTGAAAGAGTCTTTGCACTCGGCATGATTTTCCTTGGTAAACATGTAATTTTCGATTTAAAGCTTTCGTGACTGCAGGCATTCATCTTCTTGGTTCTTTCGGTAAAGTCACGTAGAAGGGAAATAATAAAATAATAAAAATAAAACATAATAAATTAATTCTCACGACGTTTCGTCCTCAGGTGAAGAATGGAATCTCATTCTTCACCTGAGGACGGCTGCTTGCGTTGTGGCCGAAACGTCGTGAGAATTATTTTATTATGTTTTATTTTTATTATTTTATTATTTCCCTTCTACGTGACTTTACCGAAAGAACCAAGAAGAAACATGTAATTGTTTATTTACAACAATTGTTATTAACGAGCGCACGCGTTCTCTCGCAGGACAAGACAGCCGAGAGCAACAAAGCGACAAACGACAGTGCCACTGAAGATGGGCCTGGGGAGGGCTTCACCATCCTATCCACCAAGAACCTCTTCCTGGGACAGAAGGTGCCGCTTTGCTTTGCCTGACCACCTCTTCGCGCGGGCGATCGTTAACGAGCTTGGCGATTGCATCCGCCCAAAATGCCACTGGGCCGCCCTGGCAGCGATGGGAAGGTTGCGAGTTCGAATCCCTGTCATCAGCTGTCGCCTTGGCCCATCACCCTTATCGGAGTTGATAACTTGAGAGTACCCCTTTGTGGGCAAAAAAATGCTGTTTGTTCTCTGGTAAAGATTAGCGCCCTCACCAGACTAATGTGAGACTTCCAGCACTGACTCGGTGCCATTAGAAATTTGACACAGCCCCAATGCTGGAATGGGAATAGGAAGATGCTTTTAGGTTTTTACTTGCTCATTTGCTATGCCTATTGTATGTATATATGTTGCACTTCTTTCGCACCATACGTAGCCAACTGTGGTAATCGGAGGTGTGGGGAAGTACAACAAACTAAACACAAAGCAGCTCTAAAGAGTTTTCTATCTAGATTAAAAGTGCATAGATCCATTGGCTTCCGAATATCGGAAGGAAGTGTGTTTTAGACGGCTGCAGAAGCGCATCTGAAAGCGCGCGATGCGGTATTCACACAGTGAATAATATTCTTTTGACGGGACCTTTTTGCCAGTATCAAAGTAATATTATATATGAATATTATTTAAATATTATTTTCAATTATATGGCGCTCGCTTGAATGCCTCGGCATCTCAAAGTGCCTTCCATGTCATGTCAACCGTTTGAAGAGGGACCCCCCCCCCCCCCCCCCGTTGCAGCTCTCTGCCTCTCAAGGTGATTCGGCACTGACCTGAAAGCGGACTCGAGACGCACGTATGGGGGTGGGCAGTGTTGTTATGTGTAATCCCAAAGGAGTAATTTTTCTAATTTGGACTGACAATGGCACACACAATGGCCTTCTATTTTTGAAGACGTCAGGGATTTTTTTATGTCCACTGTGAAGCAGATGACGTGCATTTAGCAGGTTAATACACCCACAGTATTAACCAGGGGGGGGGTCTGCTGGATTTTAACCGCAAACCTCTCCAACACTTGTGCATTATGCTACACTCGGCGTTCACTATTTTCGGATTAATTAAAAAAAAACTGTTGCTTCTAGATACAAAATATGGGTAATTTGTATAAAAAGCATTTAGAATAAGATTCATTGAAATGTGTGACATAGTTTACACCTTGGAATAACAATCCTCCCTTGTATGATGGAGTTTATATTGCAATAACGCAAACGTAGAAAGACAGGACCAGGGTACAACGGATTACCACATCTGGTAAAAGCAAGTGAATCTAGAGGAGGAGAGCCTTGTAATCCAAGGCATGAGCATCGTGTAGTAAGATGATGAAGTCAACAAAGGGGCAACAACAGTGGATCGGATAGTTGATTGAGCGGATAGTTGATTTACTGGTTGGTTGATTGATTGATGCTATGGTTGATTCATTGACCAGATAGTTGATTGATTGGCCGGACAGTTGATTTACCAGATTATTGCCTGATGGGTCCTAGCTGTTGGTTGGCTGTGTGACGAGCCGTGCGTCGTGTGTGTTTGTGCCGCCCCCAGCTGGCGCTCACGCAGAGCGAAGTCGGCAACATCGCCAACATCTGTGTGGAGGCGGTGGTGCACCCCACCACGGCCGATATCGACCTGAAGGACGACCTCGGTGAGCCATGTGGCACACGCTTGAACGAAGTAGCCCATAGTTTGGTCAGTCAGCGTTGACTCGCCCGTTGGCTGAGCTGCGGCCGTGGTGCGAAAGAAGTTCAATCTACATGCAAACATCTGGAACCTCCACCTTCGCTAACCTGTACTGACGGATGTGATGAAGTATGATCAAGACAACTCTCACAATTAGGTGTGAGCAGGCTTTTCAGCGGTGGATTAACAAAGATCTATATTATACATGTTTCCTGTTGTTGATCGCTTTGAGATACAAAGGGCTGAACAATGACAATCATGATAGTTGGTTTTTTTACCCTTCCATCTAGCAACAAAACTGACACCTTTTTTACAAGGAGTCATGTTTGCATAGACCACAATACCTGCAGTCATAATGCAAACAAAAAACATAACTCTGATAAACTCTGATAATGTGCACTGTCCTTGAAGTTGCAACTTCAAGGACAGTGCACATTGTCAGAGTTATGTTTTTTGTTTGCATTATGACTGCAGGTATTGTGGTCTATGCAAACATTACTCCTTGTAAAAAAGGTGTCAGTTTTGTTGCCAGATGGAAGGGTAAAAAAACACAATTATCATATTTTTTACTGGCAAATGAGGTTGCAATGGTGGAATAACAATCATGTACAGCCTGCACTAGCACTTCATCATCACCAGCCCTTATCATTCCGCTGTTGGATGAAGGCCTTTCTAAGCCACTGAATGCAGATTGTTGTTGTTTTACCAAGTATTTTTGTGTGTGCCGGTGGCGGGTGTAGGTAGTGCGCTGGAGAAGGCCGGTGGGAAGGACTTCACGGAGTCGATCAAGGAGCTGCGCAAGTCCGACGGGCCGCTTGACATCGCTGCTGGTGAGTGTGTTGCTTGCTCACGCAGGCGTCCAGCAAAGGGATGAGAACGATGGCCAGATTTAGCGGTGTGTCGGTGACCTGTAGTTCCCTCTTGGTGTAACTGATGGAGAATACCGAAATGTAGTGATGTTTAAATGTCACTTGCGATCAGTTTCAATTTGGTGGCCGTTATGTGGCCATGGGCCGTATGGAATGAAGTTTCAGGCTGTAAGGGTCTTGGCAATGTGTGATTAACGGTGCTGTGCGTGTGTTTTTGTGTACTTGTTTGTGTACGTACCTGTGGGCGTGGGGAGTGGTGGCTCGGTGATGAGTGCACTGCGCTGCAAACTGGCGACCCGAGTTTGATTCCCGTTCAGAGCGAAACACCAGTCATTTTTAACTGAAATGGTCCTGTTGTACCTCTAGTAGGTCGACAAAGTTGGCCCGACTTGGTGCTGACCACACCACCAACCCCATGTGTACCGTGGTGGCATTCGTAGGTCCAGTGGTGATGTGACTCGGTGGTAGTGCGTATTCCACTTATTTGAGAGTGGCACGATTCAACTGGCAGACCACCCTGGTGATGACTGCGGGTGTAATAACCACAATATATGAACGCGCCATCTGCTTCAAATTGATTGTTAAATAGCCCTTCACGTCATTAAAATGAATAGGCCATTGCGTGCCAGAATCATGATCCAAAATGTGCCAAATTCTTAAAAATTACACTGCAAATTACACAATTGGAATTACACACAGCAATCATCACAAATTACTGGCAGACTAATGCCAGCTTGTGGGCTGGCTAGTGTTTCATCTTTTCAATTTCTGCACACCCAACTGCACTTTCATGTCCTGTATAAAGTGCTTCGAGATGCCCTGGCATGAACATGTGCTCGCGAGCGGCATTTAACCTTGAAGGGCTACATGGGGATCTTTATCTTTGTGTATGTGTGTGCAGCGGCGGCCAGCGTGGGTGCCGGTCTCTCGGTGAAGTTCGTAATTCACAGCCACGCGCCGCAGTGGGGCTCCGACAAGTGTGAGGAGCAGCTGGAGAAGGCAGTGAAGAACTGCCTCCTTCTGGCCGACGACAAGAAGCTCAAGTCCGTGGCCTTCCCTGCCATCGCCACGGGCCGGTGAGGGCCGCCCCCCCCCCCCCCGCCCACCCACAACAACTCTTTTCCTTCACACGTTTCATCTCATCATTCTCACTCGTAGCCTGAAGTGGCGTGGTGAACGTCGGCATAACAAAAAAAGCATAGAAACGATGAATTGGTGATGTGTGGTAATGGGGGAGGAGAGGTGAGGCCAACCTCGTGCTCACCCTGCTCCTTGCCAAACACTACCACTCACAAAACCAGCCTATCCGTCTGGAAAACCATCCCACTTCACATTTGCAGCATTCAATGTGCCACCTACTCTTTGAAGAGACACGTAAAAACCCACCACCCCTGTCCCCTGGCTTTCAAGTGACACTGAGCTTGGCTCCGTACCTCAGAGTTACGACCATTTGTGTCTGAAATATTGGGTGCATTACTAATTGCACTATTAATACTACTAGCACTGCCCCAACCATAACCAACCGGCCACTAGTTTTTAGCGCTACCCCTCACTAACTAGCCAGGCAACCACTCGTACTAGCTTTTTCCCACAGACCCTAAGCACTCTCCCTGCCCCCCCCACTCCTCCTCCTTCTGCCCCCTCCGCTCGCTCAGGAACGGCTTCCCCAAGCAGACGGCGGCACAGCTTATCCTGAAGGCGGTGAGCGCCTATTTCGTGGCGACCACCACGTCATCGCTCAAGTCCGTCTACTTCGTGCTGTCGGACAGCGAGAGCATCGGCGTCTACGTGCAGGAGCTCGCCAAGCTCGAGAGCAATTAACCTCTCGCTTGATGAGGGTCACGGGGGGGGGGGGGAGCGGGCGGTGGGTGCAGGTTTGGGGGGGGTGCGGGATAGCGGTGGGAAGGGAGGCTAGGGGTCAGGAGGGGAGTTCTCGGGGAGGGGTAGGGGGTAGCGTGGCGTGATGAGTGACGGCGCCTCTGAAGATGCGTTGAGGAGGAGAGGCGCGAGGGTGTTGGTGCGTTTTGAGGAGCCAGCGGTGTGAGCCAGCGGCACGCTCTCCGGCCAGACTCGCGCGCGGAGGACACCCACGGGCATAGCAGAGAACATTGCCACAGTGGTGGGGATAAAAGAGTTCTATTTTATTTTGTACGGCCGTGTATGTTACGCTGCAGGATTTTGGGGGTAGAGAAAAAGAACATATCGTCACCCAAAACTATTTTGAAAATACAACCCGACCCTTTTTATAGCCGAAAGGCATGGGGGGGGGTGGGGGGTTGCCCCCCCCTTGATGGGATCGTAAGGCTGGCCGCAAACAGTGTTGCGCCATCTAACAACTCGCCTCGCATGCAGTGTGAAGGAGTAAACGTGGTTTTTAACAAGGTAAGCACGTCGGCCGTTTGGGAAGTGAAAATTGGCTTCTGCCTTTAAACTCATCCGTGGGTCAGTGATTCGGCAAAGTGGAAGTGGTTCAGAGTTGTGTGGCAAAATGACCAGTGAATTATGGTGGTTACTCATCGGAAAAGGTTATTGGATAACTCTCTTATGTTGGCCTTACAAATAACTCTAACGTATTATTTGGTGATGCTGTTGGCAGCAGTGAACAGACACAACAACAAAAGCTACACATTTTGGCCAAAGAAAAAATGTATAATCCGCAACATTTTCAGCAACTGCCCCTATTCGTGTGCTACAAAGAACGCCCGTTGCCTGAAACGTCACCTATTGTATATATTGTTTTTCTTTTAAAGCCACAGTGTTATTGACGAATTGGATTTTTTTTACAAGTACGTCAATTCCACTAAGGTTTTTGGTATCATTTGATCGTTTTTGGCTCACATGGACCGTACAGTTGGATCCAGAGGTAAGCCCTCTGTTGATCTGAACGGCGAGGAATAGCCGCTGTGTTGGATGGGTGACGAGCGGAGCCGTGTCTGAGCTAAGCAGCTCAGCTCGGCACACTCGCACACCCCTACCCGCCGCCTGCCCTTCGTGCAGTTGCAAGTGCGCCGCGACACACGGGGTGTAGAATTATGACTGGTGGACGCAGGGTAGCACAGCACCTGGTGGTGACGTCTGTGATTTTATTTTGTGCAAGGAAAAAAGGCCAGTTTCACTAGCCCAGGCAAGCTCGGTTCAGAGCAGAATGCAACAAACAGGCTCGTGCAGGTACGCGCTTGGGCTGTAGGTTTCTTGCTTTGTTTATAAAAACAAAGCCCTACATTAAAAGTAACAAGTGAAATCACTGCATTGTCCAGCTATCATGTAAGGAATAGATGCCATTTGGTGCTATCATGGCGAGCTTAACAAGAGAGGTTTTTTTTTTTCCTTTCCTTTTCATGGACAAATCTTTAAACCCCGTGACGCTACAGCCTCGGTGGGTATTTACAAACTATAACGGTATGAGTCTTGGTTGCTTCTTCTCTGACTTTCCACTCGGGCACGGAAAGTCGTGCTGGGCAGCGCCGGGGTGGTGTGGGTGAGCAGCGGTGGGTGGACCGTACGGAGGAGCGCAATTCGGTGGGCGCCGTGGCATGTGCGCTGTGTTGGCGCTGGTGTGTTGTCGGCTTGCAGTCGGCGCGTGGCTGGGTATGGACTGGTCTGTGGTGGTCGTGTTTGGTGAGTGTTATTCGTTAGGCCCATAATTGTTATAAATTTTAGATGCATGTTGGCTTAGAGCAGGAAAATTAAAACGGCGTGAGGTGTGTGGGACGGTTGGCCGGTAGTCCATGGGCCAGAGCAGAAATTGACAAATTTTAGCAGTGCCGATGTAATTACAGTTATTTGCTAAGCAACTCATTATACATGGTTATCTACATCGCTGTGTTGGGCCACGTAAATCAATTGGAATCTCTGAAGTTATGCCACGTCAGGTGGTACCGACAAGTTTCAATGACTGATCTGGTCCCATCGACTACAATGGGAGCATGGCAGAGGGGGGGGGGGGGGGGTTCCAAACAAGAGGAAGACAAGTAGAGAAAATAATGTTTTTAAACATCAATTTGAATTCAGAATTAACAAAAAAAAGAAATAAAAAAAATAAAAAATAGCGGACACAATCTTATATAAGCAAATCGTTTCAGTTATTTCAAAGTTGAAAAAAAATATCCTTTATAAAAAAAACACAAAAAGAGTTGAAAGCTGTATAGATTAATGTACATGTATATGTAGTGGTCTGTGTGTTATGTGCATTTTTAGAGCATATTGCTGTAACATGCTTGTTTTTGTAGTATTTTTACATTCGACGGCTCCTGCTTTCCAAGTGCGGTGGTGACTTTGCTTTGCCCCCCCCCCCCCCTCAGTCACGGGCACCCAGGTTCGGGCCCCGTGCGATCAAAGGCTAGGAGACTGAAGCCTGTTGGGCACTCGGCGCTGCCCGTGCAAGCGAGTCAACCGCTTTGGCGTCGATCTCCACCTTGTTTTTACGCTTTCTTGTGTGCGCTGCTCGTGGGAGGTGGCCAATGCTTTCGGTAAGGGGGGGGGGGGTGCCGTTCCGATTCCAACGACCAGCGTTTGCGTAAACAGCGAGGCCAGTTGCCACTTCCGGCCGCACGGGGTTTTTTTTTTTGCGCGTCCTGATCTCTCGTACTGGGCCGGGGCGTTCCCCGTTTTTTCCCCCGTTCCTTTGTGGCGCGCGGTGCAGTAAGCTCTCCCGTTCGCCATCCCACAACCACCACCATCACGGCCACCTTGGGAGTTAGGGGTCACACTCTCGCGATGTCAGCCAGAACTTTGCTGTGAGGCCCCGTCGGAACGTTACGCCTCCCACTGCAGAGCCCCCCCCCCTGTTTCCGACTTCCCACGGGAACGTGGGTAGAAAATCTGGCTGCGGAGGGCTCGTGGCTAGCAGTGACACGAGTGGAGGGCAGCTGCAGAGAACGGTTACCATGGCAGCCTCGAGGCCGTGGAAACGCAATTATATTATCCAATGAGTGGCCTGCGTGGGCAGGAGCTGTAACGTTAGGTCGGAACGGATGGGCGGTTTGTGTTTTGAAGAGACCCACAGCTCGTCGTTTTTAGCAGGCGTCTGGTGTTTTACTCCTACTGGGGAAACGATTTGTTTGTCTCGGTTGCTCACAGATGGGTTGTCTTTTTACACCACAACGTTCCTCTTTGCAGTGACTGTTGTTCAGTCTGCCCAGTTCCGTGTGACAGTGGTCTTGTTCACTTAGAAATTCGTAAGAATTAACTATGACGAATATAGGTGAACAATATATTTTTGTTTTAGACTGATTTCTGCTTTGTGTTCGGCCTTGGCGGTATAGGTTTTATGTTGATGTGTGATCTCCTGCTGTCTCTCCCCAATTGTCAAGTTTTAATGCCCAGCCAGAACTGGGGAGGGATGCCAGGGATTTGCTGTTTTATAAACCAATGAAATGTTTTCCTAAAGTGTACCATTATAAACCTGATCTTAACACACGCAACGTGAACACGTGAATAGCGCCAGTCACATCAGCTGAGTCTGTGTTGGTGTGTTAGTTTATAATAAAAGCCCTCCTTGGTGGAAACCACATTGTTCATCTCTTTGAGTCCTAAGCGTCGGGTCTGACTACTTTCCCCCGTGATCCCTCTCTAATGATGGGACGTTGAGCCGGTGGTCTGGGCAAGGTTGAGAGTTGTACATTCAATGTGGACATGTGACATGTATGCAAGGAATATGGTTGTAAATCGGGCCTTCCAATTATTTATGAGCAGCACATCTCTGCGTTGTGTTTATATTTGCAGCCTGCACGCACTCTGGTGAGGTGGGTCTACGTACGGTGCGAAAGAAGTTCAACAAATAGTTTACCGAGAGAGTTGCATTTGAACAGTGTGCCCACGTGCACACTGACATTCATTCCAGGTGGTGGTGGATGGTCGTGTACAGTCTACGGTCCTCGATACATTTTAGGGCAATCATTACCAGCGACGCATGGACCTCAAGTGACTCGCAACTTGTTGGGCAATGGAATAGTGACGGTCTAAGCTGGAAACCCAAGAGGGAAGGCTTTTTCATCCGTCCACTGCCTTCCCCAATGTACTGACCTGGAAGCTGCTATTTCTCTGAAGTGAAGATCGCCTGACGTCCGGGCACTAGGACAACCTCCCATGTCCTAGGTGCCAATTGGACGGAGCGCCGATCATTAACATTTTTTGGCAACCAGATGTTTGGCATGGAATTTCTGCGGAAATCCTTGTCGGTGACAATTTCAACCGGTGGATCATGACCTTAAGAGAGGGGCTGGTGTTGGGGGGCGGGGAGGGGGAGAGTTGCCTGCACACTTCAAAGTGTACCAACTGCCGCATGTGAATTGAACATTGTGCTGTCAACCAGGCAAGTCCCATTGGGTCTTATAGCGATCTGTTCAGGAGGGCCCTGCCAAGTTTTTGCAGTCTGCCTTCATTCAGCAGTGGATTGATGCAGGGGTATGTCCACATCTACACGTTACATTCAACAAACCAAATTATTGGTGGGGGGGGGGGGTTGGTGAGGAAGCAATGAGATGGAAATGGAAACACTTGAATGAGAGAACACGCGTAGGTTGGGGACCGCACGTTGACTCGGGGCAAGACGCGTCACGACTGCACACGGACAATGGTGGGCAGTGGTCGAGGCTAAGGACGGAGTGACAGCCAAAGGAGGCAACGCGTCCCCTTGTGGACGTCCACCGGTGGGGAGGGAGAAACGAAATCTCGTCGTGTTCAGGCGCTCTCAATGGATCTTAGCAGGCATCTCAAGCCAGAATCAGAATGTGTATTTATACTGGAATCATCTAACGAGCTACGGGGAGCTGCTCTTCACAGATGTCCAATCGGGGCGGGTAAGAACGTTACAACGACAAACAATACAAAACCACCATGGTGCAAAGTAAATAAAATGCAAACAAATTACCGAAAAACATCCAAATAAAACTAAACCATCCCCATCTTACAAGGCAAAGCCCGCTGAGGTTTTAACAGAAGCGACCTGCCCAAAAATAATAGCTCAACAAAGTGGCTGTTGAGGATGCCTTCATCCAGCAGTGGATACATTATGGCTGCTGATGGTGATACATACGCTTTGAGCCGCATTGAAACATGCTGGGTCGTGAGTCTGGCGGAACGCGTCTGTCGGGCAGCGTGGTTTATCGGCAGGGGGCGCTGCGGCCTTGCCTGCCGTCCCGAGCGGAAAGTTGCGTCTCATCCACGCTCTTCACCGCACGAGGGGTCACAACAACAAGACAAAGATCCCCCCTATAGCCTTCACAGGCTGTCGGGGCAAGTGCTGTTCGCGAGTAGCGCCGACGAAGGGATGGGTGGCCAGCACCACGCCAGCCTGCCTTTGTCCCCGCAGTGGCGATGTTTACACATCGCACCACGTATTCATTTGAGGCTGGGTCGACCTAGGGGACGCCCAAGACTGGTGCTGATAATCATCACTGGTGTTGGTGGCCGTGAACAGTGGCGATATTTACGCATCGCACCACGTATTAATTTGAGGCCGAGTCGACCTAGGGGACGCCCAAGACCGGTTCTGATAATCATCACTGGTGTTGGTGGCCGTGAGCGAGAATCGAATTTGGGTTGCTGGGTTCGTAGCGCGGCGCGCTAACTGCTGCGCCACCGCTCCTCTGCACTCACAAACTCAACACACTGCAGGCCACGTTCACTTCTCTTTCTGCATCTTCCCTCGCACTGCGCCACTTTGGAATTCGCTCCTCGCATCTTCTCTTGTTTTTCTCTCTCCCCATGTTTTCAGAGACTTGCGCATTCCAAGAAAAGTCGTACTGTACGTCTTGTGTTTTACAACTTCAAGAGTGTGGAACGTTGCTGGCCGCTTGTCGTCTTCGGCTCTTGAGTCTGCTCCGTAAACGGCGAGAACGTGTAATTGCGCGAGCGCGGTCAAGTCAGGAGACAAAGGAAATCACGTTTGGAACTCCTACAGCGAGCAGTGCACTGCCTGGCGGTCGGGAAGAATGGGCCTCTGGAAAGGTGACGATCTTGGAAAATCGCTTCAGTGTGATGCTATAAATGCGTGTTTTTGTTTTCGGAATTTGCTCCCAATTTTATTCCATTCGGAAGACTCGCAGAGGGATCCCAACCTCTTCTTGTTCGCCAATAGCTCCACGGAAGCGGACATTGCAGAGCTACCTCGCAGATGCCTCCAAATAGCGTCTGAGTGACTGAGTGACAAATTAGAGGGTGGCACTTCCATACCCGGCCCGCCACAGTGAGTCATCTTCATCCCGTGACAGTGAGTCCGATGTTTTAATTCTCAGATATTTTTTGTGCGCAATTACCTTCAACTCGCCATACGCTAGAACCCGCTTTAATGCGCCAAATTTGCAAGTGACCCGCGAATTACTCAATTGAGATTATACACAGGAGCAGCAGCAGCAGCAGCAATCATCGCCTCCTACTGGCAGCAGAATAATAATGCCCCGGTCACTCTTAAAAAAGAGATATCATCATCGTCTCCTGCGTGATAAACCTGGTTAAGCAACATCAACGTGAAACTTGAACCTTAAATCGCCAGGCGGCTGAAACCCGGATTGGAACCCACGATATTTCAGGGGTGGCCGGCTCAGTGTTTTCTGACACGGGCCATTACGAACCCACACCAGCAGCCAAACCCGCGCGCGCACCCACCCACCCACCTGAATGCCCATGTAATTTCAGACACCTGTGCTTGCGGAAATTACACTTAATCCACAGCACCCATTGTCGGCTTTCTTGCGGGGAGTTTTGGGGTCTGGTTGGTGGGTCAGTGGGGGGGGGGGGGGGGGGGGACCCGCCCGTGAGAACTGGGGGAGGGGGGGGGGTCGTGGTGGGGGGGGGGGTCCCAAGCCGCCGTGTTCGGCTTAGGGGTAGAGCACGTGCTTTTGCCTGGTTGGCCATGAAGTCGTTTTTCTTTTTAAACAGTCCCAGATCACACAAAGACAACATAGTACCTCAATAAAATGGCACATTAAAATGTAACCATCGATACACGGGTAAGGGTCAAATTTACAAAATACAGTGGCAAATGTGGTTCTATCCACCTCTAATCATCTGCTTCAGGATATTCTTTTGAACGAAAATCTACGATGGTAAGGGAGGGAACACGCTTGTTCGAAAACTTTGCTGCTGCAACGGGCAAAGGCTTTGTCGCCTTTTACAACTATTGTTCTTTGGAGAGTTCAAAGGGCTCAGGGGAGATGACATGCCCCTGTCAGCGTTAAAATATAAACTAAAGAATTTTTTTTAATTTTACCAGGTAAGGCTCACTGAGCTGTATCGCTCTTTTTCAGAAGCGACCTGGCCACAAATGATAGCTCAACGAAGTGGCTTATCGCGCGAAAATTTATAAGCAGTCAAATACTCTAAACGCGTGATGTTGATTCTAAATGTGGAGGCAAAAACCCGCATGACCCTGATAAAAGTCCACGCGACCACGGGGAGAGAGGGACACCGCAAACTCCAAAATATACAGCAGCAGGCGACAGGGTCGAGATCGGACCCACGACCTCCTTGCGCGCCAGGTGAGGTCGTTAACAGAACGAATAACGATGTTCGTTCGTGTGTCGTGCATCGTGTATGTACATACTGTACTGGATGTTTCGATTTTAAGCTTTCGTGACTGCAGGGATTCATCTTCTTGGTTCTTTCGGTAAAGTCACGTAGAAGGGAGATAATAAAATAATTAAAATAAAACATAATAAAATAATACAATTCTCACGACGTTTCGGCCACAACGCAAGCAGCCGTCCTCAAGTGAAGAACAGGTCTGTCGGAAAGACTTGTATTATTTTATTATGTTTTATTTTTATTGTTTTATTATCTCCCTTCTACGTGACTTTACCGAAAGAACCAAGAAGATGCACTGGATGTGTTTGTATGTATGTATTATACGTGTGTGGGGGGGGGGGGGTTAAGAGATTGCGTAGTGGTTAGCGCTCTACACAACAAACCTATCGACAGGTCCTGGGCCTCCCCACAGATCGATGAGGCTTCAAATGGTGTGGTGTGTGAACATCAGCGTTTGGGGAGACAAAGGCGGCCGGGCATGGTGGCTGGCCAAATCGCCCCATCTCCTCGTGCGCCGTGTTGGCAGCTAGCCGCAGCTCTGGTTACCGTGGACATGGTCGAGAGCTTAATAGGTGCTCGCTAAAAGCGCACTTGCTCCAACAGTCTCTTAGAAGCTAGATGGGGGGATCTTTGTCTTATTGTAGAAGTTTAGAAATCTGTAAGTGCCACAGTCGCCATCCTAGTCTCCTCCTCCTCCCCCACCCTCTCTGGAGGACACCGCTCTGCCCGGGATTAGGGGCTCAGCTCGCGAGCTCCGGGCAGAGCGGGGTCGGTCCCCTTTGTTCTGTGGCCTCCAGACCCCGAGGGCAAATGAACGGGGAGACCCCCAGAGTCCCATTGGGTGTCCGAATGGGCCACCCACGGAACGATGGGGCTGAGAGGCATGGTGAGGCTGCATCCCTACAACTCTTCTATCGCGACTGCTACCATGATTACCGTTCCCAAGAACTTCACTCACGGATTCCTCTTGCCAGTGTTGAGGATTGGTGGAGGAATCCAGACTGACGATTTCGTTTGTCCTTTGACCTGACACTGCTGGAGTTGTTCTTCAACTCGGCAGGGAGCGAGCGAGCTGAAACAATAAACTCGATTAAGTTTGTTTGGCCGCGTCGGGTGGTAGAGGGTCTTGACCACACAGATTTTGGTCAGAAAAATTAAGAAAAGCTTAAGAATCGTAATATTGGCTGCTGTTTGTTGCTGGCTTCGTGGCGTTTTTGGGGCCTTTGATAAACAATTAAAAGTTAGGGTTGGGACGTGTGGGTTGGCGTTAGGCAATGGAGGGGTTAGGGTTGGGGGCTGGGTGGGAGGGGGCTCAGATCTAAGATCTGTTTATGTACTCTTAGGTTTTTTCGGTAAAGTCACCTAGGTAAAAAAAAGTAATAATGAAAATAAAATAATAAATCACGACGATTTCGGAGGCAACACAAGTCTCTGTCATCAGGTAGGACCGTCACAGCTTGATTTACTGTATCAAGTGAGTAAATCAGTAAATCTGGCTGTGACGGTCCCACCTGATGACGGAGACTTGCGTTGCCTCCGAAACGTCGTGATTTATTATTTTATTTTTATTATTACTTTTATTAATTTTAATTTTATTATTTTTTTTACCTACGTGACTTTACCGAAAAATCCTAAGAGTATGAATCATTGCAGTCACGAAAGCTTCAAATCTGGAATCTGTTTACATGATCCACCGCTCCCTTGAGCGACACAAACACAATGCAGCTCCCTCGCATCGGCGCCAGGGTCGCCTCCTGTGTTCCGAGTGCCGGGACGTCAGACACGTAATCCGAATATTTATTTAGACTGGAGGAATCTGATGAGCCGTAAAGCTCTTTTTACACAGATGTCCAGTAGGGGGCGGGTCAGAACGTGGGGGGTCAGCGGCGTCAGCCGAGAGACATTCACCCAAAGAGGCAGACGGTCACCGTATCGCGCGCTTTCAGATGCACGTCTGGAACGCTCTTCCTTCCGATATTAGGAAGCCACTGGAGAAATGCACTTTTGAGGAATCTACAAACGAAATTTCTTTTGAAATGTTTTTTTTCTGTTTAGTTTGTCGGCCTTCCCCCGCGTCTCCAATTATCGCGGTTGGCAATGTACGGTGCGAAAGAAGTTCAGCAAAACATACATAACTGCCAAATAATACACGAACGCGCCCGTAGGGATGTCCACTCAGGAGATGGGAGCCATGAAGAGAAAAAAAAAGAAACTGTGGCCCGCTCGGGGCAGGGGCAAGGGGCCGTCCATAAATGACGTCACGCACCTAGGGGGGAGTGGGGGGGGTCAGACAATTGTGACGATGTGTGACGAGGGGGGGAGGGGGGGGTTTGAGAAATGTGACGTCACATCAAAATGCGGAACTTTAAATAAATATAGACAACACGTTCTACTTAATTAAATAGATTTTTTAATAAATGTTTTCTCCTACAACATCAGAGTGCAGCGCCACATTCAATACGCACTACAATGACAATAGTTTAAAGCGATTTGAAGCATGTTTTTTTTTGGGGGGGGGCAGAGCTTTGTGACGTAATATTTGAGGGGGGGGGTCTGACTTTTTGTGACGCCGTGTGACGAGGGGGGGGGGTCAAAAATCTTACAAAATCGCGTGACGTCATTTATGGACGGCACCCAAGGAGTGTGCAGCCAAAGGGGGTAACGCTTCGCGTCCACTCGGGGAGACGGAGCGATGAATCCAGCTCGTGCAGAGGTTTGCTGGGTCAATTAATATGTTGTTTTCATACCGGAGGAAATCCGATGAGCTATAAAGGTTTTTTCTTCCACAGATGGTCCCGTGGGATCGTTGAGACGTGGAAGCGGCTTGGGGAAGCCTCGATCAAGCTGTGCATTGATCTTGACTGATAATTATTATGATTATGCTATTATATTATAATATATTATTTTATTATATTATTATATTATTATTTTATTATGTTTTATTTTTATTATTTTATTATTTCCATTCTACGTGACTTTACCGAAAGAACCAAGAAGAGAAATATAATTATACTCTTTGTTTTTTTCACGTAGATGAAAAAAAAGATAATAACTAAATGAAATCACGACGTTTCGGAGGCATTTTCATTTTATTATTCTCATTAAAATTTTTATTTTTCACCTACGTGACTTTACCGAAAGAACCAAAGAGTATATGGATCCTTGCAGTCACGAAAACTTTTAATCTATAATTATGATGATGATGATCATCATTTCCTCCACTGATTTCCGACAGCCGACCCGGCTGACCCCAAACTCACGTGACCTCTCTGTGTGTGTGTGCGGCTTCGCGTAGGTTTTAAATTTCGTAGTGCGCACGCGCGCGCCCCAAACCGCCCCCACCCCCCCCGCACACCCCTCCCCCCGCGTCGCCTCCCGACCAATCACAACACGCGCGGTGTGGCGCATGCGCTCTAGGAAATGCAATCACCTCCATCACTGCCCACAACTACCACCACCAAACCCAACAACCAAAAACCTCGTCAAGCCTCGTGCTCGTCACGCCATGCGTTGGTGCGAAGCGCGCACCGCCGTCGTCCTCCTCTGCGCTGCCCTCCTGTCCCCGGGGCTGACCGTCTGCCACGCCGCGGACTCTTCCCGTAAGCCGCGCGTTGGTTGCGTGTCAGGCCTTGCCACAGGCCCTGGGGCTCGGGGAGGGGGTCACCGTCCTCGGATAGAAGCTCCCGCCGGGCACCCCGCGCCTGGTGAGGCAGCGGCTTCTAGGCCACACCGGGGTTGGCCTCCTGACGCCGTGTGACCTGCCACCCACCCCTTTAACAGGAGCAATGACAACACTAACTATGATCCATAATAATCTAGGTTTATTTTTTTGTTTGGGGAGGAGGGGGGGGGGGTTAGATCGCGTAAATATAAATGTCTCGTTAATAATCATTCATAGACGTGACGATGATTCGTGTGCGGCGCTTATCCAACGGCGCAAAGCCACTTAAGTGACCCCGTCGCCTCTGGCCACCACCCTCGGCTGTCCACGTGGGTCCACCACCCTCGGCTGTCCACCCTCGGTCGGCCGGTCACTTCTGGTGGGGCAAAGTGTGGGTGACACTCATTTCCTGGAAGCTATTTCAGCCGCATCACCTCTACATAACTCAAGGCTCAGTCCCCTTTTACACGCACCTTTACATCATCCGCACCTAGTTTACACAACAAAGGCTCATTTCTAACAGCGTGCTTCAGCCGCACCGAACCTCACAACAATAATATTCAGGGCCTACCTTGGCTGCTCCCACCCTCAACCAGTATATATACAAGGACTGTTTTCTTGGAATTTCTCTTTACTTGATACAGCTATCGTGCTGTGACGGTTCCACCTGAAGACGGAAGCTTGTGTTGCCTCCGAAACGTCGTGATTTTTATTTTATTTTAATTTTATTAATTTTAATTTTTTTTCCTACGTGACTTTACCGAAAAAACCTAAGAATATGAATCCTTGCAGTCACGAAAGCTTCACATCTAGAATTGACACCCATCCCCTCGACCTCTCTCTCTTGGACGTCTGCCCAACGTGGAAGAGTAGGCCAAGCTGAGCTATGGCGGGGGAGGGTCTCTCTTGAACTCTCTGCGGCAAAGGCCCCTTCTGCTTGCAAGTGGCGTGCGAGTTGAGATCTTTGTATTGCAGGGGGCCGCGTCTGCACCTTTGTCGCTGCTGCATTTGGGGGATGTTTGACCTCTTGGGGGCGATGTTTGACCTCTTGGGGGGAATGTTTGACCTCTTGGGGGGATGTTTGACCTCTTGTCGCGGCGAGCGATTGTTGATTTCGCGAGGAAAACCCCAGGCTCACTTAATCATAGCTCGAGTATAACACCTAATATCCCTGTTTTTAAAAAAAATCCTTGCTGTGAGTTTCACGCCTGATGATGATTGCTTGTGTTGCAATCGAAACGTCGTGAGAATTGTATTGTTTTATATTTGTATTATTTAATTGTTTCCCTTCTACGTGACTTTACCAAAAGATCCAAAAATATGAATCCCTGCAGTCACGAAAGCTTTAAATCAAAACCTAACATCCCCTCTACAAATCGTTCTGCCACATACTTTCTATACCCATACTCACTTTTCATGGCCTGATAGCACGTCGGTGTCCACTGCACATTTCGTCATTTGTTTTCAACTATTTCCCCGTCTTGTGCCACAATATTCTAGAGTAGTGCCACGTCTTTCTAGCGCCGATGTCGTCTTCAACCCATTCTCTTTTTCCGGTTATGCTCACGTGTGGTATGTGACCTGTCACTCGAAGCGCCTATCGGTGGTGGCTGTGCAAGTCCTGTTCGGCGATTTTGACCGAGCGTTCGACGCTTGCTGTGGAGTTTCGCGGGTCGAGTCCCATGGCTGCTGCTCGATTAAAGCTGTGGGTGCAATGACCACGAGCCGCCTGCTACACAGTGGACGTAACAGATCTCGTGACATTCTAAAAAGTGTCACGGTCCACATTTACGAGCAAATCACTCGGCTGGAAAAACGCACGTAGCATTGCCCCCTACTACGAAACTTTGCAGCACCTTAACTATTATAAACGCTGGTAAAGTCGCGTAGGAGGGAAGTAATAAAATAATAAAAATAAAACATAATAAAATAGATCTCACGACGTTTCGGCCACAACGCAAGCAGACGCCCTCAGGTGAAAACCAGGTCTGTCGAGGCGACAGCTGCTTGTGTTGTGGCCGAAACGTCGTGATAATTATTTTATTATGTTTTATTTTTATTATTTTATTACTTCCCTTCTACGTGACTTTACCGAAAGAACCAAGAAGATGAATCCCTGCAGTCACGAAAGCTTTAAATCGAAAATTATTATAAACGCTATTTGGCTCCCTAGTAAGGGAAGGTTGACCTCCCCTTGATGCGCGTGTGCACTACGACTGGCCTGTAGTTTATCCCTATCGTTTTGTTCACCCGTGATAGATGGTGGGGGGCTCGACGAGACTGGCGGTGGGGGGCCCGGTGGGGAGGCCCCCCCGGTGGACTTCATGAAGCCCGAGGAGGCCACGGTGGAGGAGCAGGGAGACTTCTCGGATCTCCTCGCCGCCGTCACGCGGCTCCTCAGGCCACCTGACAGGCCGGCCGAGGAGGGAGCGGAGGCCGAGGTGGAGGTGGAAGATGACGAGGAGGTTGAGGGGGAAGTGGAGGGTGTCGAGGTGGAGGAGGAGGAGGACGAGGAGGAGGAGGACGGGGGAGAGGACAGTCAGGTGCCGGGGCTGTCGATGGTGCCGGGCAACGCGGTGCAGGCAGAGGACGGCAGCGGCCGGGAGAACGCCACGGAGGCTGCCGCGCGGCCCCCCAAGATCAATTGCACGGAGCGCGCGGATCCCGGCGAGGCCCTGGGGGTCTACATCCTCCAGCAGTCGCAGGTGAGCGCACGGATACCGGTGAAGTGTGCGGGACCGCGCTCGGCAGGCACGGGTGAGCTACCAGAATGTGCATGGACTCGTCGAGATACAGAGTGACCATCAGCATGACGATATTTTTGGCTTGTAACGCATTCGGTATTCGCGCGAGGATACACGGGCAAGCGGGAAAGCAGGGGGTGAGTCGGCATTACCAACAATTACCCAAGCTCTGCGGCCCTCGATATACTAAGATGTTTTCAACCAATTGGAGGGTGTACACACGTGGGAGGAAACCAGAGTACCCGGAGAAAACCCACACGTGCCAGGGGGCAACACTCCACCCTGTCAACATTTTCTAGACCTCCTCCCGGCGAGCCAGGATATTGCACCACCTCGACAATCACAGGAAAGGACTTGTGCAACATGCGTGCAGTGATCCACCAACCCTCGCTGCCGCCGCCAAAGTGCTGGGCTCCGTGTGCGTTAGTTGCCGGCACCCCCACCACCAGGCTCCGTGTGCGTGCATTGCCACCACCACCGCCACCAGGCTCCTGTGTGCGTGCGTAGCCAGCACCACCGCCGCTCGTCTCTGCGTGCGTGCGTCTGCAGGATCTGCTCGAAGTGCTGAACGGCAGTGGCAGCGAGTGCGCCGTCGTCCTCTTCTTCGCGCCCTGGTGCCAGTTCTCGGCCGGGCTGGCGCCGCACTTCAACGCGCTGGCGCGGGCCTTTCCCTCCTTCCACTTCGTGGCGCTGGACGCCTCCCAGCACAGCAGGTGCCCCCCCCCACAAACCTGCCCCTCAAACCCCAAAACAACCCACGCACCCAAAACCAATCCACCCGTGTACCCCCCAAACCCACCCTTCCCTCACCACCCCCCAAAGCCCAAAACAATGTGAGAGTAAAAACTTGAAAATCAACTAAGATTCATCACCCCCCCCCCCCCCGCCGATTCAATTGATTCTCTTGAATAATTGTTTTTCGTTTCCTCTCTCCCCATGTCTCCTCGTGTCTCCCCGTATATCCCCTTGTCTCTGGGTGTGTTCCTGTGTGTCTCCGTGTCCCTGTATTTCCCGTGTCTCTGTGGCGTGTCCCAGCCTGGCAACGCGCTTCGGCACGGTGGCTGTGCCAAACATTCTGCTGTTCCAGGGAGCAAAGCCGGTGGCGCGGTTCAACCACACGGAGAGAACCTTGCCCGCCCTCTCCTCCTTCCTTCTCAACCACACAGGTCTCCCCCCAGCAACAAAATCATCATCATCATCCTCCTCACACTCATGCACAGCATTGCACTCATTAGCATCGCACTGATCATCACTATCAAACTCCTCATCATCGTTGCACTCATCGGCAACTGTATGCATAAACACATGTGCGCGATGTCCAGAGCGATTTGCTTGCATCGTCACCGATGGCTCAAGTGTGGTTTTTCCCAGCGTGCGGCGCGTGCGGTGCGTGCAGTTAAGACTTGTGTGTTCCCCCGGCGGTCTGCTCGTGGCCCCAGGAGTACCGGCGGACGAGCAAGTGGCGGTGACGCCGCAGGACCTGGAGGGGCCCGTGCCAAGCGAGGTGGCGCGCGCCACGGACTGGCTGCTCGTCTTCTCGCTCGCCTTCATTGCCGCGTTCCTCGCGTACGGCGCCAGCCAGACCGGCGTGCTGCGCCGCGTCGTGCCCGCGGCCTGGCACCACCAGCGCCAGCAGCACCAGCACCAGGACTGAGCTGCACGCCAATCTCTGCCGCGTGCGTATGGTAGTGGGGGGGGGGTCCACCTACGCACTACCCCAACACCTGCCCACCGCCACCCTGTGTGGCTACACCGTGGAGATGTTTTGTATAAAGCACAGCACGTTAGTGTGGTGGGTGCAGCGATGGGGGCGCGTCACCAGGGCGGCATGTAAACATCAGCACCGAGCGTGGTGATGGCCAACACCACCCCCCTCCCTGGCACCCCCTGTGCACCGTGCTGGCCTTTACAGATGCTCATGAGCAGCACTTGCCCCCACATCCTGTTAAAGGCTGTACGGGGGATTGCAGCTGGCTGGCATCGTGTGACGTGCTGCTGATGCGCGTGCCAGTCCACCCCGTGAGATGCGGGCCCATCCTGGGACCGTGGCGCAAATATCGAGTGTGCAGGCGGTGCAATCGCATCAGGGCCCATTGTTCTGGAAGGACCCGGGCACTGGGCTAAGAAGAGAGGTTTGTGGGAGGTGGGGGGCTGGCAGGAATTGGATGGGGTTTAGGGGGCCTCGTTTAAATCGTTGCAACCTCACTATGCTGCTTCACCCAGTGGAAAGCTTTAACCACTTCACTTTGCCTAAGAGTGCACCTAGCTTGGCGCAAGTGCCATGGTTACGTTGATGTGCCTGTGCTCGTGGAAAATGTGTCCGTCGTGGGAGGGACATGACATCGTTGCAGGGTTGTGTGCGCGCGTGTGCGTGTAGGCACGCGGGCAGTTGTACACGTGGTTTTGGACACAATCCAACCTTGGTGAGCTTAGCCCACCCATCCATCGGTGTCATCTCTTTATAATAATAACAATAAAACAATTTGTAACGCGCACGCATTTCTGGTTAATGCACCTGCAGTGTTGGGCTCGAACCGCGAACCTTTGCAATGAGCGGCAAAATTCAATCCTGCCAGGTCATCTGTCACCACGACGTCCGTCTTTGTCTTCCTCTTGCCCTTCTGCCTTTGATTCTCCCAAGGAGATAGTGTGGCAGTCGGGCTCTCCCTGTGAGCCTCTGGCTACATGTCCACCATAGCGAGAGCTGGTACTGGATGTGGTGTGCCGGGCATGGGAACGTTTTCTGAATTGCCACCCCAGCTTGTACTGACTGGAATTAAACCGTGGCCGTCTTGTTCTTGTTTGACTGATTCACACGTAATTGTTTGGCAATATCCAATTATTTCTTGCAACTCACCTTTCACAGCTGATGTTACGATTCGTAACCGAGACATCTTTCACGTCTAATTGTGTTCTCAGCGTCACCCTAAAATGCGAGATCTCAAACGCTTGTGAGGTTAGTAATTTATTGAAAATTAGCGATGTACTGTACATATATTCAATGCGCGGGCACTATGGCTCTCCCCCGACGTCCACCCCCACCACGCGCCCCACCACCCCTGTCCTGTCAGCGTGTGTCTCGCTTGACATTTGATGAAGGATCGGACGACGTTACAACATTCATAAGTAGACGATTCGCCTCCTTCACGCGCCTGTTCCTCCACACAATAGATCAAAGTTACTTTACACATATTCTTAGGTTTTTTCGGTAAAGTCACGTAGGTAAAAAATTTAACTTAATAAAAGTAAAATAAAAAAATAAAAATCACGACGTTTCGGAGGCAACACAAGCCACACGGCCTTTCCTCGAGCGGAGGCAGATGCAGACATTACCCCTCGGGAGTAGTGAACTGAAATATCAGGCATTCTAAATCCAGCCCTACATTTATAATGATAAAAAAAAAATCTACGTCTTTTCTCTGCTAAATATTAAAAAAAATGCCTATTTTGGGGGTGCCAGGAGGGGCGGGGGACCCCTGCCCCCCACCCTACTTTGGATCTGTCACTGTCGGGGAGTGCATCATGTGGAGGTGAATCATCCGATTTCGTAATTTATATTCCGCACAACGACGCCAACGATGACTGCGTGATGTTGAGAATCTTTCGTCCCTGGCGCAGCTTCGAGGTGGAGACGATGTGTTTGTATTGGCAGAGTGGGGCTGAAAATGTCACGTGCCTGGTGTGTATATTGTTGTTAATACCACGGGGATCTGCTGTACAATAAAGTTTTAGAATATGGTTTTGGGTTCATGGCGTCTTCGTGCGAGGAGTTATTTGTTGGGCTGCGTTTAATGAGGATGATGGCGCTGTCGGTCACTGCATTTCTACTACACTTGCCGTGATGTGATGATACTGTGATACGTCGTATGATATTCTGATCCATTGTACGATACTGCGATACATTGTATGATACTGCAATACATGGTACAATACTGCGATACAATGTATAGTGTAAGACCCACGATAATCGCATCGTTCACTTTGCAAAATATATTTTCTTCACAATATATTCCCGACAATATGAATCGGCAAAAATATGAATTGCTTTGTAAAGCACTCTGGGAGTCATAATTTATTTTTGGGGGGATTAAGCCACGTAATGATCTGGCCGAGTGTCGTAAAACCTTCCACCGCCCGACATCCAAATGCATCAAATCGTCACGTGCGTTTTAAAGCGCCAATCGTCAATTCGGTTCACGCCAGCGGCTTGAATAAATCGCCCCACAGCAAAACTCGGCAATTAGATCGTCGACGTTTCTCTTGAAACGACAGCAAAGCATCATCAGAACCTATGAAGTCGGACATTTTTTGGATTGATTGACGGGCGTGGCAAATAAATGTTGGCCGTCAATTTCGTATTCTGAATGATTTGTGTGTTGTGCGCGTTCGCCGTGAGTGTCAACAGATCGTCAAAGTCGCAATGATTTTTAGATCCCATGGGGGTAGGGGGAGGGCGCAGGCTTGTGTTGACAGAACTGCAAGCCGAAATAACAACTTTCCCGAGTGAATATCTTTGTACACGATGTACGGAAAAGCAAGGTACAAAAATACATGTCCTGTGCGATAACAAAGTTACGGGGAAACTGATATCGCGATGATTGTCGCATCGTGAGCGTTAACATTGTACCATTTTGTTAAATATCAGAATCAAAATATATATTGACACTGGAGGAATCCGATGAGCTATTAAGCGCTTTATCATATGTCCAGTAGGGGCAGGTCAGAACGTTACAACAACAAAGAGTACAAGAACCAAGAGGGGCTGGGTGGGGAGGGGCTGGGTGGGAGGGGTGGGGCTGGGTGGGGAGGGTGGGGAGGGGCTGGGTGGGAGGGGTGGGGCTGGGTGGGGAGGGGAGGGTGGGGAGGGGCTGGGTGAGGAGGGTGGTGAGGGGCTGGGAGGGTAGGGAGGGGCTGGGTGGGAGGGGTGGGGCTGGGTGGGGCGTGCGAGGGGTGGGGCTGGTCACCCCGTGGTGCCCTTATAAAAATCAACGTTTAACCTACTCACGCCGGCTTGTGTCCGCCCTCACAGTCGGGCATATTTGCGGAATACACCACGCCGCCGTTGACCCTGCAGGCCATTGACCGAGCAACCCAACGTTCCTACCAGCTCCCTCCGCAGGAATGTGTTTGAGATATTTTAGAAGTAAGGGTGTCAACTTCCTCGAGTGTTGCCCGCAAGGGGCTGGAATTCCTTGCCGGGGGTAATGGGCCCCGCTTCGAGCCTCTGTATTTCGGAGGGGGCGTCCATAAATGACGTCACGCACCTGGGAGGGGGGGGGGGTCAGATTTTTGTGACGAGGGGGGGGGGGGGTGAGAAATGTGACGTCACATTAAAAAGGGGCAACTTTAAATAAATATATAATTGTTATAACAACACTCCTACAACATCAGAGTGCAGCGCCACATTAAATACGCACTACAATGACAACAGTTTAAAGCGATTTGAAGCATGTTTTATTTTCAAAATGGAAATATGGTTTTGGGGGGGGGGGGGGGGCAGAGCTTTGTGACGTCATATTTTAGGGGGGGGTCTGACTTTTTGACGCCGTGTGACGAAGGGAAGGGGGTAAAAAATCATTCAAAATCGCGTGACGTCATTTATGGACGGCCCCTTAAGCATTACTTTGTTTTTTTTGTGCATTCTATTTTAGGTGCACAATCTCTTGACACCCCCTCTTGAGTGTACCATTGGAACCTCATTGGCAGAAGAAAAAAATATGATTATTGGTTTTTTACCCTTTTATCTGGCAACAAAACTGACACCTTTTTTTACAAGGAGTCATGTTTGCATTGACTACAATACCTGCGGTCGGAATGCAAACTCTTGAGTGGGTGTGATATTTACAGTAAAAATACGGCTTAAACGTCCTACCCTGCTTGAGAGTTGGGGACAATTTGCGGGAAGAACTTCCAGCACGTTCCATGGTTCATCCAGCAACTCTCCAGCGACAACGCCAGTGCGTGTGTGACCAACACGAGGGATGTGGAAACTGGCGATAACTGAGAACTTGAGAAGGACGACGTGGGGAGGGAGCTGCGTGCATTGAAGTTTGGGAGCCACCCTGGGTAGCCTTGCTGGGATAGAGGGGGGCATAGAGAATATTGAGAGAGATATCGCATTGCACAGTGGTTCTTGACCTGGGGTGCACGGTGAATAACCACTGGTGTACCATTGGAACCTCATTTGGCAGAATAAAAAATATGATAATTGGTTTTTTACCCTTTTATCTGGCAACCAAACTGACACTTTTTTTTACAAGGAGTCATGTTTGCATTGACCACAATACCTGCGGTCGGAATGCAAACAAAAAACACAACTCTGATCATGTATGCACTGTCCTTTAAATTGATTGGTCCACACCCGAGAGACAGCTTTTCTTAGAGCCTAGTCTCACATGGTGTTGGACCAGATGACGCCAAAAGGCGCAGAGTTATGTTTTTTTGTTTGCATTGCGACCGCAAGTATTGTGGTCAATGCAAACATGACTCCTTGTAAAAAAAGTGTCAGTTTTGTTGCCAGATAAAAGGGTTAAAAAACGATTATCAACCACTAGTGTAGTGTAAAAAAAAATATTATTAAAAAAATATAAATCTGTCTGTCTGGAGGTTTTCTATCATCGATTTGAACGGGGGATTTCCCTCTAACCCGGCAACGCGTGACACGCAAGTCTGAGCCAATCTCCATTCCTCCCACCAGGGGTCGTGCAGTGGGTCCCCTTTGGTGACCCCCCCCCCCCGCCAATGCGCTCCCTACTCCGTCTCGCCGTCTCCAGGGGTCCGGGCCCCCTCTGCAGAGCCCCCAGGACCATGGTGAGCGGGGGTCTGGGGGTCCCCTCGATGGCTTCAGGGGTTCCGCGTGCGCTCCACGTGGTGACCCCCAGGACGCACGTGGGGGTCGAGGAGCGGTGGGTGTAGTGGTTAGCGCTACGCTGCGCTTCGAACCCGGTGACCCGAGTTCGATTCCCGCTCACGGCCAAACACCGCCGGCGACGATTATCTGAACCGGTCCTGGGCATCTCCTAGGTCGACTCAGACTCAAATGAGTACCTGGTGCGTTGTGTAGTAAACATCGCCACTGGGGAGACAAAGGCGGCCGGGCGTGGTGCTGGCTACCCACCCCCTCGTGTGTCGTGCCGGCCTCTGTATAGGTGCTCGCTAACAGCACTTGCCCCTACAGTCTGTTAAGGCTACACGGGGGATCTTTGTGCGTTTGTATATATATACAGTATATACAGTACTTGTAGGGTTGACATTTCAGTATTTGCATGTATTGAGCTAATGTGGAGTGAGTGTGGTTGGGGTGAGTGGGGGTGAGTGTGGTGGGGGTGAGTGGTTGGGGGTGAGTGTGGTGGGGGTGAGTGGTTGGGGGTGAGTGTGGTTGGGGGTGAGTGGTTGGGGTGAGTGTGGGTGGGGTGAGTGTGGTTGGGGGTGAGTGTGATAGGGGTGAGTGTGGTAGGGGTGAGTGTGGTTGGGGGTGAGTGTGGTAGGGGTGAGTGTGGTGGGGGGTGAGTGTGGTAGGGGTGAGTGTGGTATGGGTGAGTGTGGTTGGGGGTGAGTGTGGTAGGGGTGAGTGTGGTGGGGGGTGAGTGTGGTAGGGGTGAGTGTGGTGGGGGGTGAGTGTGGTAGGGGGTGAGTGTGGTAGGGGTGAGTGTGGTGGGGGGTGAGTGTGGTAGGGGTGAGTGTGGTTGGGGTGAGTGTGGTGGGGGGTGAGTGTGGTAGGGGTGAGTGGTTGGGGTGAGTGTGGTTGGGGTGAGTGTGGTTGGGTGAGTGTGGTTGGGGTGAGTGTGGTTGGGGGTGAGTGTGGTAGGGGTGAGTGTGGTAGGGGTGAGTGTGGTAGGGGTGAGTGTGGTTGGGGTGAGTGTGGTAGGGGTGAGTGTGGTAGGGGTGAGTGTGGTTGGGGTGAGTGTGGTTGGGGTAAGTGTGGTTGGGGTGAGTGGGGGTGGGGTGAGTGTGGTTGGGGTGAGTGTGGTTGGGGGTGAGTGTGGTTGGGGGTGAGTGTGGTAGGGGTGAGTGTGGTAGGGGTGAGTGTGGTAGGGGTGAGTGTGGTTGGGGGTGAGTGTGGTGGGGGGTGAGTGTGGTAGGGGGTGAGTGTGGTAGGGGTGAGTGTGGTGGGGGGGTGAGTGTGGTAGGGGTGAGTGTGGTGGGGGTGAGTGGTTGGGGGTGAGTGTGGTGGGGGTGAGTGGTTGGGGGTGAGTGTGGTTGGGGGTGAGTGGTTGGGGTGAGTGTGGGTGGGGTGAGTGTGGTTGGGGTGAGTGTGGTTGGGGTGAGTGTGGTTGGGGGTGAGTGTGGTAGGGGTGAGTGTGGTAGGGGTGAGTGTGGTAGGGGTGAGTGTGGTTGGGGGTGAGTGTGGTAGGGGTGAGTGGGGGTGAGTGTGGTAGGGGGTGAGTGTGGTAGGGGTGAGTGTGGTGGGGGGTGAGTGTGGTAGGGGGTGAGTGTGGTTGGGGGTGAGTGTGGTAGGGGGTGAGTGTGGTAGGGGTGAGTGTGGTGGGGGGTGAGTGTGGTAGGGGTGAGTGTGGTTGGGGTGAGTGTGGTTGGGGTGAGTGTGGTTGGGGTGAGTGTGGTGGGGGTGAGTGTGGTGGGGGTGAGTGTGGTTGGGGTGAGTGTGGTTGGGGTGAGTGTGGTTGGGGTGAGTGTGGTGGGGGTGAGTGTGGTGGGGGTGAGTGTGGTGGGGGTGAGTGTGGTGGGGGTGAGTGTGGTGGGGGTGAGTGTGGTTGGGGGTGAGTGTGGTAGGGGTGAGTGTGGTAGGGGGAGTGTGGTTGGGGGTGAGTGTGGTAGGGGTGAGTGTGGTGGGGGTGAGTGTGGTTGGGGGTGAGGTGTGGTGGGGGTGAGTGTGGTAGGGGTGAGTGTGGTGGGGGGTGAGTGTGGTTGGGGTAAGTGTGGTTGGGGTGAGTTGGTTGGGGGTGAGTGTGGTTGGGGTGAGTGTGGTTGGGGTGAGTGGGGGTGAGTGTGGTGGGGGTGAGTGGTTGGGGGTGAGTGTGGTGGGGGTGAGTGGTTGGGGGTGAGTGTGGTTGGGGGTGAGTGGTTGGGGTGAGTGTGGGTGGGGTAAGTGTGGTTGGGGTGAGTGTGGTTGGGGGTGAGTGTGGTTGGGGGTGAGTGTGGTAGGGGTGAGTGTGGTAGGGGTGAGTGTGGTAGGGGTGAGTGTGGTTGGGGGTGAGTGTGGTAGGGGTGAGTGTGGTTGGGGTGAGTGTGGTGGGGGTGAGTGTGGTAGGGGTGAGTGTGGTAGGGGTGAGTGTGGTGGGGGTGAGTATGGTGGGGGTGAGTGTGGTTGGGGGTGAGTGTGGTAGGGGTGAGTGTGGTAGGGGTGAGTGTGGTTGGGGGTGAGTGTGGTAGGGGTGAGTGTGGTAGGGGTGAGTGTGGTGGGGGTGAGTGTGGTAGGGGTGAGAGTGGTTGGGGGTGAGTGTGGTGGGGGTGAGTGTGGTGGGGGTGAGTGTGGTGGGGGTGAGTGTGGTTGGGGTAAGTGTGGGTGGGGTGAGTGTGGTGGGGGTGAGTGTGGTAGGGGTGAGTGTGGTAGGGGTGAGTGTGGTGGGGGTGAGTGTGGTAGGGGTGAGTGTGGTAGGGGTGAGTGTGGTAGGGGGTGAGTGTGGTAGGGGTGAGTGTGGTAGGGGTGAGTGTGGTAGGGGTGAGTGTGGTTTGGGTGAGTGTGGGTGGGGGTGAGTGTGGTAGGGGTGAGTGTGGTTTGGTTGAGTGTGGTAGGGGTGAGTGTGGTAGGGGTGAGTGTGGTAGGGGTGAGTGTGGTTGGGGGTGAGTGTGGTAGGGGTGAGTGTGGTTGGGGTGAGTGTGGTAGGGGTGAGTGTGGTAGGGGTGAGTGTGAGGGGTGAGTGTGGTAGGGGTGAGTGTGGTAGGGGTGAGTGTGGTAGGGGTGAGTGTGGTAGGGGTGAGTGTGGTAGGGGTGAGTGTGGTAGGGGTGAGTGTGGTTGGGGGTGAGTGTGGTTTGGGTGAGTGTGGTAGGGGTGAGTGTGGTAGGGGTGAGTGTGGTTTGGGTGAGTGTGGTAGGGGTGAGTGTGGTAGGGGTAAGTGTGGTTTGGGTGAGTGTGGTTTGGGTGAGTGTGGTAGGGGTGAGTGTGGTTGGGGTGAGTGTGGTAGGGGTGAGTGTGGTAGGGGTGAGTGTGTTTGGGGGTGAGTGTGGTAGGGGTGAGTGTGGTAGGGGTGAGTGTGGTGGGGATGAGTGTGGTGGGGGTGAGTGTGGTAGGGGTGAGTGTGGTTGGGGGTGAGTGTGTATGGAGTGAGTGTGGGTGGGGGTGAGTGTGGTTGGGGGTGAGTGTTGTTGGTGGTGAGTGTGGTAGGGGTGAGCGTGGTGGGGGGTGAGCGTGGTGGGGTGAGTGTGGTGGGGGTGAGTGTGGTTGGGGTGAGTGTGGTTGGGGTGAGAGTAGTAGGGGTGAGTGTGGTTGGGGGTGAGTGTGGTTGGGGTGAGTGTGGTAGGGGTGAGTGTGGTAGGGGTGAGTGTGCTTGGGGTGAGTTTGTTTCGGGGTGAGTGTGGTGGGGGTGAGTGTGGTTGTGTTGTGTCGAGCTGAAATTCACGGTGTGATGCACTGCTGGATGAAGGCCTGTGCCTCCACCCATCTCACTCCTGGGGGGGGGGGGGGTTACAGTATATGACCATACTTCACCAAGCCCGGTCAGTGAAAGTCGGGGCTGTGGTGGAGGCGGGCATGGGCTACCGTGGTCGAGTGGGCAGCGTTGAGTGGTTGCCAGCCGGGCCCCACACCCCCCAGAGTGAGTGGAACGAGGGCAGCAGCCTTGACACGTGGCCCACTCCCTCGTTGGGTGACAAATCACGACGAATGCCACGGACGAGGCGACCGAACATCGACCAATCGTCGATCTCTCCCGCTCTCCGGAGCAGCGGACACAATCCACGACCCGTGATGCTCTGAGCCTCCCAGACGAGGCGCGGTGGGTCCGGCCCTGACCTCCCTCGGTGCCCCCCCCCCCCTGGCCCCCTGTCCAGGCCTCGGCACCGCGGCCCCCGGCAGGCCGGCCCGGCCTCCTTGGGCCCGAGGAGCGAGAGGAGAGGCTGGCGGAGCTCGGCGAGGCCGGCTGGACGGTGGCCGAGGGACGTGACGCGCTCACCAAGAGGTTCACCTTCGCCAGCTTCAACCAGGCAGGGGCTCATCAGATGTTTATTTTGTTTACTGGGTTAAGGCCGCTCTGAGCTGTTACAGCTCATTTGGCAGAAGCGACCTGGCTGTCACAAGTGATAGCTCAAGCAAGTGGCTCGTCGTCACGTGGGGATGTAAAGCAGTCAAACACTCAGAACGAGTGATGTTGATTCTAAATGTCGGGGTGGGGGGGGGGGGGGAACCGGAGTACGCGGAGAAAAACTCACGCGACCACGGGGAGAGAGAGAGAGACACTCCAAATATACAGCAGTAGGCGTCAGGGTCGGGATCGAACCCACGACCTCCTGCACACCAGGCGAGGTAGTTAACATCTCATTGCCACCGTGATGATGAGAGAGAGAGAGACACGCAGACTCCAAATATACAGCAGCAGGCGTCAGGGTCGGGATCGAACCCACGACCTTCTGCGTACCAGGCGAGGTAGTTAACATCTCATAGCCATCGTGATGATGAGAGAGAGAGAGACACGCAGACTCCAAATATACAGCAGCAGGCGTCAGGGTCGGGATCGAACCCACGACCTCCTGCACACCAGGCGAGGTAGTTAACATCTCCTAGCCACCGTGATGATGATGAGAGAGAGAGACACGCAGACTCCAAATATACAGCAGCAGGCATCAGGGTCGGGATCGAACCCACGACCTCCTGCACACCAGGCGAGGTAGTTAACATCTCATAGCCACCGTAGCGCCCAGTGCATGCAGAGAGGAAGCCATGCACGGCTACAGAGCGCAGCACTGCCCACCTCCTCCCCACACTTCACTTTATCCACCCACCGTGTGTGTGTGTGCGGGATGCTCACAACAACGAGTGGAACACTGGGCAGTTAAAATGCAGCAAGGTGGTGCAGTGGGGGAGCACAGGTGGTGCATCTGCTAGTCATCTCGCTCAGTCAACCCACGACACCTGGGTCTGTCCCGTGACCTCCTGCACCTAGCCTGGCACAGCAGTCAACCCAATACACCTGGGTCTGTCCCGTGACCTCCTGCACCTAGCCTGGCACAGCCACAGCAGTCAATCCATGGCACCTGGGTCTGTCCCGTGACCTCCTGCACCTAGCCTGGCACAGAAGTCAATCCACGACACCTGGGTCTGTCCCATGACCTCCTGCACCTAGCCTGACACAGCCACAGCAGTCAATACATGGCACCTGGGTCTGTCCCGTGACCTCCTGCACCTAGCCTGGTACAGCAGTCAACCCAAGACACCTGGGTCTGTCCCGTGACCTCCTGCACCTAGCCTGGCACAGCAGTCAACCCAAGACACCTGGGTCTGTCCGTGAGCTGTCAGCAGGGAGCCTTCCACACTTCACTTGACAGCCTAAAAGTGCACCTAGCCTGACACAAGCACTGTTGTGATGTCACCACCACTTAGCGGCAAACGGAGTCTGCTGTGCGCCTGTGGGTGTGCCCTCTTGAGGCTACCTGGGGGATCTTTGTCTTTGTGCGAGCAGGCGTTTGGGTTCATGACGCGCGTCGCGATGCAGGCCGAGAAGATGAATCACCACCCAGAGTGGAGCAACATCTACAAGCAGGTGAGGCACCACAGACACCCACCCCGCTCACCACCATCCCTCGCCACGATTCATCAACCCTCTCTCACCACCATCACCACCACCCCTCGCCCCCTCTCACCACTGGCCCTCATCTCCCGTGACCCCTGACCTCTAGGTGAGCGTGACCCTCACGTCGCACGACTGTGGTGGGGTCACGGAGCGCGACGTGCGGCTCGCTCGCTTCATGGACAGAGCGGCCGCCACCACCACTACCACCGCCGCAACCACCGCCGCCACCACCGCCACCACCGCCACCACTGCCACCACCGCCACCACGGCGACGACGAAGACGACGTGAAGAGGGGGCGGCACACGAGCTCTGTGTGCCCACGAAGACAACGATCGTGATGAAGATGATGGTGGTGATGGTGGTGACAGTGACGACGACGATAAGCATGATGCCTGTGATGTAAGCATGATGTTAACAACGGTGATGATGATCACTGCAGTGATGGTGATGACAGTGACGATGATGACGAAGATGATAAGGATGATGTCTACGATATGGATGATGTCTACGACGATGATGACGACCACCACGATATGACAACGATGATGACGACCACCACGATATGACAACGATGAATCGTATGTTTGACGATGGCGATGATGACGACTGATGATGGTGATGCAAGCGATGGAACTCCGTGGGTGACCCGTGCTCCGGTGAACACCAGTGACAGCGCGGGGGTGACGGTGGCGATAATAGTGATGCCAATGATGATGTCGAAGGTGATGATGGTAACCAAGATGATGACATCATGTCAGTGGTTGGTTGATGGTGACAGCCGTGATGATGGTGATTTGACCGGACGCTACAGACGTTTTCACGATATTTCTCTTCACAATAAATTGAGATGCTTGCTTTCGTCGGGAACTCCCTTGTCACTACACTGCTGGATGGACGTCTCCTCGCTCCCACCTCTTCGATCACGGCGCCTCTTTGACCATACTTCGCCGCGCTGGGCAGTGACGGTTTGTTGGTGAAGCGGGAGGCCCGGTGACCGGTCCAGATGCCGCTCGCCCTTGTTTCACAAACGCGCGGGGCCTGTTAAAAATATTGTACTGGTAGGAACCTCTGGTTATACCAGCCCACAGGGGCTTATTGTGTCCGTCCGTCGTGCAAGGAGGGGCTGGGTGGGGAGGGAGGGCTGGGTGGGGAGGGTGGGGCTGGGTGGGGGGTGGGAGGGGTAGGGCTGGGTAGGGAGGGGCTGGTCACCCCGTGGTGTCCTTATAAAACTCAACATTTAACCTACTCACGCCGGCTTGTGCCCGCCCTCAAAGTCGGCCATATTTGCGGATACACGACGCCGCCGTTGACCCTGGCCATTGACCGAGCAACCCAACGTTCCTACCAGCTCCCTCCGCAGGAATGTGTTTTTATTGTTGAAAAACCGGTAACCGCATGGGTGAGAAAAACCGGTTCAAAACCAGTTTTGCCGCACTTATAAAGAGAACGTCTCGCGCCAGACGCAATCGCGAACTGTCCCCGCATTTTTTTGAAGCGTGGAACGAGGGCAAATGAACAGCGCCTTGACTTAGGCTGCCCCGTGCCGCCTCTACGACACTCGACGCGAGCCAATCTGCGCCCTCCTCGTTACACCCCAGTGGGATCACCGCTTCCTGGACCGGTTCACAGAGGTCGCAAACGGGTTTTGATTCCTTACCCGTACCCGGCCGCACCAGGGTCGCAAATGGACCGGGTAGGGGTACCCGTTCCCTACCCGTACCCGACCCGAAATGAGTGACAAACGGTTACTCACCAGTGACTCACGGCCTACCCGTACCTGTACCCGGCCGCACCAGGGTTGAAAACGGCTACCCGTACCTGGCCGGGTACGGGTAGCCGGGTATCGGGTAGGGTACGGGTATCGGGTACCCGGTTGCGACCTCTGCCGGTTCATGAAATTGGGTGGCCCGTTTCAAGACGTCCCGGACCCCCCCACCCTCCCGTTTCCCGTCTCGGCAGAAGATTGCCGTGCGGAGTTACGAGCCGGCTCAACAAATAAGTAATAATTTTAAAAACACGCTTTAATGAGATGTACCGTACTAGTAATGGCAGAACTCCACGACTCCAGGAAGTGGCCCCGAAGCTTGCCATCACGTAAGGGAAAATTAGACCCAAGCCGAAACGTAACATATACAAAAGAATGTTTAAAAATAGATATTTTTATGATAGAATATAGTATTGTCATTGTTATGACATACGTATACCAAGTTTGCAGTCAATACCACATTGGGAAGTGGGTTAAAATTGAGTTACAAGATTTGTGGATACAGCAACGACAACAACAGTGAGTTAATAAGAAGCGTGTAATAATAAGAAGAGAGTCGAATTACATAATCGGAAGGATGTTACCGTCTCGGGTAAAGGTGAGGACGGCTGCTTGCGTTGTGGCCGAAACGTCGTGAGAATTGCATGTTACTATGTTTTATATGTATTCTTTTATTATTTCCCTTCTACGTGACTTTACCGAAAGAACCAAGAAGAAGATAAAGGTGAGATCTCGACGTTTCAGTAGATCGGCCTTGTGCAGGAATATTTCTGAATCAATATTTGGACACGCAGTTTGATTTTTTTTAATTTGGGGTACACGTTGAGTAATCGGTTTTTTTTGGGGTGCACCTTGTTAATGGTCCCCCTTCCTCCAGCCCTCACCTCCCATGTCGGTGTCGTCTCGTGCTCGCTTGGTGGCGCCACAGCCCCGCGGTGGCGACGATATCCAAAGTGGCATCCCAATCTTTGTCTTTCACGTCCATCCGTCGATGCCGCTCGAACGCATCCTCCAACTCCATTGCTCAGAAGCTCAGGCAAGCGGAGGTGGTGGCGATGATGGTGATGATGGTGCTGGTCATGATGATGGTGCTGGTGATGATGATGATGATGCTGGTAGTTGGTGCTGGGAGTTGGTGATGGTAGCTAGTGGTGATGGTTGGGTATCGTGACGCTAGTGGTGATGGGAGCCATACCCAAGCAGCTTCTAGAGGAGCCTTAACGGGAGCGGCACGGGCTGAAGATGAGATGGAGTGATGTGGTTACATGGAGGATGTGGAGCTGAGTGGATTTGCCGATGACTGGTACCAGCGGTGTCAAGATCGGCCTCTGTGGAGGAGGCTCGTGAAGGACGCCGCTGGGCAGTTGGAGGCAGTCGCCCTCCCAACAACAGCGGAGGAACGACTCTCACAACCACGAGCAGAGGCGTTGGGTGGATAAAACTCATCCAGGTGGGGTAGTACAGGTGGTGCATCTGCCAGTCAACTCAGTCAACCCACAGCACCTGGGTCTGTCCCGTGAGCTACTGCCCGGGGGATTTCGACCAATCACGTGGTCTCAATGTCCACCTAGTCTGGCACATGCTGTAGTGATGTCACCGCTATTTTGTGGCGAATGGTGGCAGTTGGTGGCAGTTGGTGGTAGTTGGTGGCAGTTGGTGGCAGTTGGTGGCAGTTGGTGGTGGTAGTTGTTGGTGGCAGTTGGTGGTGGTAGTTGGTGGTGGTAGTTGGTGGTGGTAGTTGGTGGTGGAGGTTGTGGTTGAGGAAAGGGAAAAGAAAGAATTTTTGCCCAAACACCTGGAGCTGCGGTTCCGCGCAGAGAGAACAGGTGAGACCCCCCCTCTACCCCCTTCCCCCCTCTACCCCCTTCCCCTCTACCCCCTTCCCTTCTACCCCCTCCCCCCCTCTACCCTCCCCCCCCTCTACCCCCTCCCCCTCCACCCCCCTCCACCCCCCTCTACCCCTCTACCCCCCTCCCCCTTTACCCCCTCCCTATCCAACCCCCTCCCCCCATACCCCCCTCCACCCCCTCTACCCCTTTTCCCCTCAACCCTCTTCCACCCCTTCCACCTCTCCATCCCCCTCCATCCCCCTCCACCCCCCTCCACGCCTCTCCTCCATCGCTGACCCCTCCCACCTCCGCCCCCCTGTACCCCTCCCGCCCAGAACTCTTCTCTCCCTCTAATCGAGTACCAAGTCCACAGGTGGAGAGACACGCAGGGAGACGCGGGTGCCCCACCGCGTCTTCCTGCGTGTCTCTCTGCGTGCCTCTCCGTGTCTCTCCGTGTCTCCCCGTGTCTCTATGCATCGTCCCCCACGTCTCCCTGCGTGTCTCTCCGTCCCTCTGCCTCTCTGCGTGTCTCTCCGTGTCTCTCCGTCTCTCTGCGTGTCTCTCCGTCTCTCTGCGTGTCTCTCCGTGTCTCTATGCATCGTCCCCCTGCGTGTCTCTCCGTCTCTCTGCGTGTCTCTTCGTCTCTCTGTGTGTCTCCCCGTGTATCTATGCATCGTCCCCCACGTCTCCCTGCGTGTCTTTCCGTGTCTCCCCGTGTCTCTATGCATCGTCCCCCACGTTTCCCTGCAGTCAGCCCGCGTCTCCATTTGTCTCCCCGCGTCTCCCCCCGGGTCATTCGCGCGGCATTATCCACACACACACACAAAACTCTCAAAAACACAATTGCGTATTCACCTGAATAAACACAGACAGCCACGCAAATACACACGCAACTATATTCACACACTACTCATACAATACACACCACTACACAGACGCAACGTGTCCCCGTATAGCTTTCAGCAGACTGTTGGGGCAAGTGCTGTAAGCGAGTAGCAGCACCTATGAAGGCCGCCACTGTGGCACACGAGGAGGTGGGTGGCCAGCAACGCGCCCGGCCGCCTTTGTCTCCCCAGTGGCGATGTTTACTACACATCGCACCAGGTACTCGCTTGAGGCCGAGTCGACGTAGGGGAGGCCCAGGACAGGTTCAAGATAATCGTCACCGGCAATGGCGGAGCCAGGATTTTCAGGTAGGGGGGTCAATCCCTCCAGCAATGAAAACTGATAGATGAGTTGTTAGTAAGTAAGGAGTTGTTAGTAAGTAAGGAGTTGTTAGTAAGTAAGGAGTTGTTAGTAAGTAAGGAGTTGTTAGTAAGTAAGGAGTTATTCTAGATTTGAAGTTTTCGTGACTGCAAGAATCCATACTCTTTGATTCTTTCGGTAAAGTTACGTAGGTGAAAAAAAAGTGAGTTTCTTTCTTATTTTTATTTTATTTTTCACCTACGTGACTTTACCGAAAGAACCAAAGAGTAAGTAAGGAGTTGTCCCTTGTTTTTTTAATCGAAGCGTGTGCGGCGATGGCGCAGCCATCGATCGAGGGTCGAATTCGAACCGCGTTGTGTGATCGGCATCGCGCTCGCTGAAGGTGTTGATGCCTTCAGGGAAGTCGTGTCCTGTACACGCAAATGCGCACAATTCTGTGAGTCACTTATAACCGCTTTGCCGTTACTTATTGCCAATTATGGACTCAGACTATTGTCTTATCATCTCATAGAGTCCCTGGCCCGTAATAATATGCTACACAGTGGCAGTGCGGGTCGCAAAATGCCGATTTATTCCTAATAAACCCCAATGATCCGATCGAAATTAGGGATTTCGATCGGATCATTGGGTGGGGGGGGGGGGGGGCACGTGCCACCACCCCCCACTGGCGGACCGGTCTGTTGGGGCTCTGGGGGGAACTTTGTCTCTGTCCGGTTAACTTTCATCTTCCGTACGACGGAGCGCGTTGTTGTATTGTACTTCTGTGCTCCCGCGCCTGTGATCGCAATTACGAATCCGCACTGACCGCCGTGGTGAAGTATGGTCGAGGAATCCCCACGAACTCCGCCACGACCCACAGAGAACGCAGATCCGGCAGCCGATTGACAAAAGGGATATACATTTCGATTTAAAGCTTTCGTGACTACAGGGATTCATCTTCTTGGTTATTTCGGTAAAGTCACTTTGAAGGGAAGTAATGAAATAATAAAAATAAAACATAATTTTCGATTTAAAGCTTTCGTGACTGCAGGGATTCATCTTCTTGGTTCTTTCGGTAAAGTCACGTAGAAGGGAGATAATAAAATAATAAAAATAAAACATAAAGGAGATAATAAAATAATAAAAATAAAACATAATACAATAATGTTTTATTTTATTATACAATAATGTTTTATTTTTATTACTTTATTATCTCCCTTCTATGTGAAAATTATGTTTTATCTTCTTGGTTCTTTCGGTAAAGTCACGTAGAAGGGAAGTAATAAAATAATAAAAATATAACATAATAATATAATTCTCACGACGTTTCGGCCACAACGCAAGCAGCCGTCCTCAGGTGAAGACCAGGTCTGTCGGGGAGACAGAATTATTTTATTATGTTTTATTTATATTATTTTATTACTTCCCTTCTACGTGACTTTACCGAAATAACCAAGAAGATGAATCCCTGCAGTCACGATAGCTTTAAATCGAAAATTATGTTTTCTTTTTATTATTTTATTATCTCCCTTCTACGTGACTTTACCGAAAGAACCAATAAGTTATATACTGTGCACGTGCACGTGCAGTACTCGTGTGTGTGTACGCACACGTAAGCACGCGTGTACGTCTAATAAAGATAACAGACAAACATGGATACGTTTATTTTGTGATAACCCTTTTTGTGATTGTGGTCAGGGGGTTGTCTGTTACTCAACAGCCACTACTCGGTAACTATTCGCGTCGCCTATTTAGAAACGGGGTCATCGGAGAAACAAGAAGATGAAAATGCGATGTTCATCAGGGCCACCACCACCACTCCCGCCGCGGGGTGCGTCCAACTCTCATTGCCCACTCGAGCCCTCGCTCGCCTCTCTGTTCATGTGCCGTGAAGAAGGGTCATTGCTCGAAACGTCGCCTATTGTTATTTTTTACTCCTTCCGAGGCCATGAACGGTGTTGTTGACGAGCGCGTTGATTTTGCGTTGTTATCATAACTACTAATATAGCCGGCGGTCCTGAACTCATGTAAATTCTAATGGCGTTCTACGATGGCAAGGCAGATTCAACGTGGCACCGATACAAACTTCATAGCGTGGAACCGCGCGCACCACTACCGCAAGTGCTGTTAGCGAGCACCTATGAAGGCCAGAACATCACACGAATTGGGGGTGGTGGTGGTGGTGTGAGCGTTGGGGCGATGTGTCGGGAGCGGCGGTGAAGCGGTTAGCACGCTGCGCTACGAACCCGGCGACCAACACCAGTGACGATTATGTGAACCGGTCCTGGGCCTCCTCCCCTAGGTCGACTCAGCCTCAAATGAGTACCTGGTCGCTGTGTAAAAAAATAATCGCCACTGTGGAGACAAAGGCGGACGGGCGTGGTGCTGGCCACCCACCCCCTCGTGTGCCGTGCCGGCCTTCATAGGTGCTGCTCGCTAACAGCACTTGCCCCTACAGTCTGTCACAGGCTACCCGGGGGGGGGGTGTTTGTCGTCGTTGGCGTGACCAGAACCCGACTCGGCCGTCTTTGTCTCCCCAGCGCCTACGTTCAGCGCATGCGCACACGCAGCCACACGAGCCCCGACGAAACCTCCCGCGGACTCGAGGGGATTGGAGTGGATCTCGTGTCGGCCACTCTCCCCCAGCTCGTCCCAATCTTTACCATCGCACAGACGATGCGACTCTTAATCCCATACCCCCCCCACCAACCCACCAACCCACCAACCCATTCCACCCCAACGAATTTCATCTCCCGCCCCCCCCCTAAAAGAGCCTGAAATAACATTGCGGGGAGGGGAGGGGGGGCAAGCCATATCGCGTTACAACCCTTCCCAGCGATGGCAATAACGCGGTTAAACAATTATCGCTAAGCAGGCGACCCCCATCGCGCATCGATTAGGGTGGGAATTAAAGGCGGTCCGGGGGGTGGGTGGGTCGGGGGAATTTAGTGAGCCGTGGGGGAGCATCACAGCCCCCCCCTCTCCCCACCGTGCGAGAGAAATAATAAA